CCTCATGCCATATGTTATATCATATCATCTTATGCCTGGGTCTAAAGGGACTATCCGGGGTTACCAGATCATATCATATTATCCTATGTAATATGCGGACTCGTCTAGAATGCGTACAGAGTACAGAGTACCGAGTGGTAAGGTAGTATAGGCTGTTTATCTATGATTGCCATTGAACAATCCCAAAGAATAAGATACCAGATACCACCGGCCCGGTCGAGTCTGTACTCCGGAGTAACAAACTCAGCTCGAAGCGGAGCACCCTATCCGCATTTCCGTCCAGAGATAAACAAAAAAAAATATTCGATTTTCCATCTGGGGGGAGGGGGGAACTGGAGAAAAGAACCAGACGTGAGGGGCTTGGCGCCACGGTCGCTGGCTGCCTTCCTTTGTGCTGGCCGATGACACGTCGCCTTTAGTCTTGTTTATAGTATTTTTATTTTTACGGATTTTCTGATTTTTTTTTTTTTTTTCCTAGGGGGAAGGTTCGGCGAAAATACCACCCCTCCTCTCTCTTTTTCCTATTCATTCTCTGAGCTTCTCTCCCCGCGGTCTGCTCTTAACCCTCGCTGCCTACTACCCCGACGATAGGTAGGTAGCTATCTCACGCCTATCACGATCATCACTGAAGATTTTCACCATATTAAAGTTTAACAACCTTGGATCGGTCGACTCGGGAAGACGCCCCTCCCCCCAATCCCCGGTAGGTCCCCTCGAATTGAATCCATTATGGACGATTCTGTCCTCTCTATCGTCAATTCCCAACACACCGTTCCTTTTCACGTACATTAGCAACATTGTAAGCTTGGGGTTGTGGACAAGGGTTATGTGTGCTGTATGCAACTGGGCGTCTAGTGAGGTACTAGTGCTTTGTTAGAGGAGCTCTATGGGGGGGGGGGTCTTGGGGAAATAGAATATGGAGATGGATGGATGGGGGGGGTATGTTTTTAACCCCCTGAGCTAGCTAACTCGGGTGGTTGATACTAGATAGTAGATACGTAAGTACGGAGCAAAGCAGAACGGGTCTACACTAAAGGCCTATACATAGATAGTTTGATATCGCACCTACCACGGGCTTCACCGTGTGGTTGTCGGACTGTGCTGTTAGAGGTAAAGTCAAGCAGTAACTTCAGATAGTGTACGGAGTACGGATAGTTAGTTGGACTGTCGCAATTAATTTATCATTAGCTAGTAGCTGACCCTTCCTCTTCAGCTCCCCTTTTTGGATTTAATTTACCCCTCCCTTTTTTGATTGTCCGTTGTCGTTTCCCCTGGTTTTCTGCTTTCTTGATTCTTTCCCCTGTTGAACTTGGACGGAGACTAGTTGTTAGTTGGTTTGGACGAACGAGTACGAATAGTTTGTAGTATGATAAGTACCTAGGTATCCGACTATCCGGAGTATGTCCAATGGCCATGGTCTATCGTCAACTGGGGTAGTATTTCTTACCTACATAGTATGCTGGACCTGGTAGAGTACTCCTTACAAGGAGAGTTTTTCCAACTAACCACAATGTTATCCGTACTCCGTAGTCACGATGTCCATAATCATGCATACTCCGCAGCTTGTGATCGTGATAACCACCGTACATATACCCCTTCACATGCCCCGATCACCACCCCCCGAGACCCGAGAAAGTTAAGATCGACACCGAGCAACCAGACTGTTTATTTTCCTTTGTTTTATTCTATTTCATGGAACGGACTCCGATGGTTATCTTCATGTTCCGAATTTTGATATTCCGTTGAGCAAGATACCGAGGTAGTTTTATTATCACTTTTTTGGGGGGTGTCTAATGTCTATTGTAGGTTAGCATTCTGTGTATTTATTTTTCAGTACATAATACTCCGTACAGAGTACTTTTATGGAGTACGGGGTACGAATATGCCATCATCACTTGTCGCCCCTGACCGCCACCGACGACAATAATACTAATAAATAACGAACCCGCCAAATGAAAAGGCGGGGCTAAGGGGAGAGAAAAAAAAGTAATAATGCCAAGTGGACGTGTCGGACCTCCAAGATGGGGATGGGGTTGGAGCCTTGGAGGGCAGACCGGCAGAGAGAGAGGGGGGCGGCGCAGTGAGAGACAGAGACAGAGAGAGAGGGCGAAAAAAAAAAATTAGCAAGGACCCGTAATCATACATGTGCGGAAGATGGCCGGATTGCGTCATGGTAATGATTTGCAGCTAATCCAGGAGTCGAGACATGGGCCTGCCTTAGTGGCGCGCACTGCCGTGTTTCTAGATGACAATCTCCCGCGTCGCGGAGGTGATTACTGGATCTGTTGGAGGGGGTGGGTGAAAGGTATAAATTTTTACTCTATATAGATACCTATAGTTAATACAGGGTGGAAATATTTCTGAAGGAAAGAAAGGCGGACAAAGTACCATGGATGGAGTGATCGAAAGTGTAGCGTTCCCCGTGATTATAAATCTGGTCGGTAGATAAGCATTGAATTTTGGCGCATGATTCCGGGGGTGTCAAAACGGCGTCGCCCAAGAGGGAAACAAAAAAAAAAAAAAAAATCCGTCGGTCCAGAACTCGACGAACAAAAGCCGGAGGGGAACCGTCTGCAGGAGTGATGCGGTGGTCGGATGATTTCGGGAGAAAGCCGGACATTCATTCCCCCCCCTTTCTGACTAGTGTCTTAGTCTATCAGGGCGGATTGCGGAGAAAGGATAGGCTCAGAAAAGAAATTTCTTAGCTAACACTTCACGGGCTTCCCCCGTAGAAACCGTCCCCCCTCCCCCAAAGGGTTCCTCGGTGAAGATTTTTCCCTCTTTCTCAGGTCTTTCATACTGGTTTGGATGGTTTTTGTTGGGTGCTTCAAACCCTTCATTACCTGATTTCTCCTGCTCAGGTTTTTCTCGCGCTAACCATAGGAGTCCCGTCCTCCGTCCGTAGCCTTACTCCGTACTCGTAGACCGTAGTCCGCGGGCTGAGGCAATTTCTTTCCCTTGACCCTCGACCCTCGGCATCTCCGACCCGAGTTCTCTCCATTTCCCCCTCTGCCGAGTGTGTCCCGAATCCCGTGGTGGTCTGAGGCCGCCGTGACTGGACCAGAGCGTACGGAGGAGGCACATGCACGGACGAGAGATTCCACTGGCTTACTGTTTTAGGTAATCATGTAACTATTTGTCCATCGTCGTGACCGATTAGGCCATTCATGGTTTGTACCCCGTCCAGTCCCTTTTCCTTTTTCAACGGGGTAGGATTGGTAGACCCGTGCAAATTCTTTTCGACCTTTACGCCTTACGGACTATAGCCTAGTCTTCATGTAACTACTGTCTGTAGTTGTACGAATAAGCCAGCCATCCTGGCCCTGCCCTGCCTGTTGGAGATTAAAGTTTCCCTGCAGGGCTGCACGGCTTGTGTTTTTTTCCTTCTCTATCTCTTCTGACTCGCCTTCGTTCAACTTCCGTAGCCTCGACGTTCACCAATTGCCCCCAACAACGAAGATAGCGGTGAGCGAATCGTATCCATTCTGAGTCACCAGAACAGAAAGGGGAGAAGAATTTTTCCAACAAATCCAGTCCAAGAGTATTGTGTGCCCAATGCCCCAGTTGAAACAATTTCCCTTCTCTCTGTCTAGTGTCTACGGCAGCCTCATCTGGGGGCCTGTACCTCTTGGGGCGGGCTTACACATACTGAATATGAGTTGGGCTTGTATACCGCCAGACAGGCAGATACCCCGTACAGTCAGGAAGAGTTATCTGTCAGAAGAGGCAATCAGCCACATACCCCATCCATGCATTGATTTTGAGACAATCGTCGTAAGCCATCTGTACCCTGTCTGGGCCTGTTTGTTACTGCATCAGAATTCATAAGCGAGGCGCCCTGAAGAGGGTCTCTCTCCCCAACAAATATTAATAGTAGACATCCTCTATCCGTCCAACGTCAGGTGGCTTTTTTTTTCTGTCTTGGCCCGCCCTATTATTGTTCCCCACAAACAAACGCTGTTTCCGATCGTTTGCTCCGGAATACGGAGACTCGATTCTAGCCCTAACCCGTATGTCTCGAGTGACATGTTTGACAGCTGACGTAAGCGGGTTGGGCTGGTGCTGAGTCTTCAGGCAGGAGACAGGGCGAGTTCTAGATGTATCCTGGGATGTTATGGTTGCTTTCCTGGGCGTTTACGTGTTTGGGGTGTGTTTCGTGATCTGGCTGCTTGGTATTGGAGGCGTTGTGGTTGAGTTGGGGTTTCATCCCCGTTTGTTGTCTAGATGTGACAGGCGTTGTCTGATATTCTATTTCGAGGTGACTCGAGGACCAAGGTTGCATTATATTGCATATCGCTTGATATGAGGGAAAGACTTGCGGTGTATGCATGATATTGCAGACTTATGAGACATTCATCATTATACGGTGGGTTCTGCCTACATTGTGTCAACGTCTGGTGGGATGTCCGGCTCTATAGTTCTCATAGGATAATTGATACGGCACTTGGCTATGGTCTTGCTTGTGTCAATGCGACGGGCAATTTGAGTCCCAGGTCGCATGAATAGGGCCAATTATCTTGTCGGCCATTGCTCGATCAGCACTCCTGCATGGCGCAGGTATATAGTTTGAACCAGCCATTGAGTTGGTAGATTACAATGGTTCACATCGTTTAACCTAAGACTAGAAGACCCTCTAAATTACCCCAATGATATATAGAGAGTCTACCATAGACCAATCTCATCAGATACAGAATCAGGAGATGAATGTTGCCATGTCTACTTCTATCGTCACTCGGCAATATTACCTAACGCGGCAAATGATGTCGCGCGCCTCCGATATTTCTGCCGCGTCTGCCCGCCTCATGACGGCGCCCCAACTTCTTCATTTTCATGCTTTTTTTTCATTGTCTACCATGAAACGCACCGCTGATACCTGCTCTCCATTGACAATTGCCTTCGGATTTTCAAGTTGACATTCTTTTACTTGTTCGGGCCACTCCGAGGCCCGGTCAATATACTCTCCCCTCTTTTTGTCATCATTCGTTTCGCTATAGCACATCATGGCTCCCCCGCGGCAGCGCACGACTGCCATTCAGGATGACTCTCGCTCTGAAGGCTCCAGTACGACTCGAGAGCACAAGACGACGACGGCGAAAGGCCGCAAAGGCAATACCTCGTTAGCAGCGACCTCCGTTTCGGTGCGCGAGACTAAGACCACTGTGAATGTCACCAGCGCCCCCGCTAATGGTGACCAACACGACAGTCAGCCCAAAGTAAGTGCCAATGTGAGATCTACACGCCTTTGAATTCGCTGTCTTCTTCTTTCGCGAGATTACGATGACCGGGTTGCTGACCTCTTGGCCTTGGTCATTCAGATGCATTGGCCCGAGATGCCCCTCGAGATCCTTCATTCCTACCGGCATGCTTACAAACTCTCCTCCCCGAGCGCTTTCAACAGCGAATACTCCCGCCTTCTACTTTCCAAAGGCATTGGCCTCCGATCGCCGACATCTATTGCTGCCCAGCGTGCCCATTCGTCTAATTCCGACAAGGATCCGAAAACGAACGGGTCCCACGGTACCAAGAAGACTCTGCAGCCCGGCACCGACGGCCCCAATGGCACCTCCGCGAAACCGTTGACTGGTCACCGACTCGATAGAAAGAACGCGTTGAACCAGATCTGCAGTCAGGATCGCGTGAGCAAGAATCAGCTTGCGGTGACTGTTCGCAAACATTTCAACAGTGCCGGGCTAGCGGAGCAAGAGGCAATCGCTCGGTTCTTGTACAAAGTCCGCGAGGAGGGCCGAGGTCGACATTTCCGTCTGAGGTTTCAGCCTTGACATTTATATTTTTACACTTTCTCTCCTTCTCGCTGTCCTTGCTTCTGGGATCTTTATTTCGCAAGAGACATCTGCTGGATGACCAAGTGCATTCGCTTATTTCTAACGGAGTTTCATGCATTTGCATAGGTGACTTTTTGGTACTTGATGGATGCGCGACTCAACCACTTTTGCCAGTGACCTTGTCTTGGTTGCTTCACACACGCACTCTCTCTTCTTTTCTTTCCTTCATTCAAGCACTCTCCCCTTTGTCATGATACCCATTGGTGTTGGTTTGATTTACCTTGCTGCTTCTGTCTATCTCCTTGTTTCTTATTTCCTGTATTCTCATCCGGATAAGTTCGCATGTCACCATATCCAGACATCATTGTTTGGCGACCTACGTACCTACTCGAAATAATCTCGCGCCCCCGGAAGACCTCCTAGCTACTTATGCTTCCTTTATACAACCATGTCTTGAGCGTTGAAGTTAAAAATGATGTTGAAGACTTATAAACAATGGACGGGCGATTTTCCTATCTCTATTTCTATCTCTTTTTTCCCCATTTGTACTATACACATTGGAACCCGGAGCGTCTTGCCAGTCCTATAACACTGCCTCTACTATGACGGATACGTTTCCTGCTACTAATTCCATAACTAGATTCTTTGCTTTTTTATTTTCATACTGTTTCTCCTGCCCTTGTGTATATACATACATACATACAATTCAACCTAGATTTAGTTGATATTGACCTTGTTTGCTCAATCCTATATCTGCTACACACCGTCATGATGTACATACTTGTACTTGCACTCCTCACTTACATCTATAGGTATGACGTAACCGCACTCCGGGTGTCTTTTCCACCGCTCAACGACTTCATAAGAAGTGAGTGGAATTGAAACCATCCGAAAGGGATGACCAAAACGATTGTATCTAGCTATTATTATATCTTCTTTCGTTTTCAGCATGAAGGAAGGATATTATAACCAGTTTTTGATTCAATATTACTTGTTGTTCGTATCCGGAGTATTCACTTCGTTCAGTTAGTCTGGGTTCAAATTTGATTCTGGACTGGACTGGATTGGATGTAACTGGAACGTTGTTGATTGATCGATGCGTATGCGTGAAGACATCGTTCATATTGATTGGTGGTGGGATTGTCTGTGAAGTCACAACAGGGGTTCTCTGACTAGGAAGAGAAAGAGTGGAAGATGAAAGCGGTGCTAGATCGAAGATTCGCTTGGTATAGATGGTAGATACATATAGAGATGAACAGGATGCGGAAGGAAACGTAAAGATAAAGGTAAATAGCGATAGTAATAAAAACTCGATAAAAACCTTAACGTATACTCTGCAAGACCAAAAACGGGATAAAGAAAGATCATAAAGCTAAAGCACGACGAACCAACAAAGATAGGCCAACGATTAACCAGATAATCAGAAATCCAGAGGACCGAGAACAGGCAACAGCAGGAGATAATAAATAGAGTTGAAGAAAGGTAATAACGAGTCAACGCCGGAATGCAAAGAACCCCTCAGATCCATAAGCGTAAAGTCTATCATACTTCATTTTCACAACCGCCCGCTTTTACATTGGTTCATGATAATGATAAGAGGAATTATTTCCATGCGTTCAGACCAGCCCAGGGATCACCGGATCCGGTTCCCGGTTGGCCTTGAGTCTGCGAGGACTGCGACTGGGCTTTGTGATGCTGACTCGAACTGTAGGCTCTGCTTTGGGCGTATCCACCCGGACCGGAAGGAAATGGACCGGACGATGGCGGGTACGAGGTCTGCTGGGGACGTGGAGGCGGTGGAGGCGGAACGTACCCCTGAGGCACAAACTGCGACGGGGTCGTCGAGGGCGTAGGGCCGTTGAAACTACCGAACGGGACGGGCGTCGACGAGTAGACTTGTTGATTGGGCGGAGGCGAGGCCGACGGAGGGAAAGGGTATGCCATCGGGTTGTAGCCTTCCGAGAGGGGTGCAGCCGCTCCCTGCTGGAATGACTGTCCCGGCACGTAGGGCATGCCGCCGGACGAGGTCATGTATTGCCCGTAAGGCGCCGGCGAATGGGAGAGAGGTGCTCCGTGTGGCTTTCCAGTGGGCGGATAATGCGGCGACATCTTCGGGGACGAAATGCCGGGGCCTGGATATCCAGGGGTTTGAACGGGCGGCGGAGGGGATTTCACCTTGGATGGAACCTTGGACGGCGCGGTTGATGAGCCGGAGGAAGCGGACGATGGTTTGGGTTCGGTGGAAAGGCGCTCCATCAGCTGTCGCAGCTTCTCGCGCTCGCGGTCCTCCTGTTCAGATACACCGCTCGCCTTGTCACGCTCAATCTGTCCCAGAAGCTGAGCGCCTTCTGAGCGCCGGTTGTTGATAAAGGTCTCGACGTTCTTCTTGAGACTGTCCACGGTCTCGGCCATCTCTGTATAGAAGGTTTGCGCTTGAACAACTCCCGACCGCAGGCCGTTGAAGGCATCGTATACTTTCTTGTATCGCGCCATGACGGTGTTCCGTTGGCGCGTGATGCTCTCGTACTTCGACTGCTCGGCCCGAACTCGTTTATCCTGTAGCAGATCGCCGTAAATCTTGGTGAGTTCCTTCATAAGTGAGGACTGCTTGTGGTTGGCCTGGAGCAGCCGGTTTTGGTGAGGGCGGAACTTCTCCAACTCGGCCTCGAAAAGCTGGCTCTCTTGTCCGGTAATGGACTTTTTGTTCAAAATCAAAACATTGGAGATGTCATCGTTGTGAACCTGACATGCGGTTAGCCTTCATGCAAGTGTATAACCTCTGCAAGAAGCACTTACCTTATCCTTCAGGTCCTTCAGAACCTGAGACCTTTCTCGTTTGACGAGATTCAGCTTCTTCAGAATGGATTCCACTCGGGCAATCTGGTCTGCCACCGACAGGCTACTCTCATCGTAGACATCATCTAACAGGCTTCCCTCGGCGGTCGCAGAGTACGGGCTCCCGTGTCCGTTCTTCTTGCCATGCTTGGAGCCCGCCTTGATCATCGCCCGCTGGAAGAGCACGTCGGCCTCGTCGGTTTCTCCGGCAGACCGCATTTCGTCGAAGTCCGACTCGTACTGCCGCAAGGTGGACAGAAGCTGAGCGTCACTCGCACTGGCTTCATTGACGGTATCACGGTAGGAACGAACGTCCCCTCGAAGGGTGGTGTTGAGACGGGCACTAGGCTGCTGACTCCAGTCCGCTCCGTATTTAGAGCGCATCTTTTCACATACGCTTTCTTCCAAGTCGAGCTGCTTCGAGCACTGATCCAACTGCGCGAGAACATCCGTCTTGCGATCCTGCAAATTGTCGAACGCTTTGGTGAACGACGAATGGCCGGCGAGCTCTGAGCACCACTGCCGAAACTCCTCGTCGACGGTCATTTCCTGGTCCATCCCACCCTTCAGAATGTTCAAGCTGCCGGGTAGTTTCAAGTAGTCCAGACTGGCGGCCATTTCTCCATTAGCAGTCTCGACTCGTTCCGTCTCCGCTCGGATCAATTTCGCCTTCTCCTCGTCGTAGAGACTAGCCGTCTCGGTGACAGACATTGGGACGAGCTTTTGGAAGATATCCGGTCCGATGATGCGCTGAATGTCTTGACCTTGATAGAGTTCACTGACCGGAATAGCTTTAGCCGCGGGCAACTTGGCAACGGCGGACAACCCCGCCTCATTCGGAACTGGCTGGTGGTAGATGAAATCGTTGTCTTTGATAAACGTATTGAGAGTCGCCTGCACATTAGCCAGCTGATGCTTGATGATGTCCATCAGGGTTGGACCGGTCTCGGAGCTCAAGTTGGAAGTCGGAGGAACGGACGAGGGGAAAGACTTGGCCCATCCCACAGCCGCTGTCGAGTTCTTCTCTGCCAACTGAAGTCGTGCGATGGCTACTCCGTGAGAATTGGCCTCGCTGTCCGCGATAGCCTGATAGTAGGAAGCGACCGAGGCCATGTGCGTCGCCTTCGCCTGAGTAACAATCAACCAGACCTTTTCAAAAACGCCTTTAGCATGTTCCTGTATGCCTTCGGCCGCCTGGGAGTATAAGTACGCCGCCTGCCCGGCCAGCTTGGCCAGGAAACCGGCCTTCTTGAGATCTGCCACTTGCTTCTCGAGGAATACCTCTTGTCCCTGGGCGAGCGAGATATTGATCAGGGTCTTGACGGTTTCTCGATTCAGGTCGGTGGACGGGGCATGAAGGAAGTTCTCGTTGATGTAGGTAAACATTCCGGCGGCTGCTTGGAAGGAGTGATATGCGGTCTTCAGACCGGTATCCTCCGCGCGATTCTGGTTGGCGGCATGGCAGGAGAGCACGGCGGAGATGTTGAAAATGATCGAGGCTTTCTCAAAGGCAAGCGAGTATTGCGAGGTCGACTTGTGAGTGAAGGCATCGTACCTAATCACCAAAGCCACACATCAGCGAACCGTATCCCCAACGCGAAGAAGTCTAGACTGGAAGAGAAAGGCACCCACCAGGTGAACGAAATTTTGATGTGGTTCTCGTCCACGGGAAACCTTAGATCCAAGAGCTCCAGCTGTCCGTAATACCGATAGAGCAGGTCGCGCCCCGTCGCGCTATCCTTCCCCGCCCCTCTCATGTCCTGGCGCAAACGGTTGAGAGTCGCGCATTCCTGAGCATAGCGTTCGGGATCTTCACCGTAACTCTGACGGATGTAATCCTTAAGTGGGCGGATCCAATCGATTTCGTTGGTCTGCTTGAGCGGACACGAGATCATAGGCGACTGAACCATCTTGTAGGTCGTGGGGGGTTACCAGGAGCGGGAAGCTCCCATCCACAGAGGCGGGAAAGAACGGAGATCGACAGGATAGCGAGTGAGCGGGTATCTCAATAATCCAAATCGGAGTCTCAGACCGACAGGGTGTATGGCTATGCGGCGTGAGAACGGAGGGGAAGTGAGAGGGATGATCGGGGACGGAGAGCTGTGGGGTAAGTAAGTTGGGCGGATTCGCAGGGAAAAAGGCGCCAGTCGATAGGCGGATGAGTTCCGGGCGATGACGACCGAGAGTGGAGACGCTCTTTTAGTGAGATGAAACAACAATCTCGAGGCTGAAGGATTCCCGACCGAGAGGTGTGTGATGGCGTGAAGAAGTGAAGGTGTGAAGATGGGAGGGGGAAGAAGTTGTTCCTGAGAGGAAGAGAGGAAGGAGAAGGTAGGGCGGTCGATGGGCCTTCTTTTCCTGGCGCCAACAATTCAGCACCGCCTGGCCAGTAGACAAGAGCTGACAAACTACAGACGAAACACCGAATGCTGAGAAGTAGAGAGTCTAATTTTCTAATGGTACATGGTTACTGTACATACAGGATATCCCCAGTCTCTATTGACACCCTCCCAGAAGCAGAAATCGTACAGAGAAGAACCCCCTATTGTCGCCGGCGCTATGATATCTCCAAAAAATCTCCATGAATAATTACATTGTGTACAATCCAGGACCCCGACTCAGAGTCAGGTTGTTCCGACTTTGTTCCACTGGCTGATGGATCCCTTCAGCCCGAACCCTATTTCTTGTCGTCTTTCTTGTCGGAGCCGTTCGACTCCTTGTCCGATTTGCCCGTCGAGCTCTCGGATTGAGATTCGTTCTTGTGGTTCATGAGCTTGTGCCACGCCGACTTAATGAAGCCCTCGCCCTTCGACGAGTCTTCAGAGGTGGCTTCTGATGAACTGCAATTGCGAATGTTATGATTAGCTTTCCTCGCACGTGGCTCTGCATCTCTACCAAGGGAGGACCAAAACTCACCTCTGTTGCCCAACATTCATGATACGCTTGGCAGTCTTGTCGCCCATTTCGTCCGCTAGCACCTCCAGGATAGTTCGTTGGTTGCCGGTCAAGTATTTCGGCATAGCCACCTTGAATTCAACCCTCAGGTCACCCGTGGGGGTGAAGCTGCGGGCTCGGCCACTGAGTTTCTTCATTCCCATTCCAGAGAGCGTGATGCGGTCACCGGTACCCGTACCGGTGGCAACCTTCACCTTGACCTCGCCATCTAAGGTCGGCACGGTTGCCTCACCACCCAGGAGAGCGGTGGTGAGAGGGATGGAAGCAGTGTAGAGAATGTCGGAGCCGGAGCGGCTGAAACGATGATCGGGGGAGACCCGAATAGAAACGAAGAGGTCACCCCGTTGCGTCCGAGAGCCAGGCGCGGCAGAGGCTCCCGTGGGCGGAGCATCACCCTCGCCAGCCACTCGCAATCGCATACCATCTTCGACACCACCCGGAATATCCACCTGAATGGTCTTGCGGTCTCTGACCACGCCGTTGCCACTGCAGGGTCTGCACTCAGATCCTCGAGGCACCGTCATGCCTGCACCACCGCAGGCATCGCAGGTGGCCGCCACCTGGAAGCCTCCCTGCATGAAGTGCACTCTGGTACCAGAGCCGTTACACTGAGGGCACTTGGAGCGCTTGGCACCCGCCTTCAGTCCGTCGCCTTTGCAAGTGCCACATTCCGTGAGGGGGTTGATGACAATGTCCTTCGTTGTGCCCTTCGCGGCTTCCATGAAGGAAATGCTGGTCTGGACCTCGACGTCCTCACCGACCAGAATCTCCTGGAACGGGCTTCGTCTGCCCCGACCGGAGCGACGAGCGCCTCCCGCGAAAGCGCCGAAAAGATCCTCAAAGTTGATATCAGCCGCAAAACCGCCGGGGAATCCTCCTCCGAAGCCGCCACCGAAGCCACCGAAACCGCCCGCACCAGAGAATGGGTTGCCGCCAGCGGCATTAGGATCGAAGCCGCCGTTCTGGTCGAATGCTGCAGAGCCAAACCGATCGTAGTTCTCTCGCTTTTTGGCATCGGAAAGTAGTTCGTAAGCCGTCTGAGCCTCTGCGAATTTCTCCTTGGCGTTAGGCTCCTTGTTGGTATCCGGATGGTATTTCTTGGCCATTCCATAGTAAGCCTTCTTGATATCGGACGCCGATGCGCCCTTCTCTACTCCGAGGGTCTTGTAAGGATCGGGAATTGCTGCGCGGGGAGCGGTCGTGTGGAAGATCTATGCATGTGTTAGCAGACCAAGATGGGTCACTGGCAGGGGGTTGACCGTGGTAGGACCGCAAAAGGGCAAACGGAAAAAAAAAGAAGAAAGGTCGACCTACTCTCGAAGAAGCGAAGCCGGAGTGTTTCTTATTGCAGACATCCTGCGGGCGTTTGTCGGTCGACGAGAGTGTTGAGGCATGGTAGACACGAGTCTGCCCTATCGTCGGGTTCTGCTTGGAGTATCGTTGCGAAGTCCGGAGTAAACGAGCGGGGAGAGCCGCAGCCTTGGGCATTGCGGCAGAAGTAGCGTTCATTGTGAAGGAATGCAGAGAGGTAAGACGGGCAACCAAGCCAGCCACACGCAAAACACCAAAGGGACAGTCAGCGGAAGAAGATGCTTGGAAATCGGGGAGGATGAATTGGCCGGACACCGCCCATAACTATTCGGGACTGAGAGAAGCTTAGAAGCTTCGAGTCTTTCGGCACGAAGAAGTTTGCCGACCGGAGAAACGATGAACCGAGACGATGATGAAAGGCTGCTTCGGTAATCACTAATCAGTCTGTCCGGGACCTCATCGTCCGTCTTCCTTCCTCCCCTCGTGCTTTCTCTCTTTCCATTGTGTCTTCTTGGTGACGCTTCTTAATACTTCTTTAATCCTCCTCTTTCTCTTTATTTCTCATCTCTTCCCCCCTCTTCTTCCCCCCTCCACCTCTCGAATTCCTGTCCCCCGTCTCCCTCCGACATACAGTAGCATGCTCCGCGGCCAGACCCTTCCCTGGAGAGCCGCGCTCCACAAAGCATCGCGTCCATTAATTCTCCGGCCTCTACTCACTTCTTCCAGACAGAATGCCGGTGCTCGGTCGATACTAGCTTCGTCGCACCTCTTCCGATCGCTCCCTCCCTCCCCTCGCACCTTTTCCTCAAGCTCTATCCGGCGGCGAGAAAAACCCCCACCTGGAGACGAGAAGGAAGATCCGGACCAAAAAGAACACAAGGACGGTGACGAAGACAAGGACATCGAGCGGGCCCCCGACTCCCGACGGAAGACGGTTGATCAGTCAGGCAAGCACGGCTCGTCAGAACCCGGAGCTCCGACATCGGCATTTGCGCGGAGGAAAGAGAAGTCGGCTGGCGACAAGGAGCAGCGAGGAGTGGAGGAAGATGCCAAGCAGGAGAACAACTCGGTAGAAGGAAAAGGAAACTCGAATGACTCCCCTTCGCCAATCCCCTCCAGTGGCAGCTCGCCCGACTCCAGACCCAGTGGCGCGAACAATGGCGGTAACGACGACGGTGGCAAGAAGGGCAAGAAGGGCTCCGGCGAGAAAGCCCTACAGAAGCCGTCGGTCCCTGAGGTTTATCCGCAGGTCATGGCCATCCCAATTGCCAAGCGACCGCTGTTCCCGGGCTTCTACAAGGCGATTACCATCCGAGACCCGAACGTCGCCTCGGCCATCCAAGACATGATGAAGCGGGGCCAGCCGTACGTGGGTGCCTTCCTTTTCAAGGATGAGAACGCGGATGGCGATGTGATTCACAACCTTGACGAGGTTTACGATGTCGGTGTTTTCGCACAGATCACTGCTGCTTATCCTCTGCGCGGGGAAGCCAGCGGTGTCACCGCTGTACTCTACCCGCACCGCCGCATCAAGGTTTCGTCCTTGTTGCCTCCCAATGAACCTTCGAAGGCCCCCGCTTCCGAGGAGAAGACGACGGAAAAACGGGGCGATGTTGTGGCCAGCTTCGAGGAGGGAACTGCGGAACTCGCCCCGAAAGACCACTACGAGCCTACGTCCTTCCTCCGCAAATACCCGGTCAGCTTGGTGAATGTGGAGAACATGGGCGAAGAGCCGTACGACAAGAAGAGCGCCATCATCCGTGCTGTCACCAGCGAAATTGTCAACGTGTGCAAGGAGATTGCCAGCCTGAACCCTCTGTTCCGCGACCAGATCTCGGCTTTCTACACCGACCAATTCCCGGGAAACCTTAGCGACGAGCCCGCTAAATTGGCCGACTTTGCTGCCGCTGTCTCCGCAGGCGAGCTGCATGAAATGCAGGAGGTCCTGGAGATCATGAACATTGAAGAGCGACTTCCGAAGGCCTTGGTTGTCCTGAAGAAGGAGCTTATGAACGCGCAGCTTCAATCCAAGATTTCGAAGGACGTAGAAGCCAAGATTCAAAAGCGCCAGCGCGAGTACTGGTTGATGGAGCAGATGAAGGGCATCAAGAGGGAACTGGGCATCGAGTCCGACGGTAAAGACAAGCTCGTCGAGAAATTCAAGGAGAAGGCGGAGAAGTTGGCCATGCCGGAGGCGGTTAAGAAGGTTTTTGACGAGGAGATCAACAAGCTGGCACACCTGGAGCCGGCTGCCTCCGAGTTCAACGTCACCCGCAACTACCTCGACTGGCTCACTCAGATCCCCTGGGGCCAGAAGAGCGTGGAGAACTTCGGAATTCAGCATGCGACTACCGTCTTGGACGAGGATCACTACGGTCTTAAGGACGTCAAGGATCGGATCCTCGAGTTTATCGCCGTCGGTAAGCTCCGTGGAACCGTGGAGGGAAAAATTATCTGTCTGGTCGGCCCTCCTGGTGTTGGAAAGACCAGTATCGGAAAGTCGATCGCCCGGGCTCTGAACAGACAGTACTACCGATTCTCCGTCGGTGGCCTAACGGATGTGGCGGAGATCAAGGGTCATCGTCGGACCTATGTTGGCGCCCTTCCGGGCCGTATCATCCAGGCCCTGAAGAAATGCCAGACCGAAAACCCATTGGTCCTCATTGACGAGATCGACAAGATCGGACGCGGTCATCAGGGAGATCCCTCTTCTGCGCTGCTGGAACTTCTCGACCCTGAGCAAAACTCCTCGTTCTTGGACCACTACATGGATGTCCCTGTGGATTTGTCCAAGGTCCTTTTCGTGTGTACGGCTAACGTTACCGATACGATCCCGCGACCTCTTTTGGATCGAATGGAGATCATTGAACTTTCGGGCTACGTCGCGGACGAGAAGATGGCCATCGCCCAGCGATACCTTGGCCCCGCTGCTCGGGAACTGACAGGCCTCAAGGAAGTCGATGTTAACCTGACGGAGGAAGCCGTGGAGGAGCTGATCAAGTCTTACTGCCGCGAGAGTGGTGTCCGGAACTTGAAGAAGCAGATCGAAAAGGTTTACCGAAAGGCGGCGTTCAACATCGTCAAGGAGCTTGGAGAGGAAGTGCTCGCCGAAGAAAAGGCCCTCACCGACGAGGGCAAGGCCGTGCATGAGGAATCGCAGAAAGAGACCGAGTACCCCGACTCGGTCAATGCCCCTGCCGACCCGGAGAAGTCGACGACCGAAACGCCCCGAGTGGCCCTGAAAGTGCCGGACACCGTCAAGCTCAGCATTGGCAAAGACAGCCTGACGGACTACGTTGGGCCCCCGATCTTTACCGCCGACCGCCTGTACGACACTTTCCCGCCCGGTGTGACGATGGGCCTTGCTTGGACCAGCATGGGAGGTGCCGCGTTGTACGTGGAATCCATCCTGGAGAATGCTTTGTCGCCCGAATCGCGACCAGGTATCGAAATTACGGGCAATCTGCAAAATGTGATGAAAGAATCCACCCAGATTGCGTATTCGTTCGCGAAGTCGATCATGGCGAAGCAATTCCCCGAGAACAAGTTCTTCGAGAAGGCCAGAATCCACATGCACTGCCCGGAGGGTGCTGTACCCAAGGATGGTAAGTAGAAAAATTTTTTAATCCTTTCCTTGCCTTGATTTCTGCCTTCCCCCATACTACCTGGTGCTGGCGATCGTGACTGACGGGACTAGGCCCCTCTGCTGGCATTACGATGGCGACATCTCTACTTTCCTTGGCAATGGACTACCCTCTCGACCCGACCATTGCCATGACTGGTGAATTGACAGTGACCGGCAAGGTGCTGCGCATTGGAGGACTACGGGAGAAGACCGTTGCTGCCCGTCGTGCTGGCGCAAAGAAGATCATCTTCCCAGCGGACAACATGTCTGACTGGCTGGAACTGCCTGAGGTGAGTGATACCACTTCTGTTTCATGTTATCTCTCGTGACTAACTTGACCACCGCAGAATATCAAGAAGGGCATTGAAGGCCATGCGGCAAGCTGGTACTCGGATGTGTTCGATATCCTTTTCGCCGATCTGGACAAGGAGGTGGCCCAGCAGTTGTGGCAGAAGCAACTCGCGAAGCCCCCCAAGGCGAAGTCCAATGAAACCAGCGAGGACGAGCTCGACTGAGCTGCGCTGGCCTCGTCGATATCGATCAACCTTTTGATTTGATTTGGTATATAATTTTACACCCTAACCTTGTACCTTCTTCATTTGTATTTTTCTTTTTGGTCACGTACAGGGCGTTTATGTCTTTCTATTGTTTTTGCGGCAAGCATGGGCGGAGTTTTCTCTTTTTTGAATTTTATATTACTATCTCTTGTCTGGTTTAATCTGTACATCTCAAATGGGTTGGAACTTTTCCTTTTCTAACTTGGGATTTAATGCCTGTGTCTTGTCATTCGGGATGTGTGAATGCGAATGGGAGAGTAAACGAAGGGCCTCGGCCTTGAGACCCGGTGCTTTGCAAGAAAGAAGAAAGAGGGGGACGATAGAAGCAAGAAGACGAAGGAATAGAAGACAGCAACCACTCCGCTCTACGAGAAAAAGAAAAGGAAAATCTAGATAAAACCAAGCGAAGGGAAATGAGTTGGCTTGGGCTGCCCTTGATTGATGGATAATGGATACACCTACCCCTACTACCTACATACTTTTGTCCCCTCCTCCGCCCCTCCATCAGTTTCTTTATCTTGTGTATGTCAATATGTATATCAGACATGATTGATTCAACCTGGATGATCACTCTTTCGTTGCCTCTTGTTATGGCATCTGGCAGAGGAGGGAGAGTGGAGTGATTTGGCCCTCGTTGGCCGAATAGAGATCGAGAACGGTGTCGACCATATTCCAGATACGGGGGGGACGAGAGAATGTATGCATGAATTCCACCCGATATGAAGCGCACTGCATATCTCACTGCATGGGTAGCATCGGCCAGAAGCAGGGGGCGTGGGGGGGCTCGAGAACCATGAGTTGGAGGGATGTCTAGGTAATAGCCTAAGGATTAAGTCCATAGATGAGAGGAGAGAGGAGGGAGGGGTATGTGCATTGTTCTCTGCAGAAACGCATGCCATGGGATGGCAGAGAAGAGATGCAGAAAGGGTTCAGACCTCGGTTGTCCAACTACAAGAGAAACCTGAGTTGTTAGTCAGTCAACCGTATAGTATAGAGTGAACTACGATGATGCCATTCCGTCTGCACGAGTCTCGAACCGGTACCTGCCAACATACTCCGTAGTGCTCCGTCGTGACATCGATAAGCGCAAAGCACCCTCCATACTTTATTTCATTTCGGACTAGGTAATGCCCGTCTTTCTCCGCAATGTCCACGTCTCGAGTAGTTGATACTCAGGCGTGAGTGGTTTGAAGTTTATCCGGTGGTGGTTCCCCTCCCTTCTCCACGAAGTATACAGGGATCAAGGCTGGATGATCGGGGCACAGCTTGCTCCACGATAGGGAAGCTAAAAGAAAGGGTAAGTAAATTCAAATCTAACAAAGAAAGGTAAAGAAGGCTGTGAGGAGATATTGGAGATCAACAGATTCCAGCATCCAGTACGAGTAGGCAAAGTGTCCAAACCTACTACCAAGGTCCATGTACACATACAAACAAACAAACCTACATACTACTCACTGCTAGTTCTCCGTAGAGTCAAGTATCTACTTACCTACCATCCAGTAGGGCAAGGAGGGAGATCAACTGGCCTGGTCGTTGAGGAAATCGATGATTGGACGCATTGCAGACCGTTGAGTTGTTCTATGGAAGCATCACTTTGAAAGTTTATCCGTGAGTCGTCCGTCAGCTTTTAGTTCCCTTTGCCTTTGTCCCCATGTGTTTTTTTTGGGTTGAATTTATTTTCTTCTTCTTCTTCTTTCTTTCTTTGGTACGTCATGTTCATGTTCATCCGATAGATGAAGTGGACGGGGATAGATAAACACTCTTTGTCAGATTGTAGGATGATAGTCGAAGTGACAACTGGCCGTCTTCCTGGACTGGTTTGGCGGGTGAAGCGATACGCTCGGGCAGAGGAGTAATCCATAGGTGGAAGATCCCGAGCGTTAATACTTCATGGTATATCAATCAATCAATCACTGAAGGGGACAACCCTGATAACGACAGACCGGGGAATGGCTGATGTTATTATATCATTTGGTTACGGTAGGACTGCTGGCGCCACCTCATGGGAAGAGAAAGGGAAAAGGGAGGGCTTCGAGAAGGAATTGGGCTGTGCGTCTGCAGGAGTGGAGATTTCGGGATTGGATTGGGTTTTAATTTAATTTATTTATATTCGTTTTATCGTTTCCTTTTCCTGGGATCGCTTTGTCCGACACTAGCGAGACGAGTGACTGGAGAGAAAAAGATGGCTGGGGGTTTTTTTTTTGAATTGTTATATGGAGTCGATACGTCATGGCGGAGTGTGACTCAATTGATCTTGTTAAACTAATAGTTAGCTATTGTTCCTATCCAAACTGGTCAGTTTCGTGAATAAGGAAGTAAATTGTATACCCCTTCAGGCACTGTCAGGCCGCCGTGCAGCCGCCGGCGCGTCTCCAAATCGACGATTCTTCCAGACTTTCTCTTCCTTCTCGTCTCTTTGCTCTGTCCATGACTCTTGTCCACTGTTCGGGGCGGTGAATTCGTCCATTCAGACCTCTTCTTCGTCTGCCTTCTTCAATGGAGTGTTGTCCCTTGACTTCAACCAGCCTCTTCCTCCCTCTTCCCTCCTGCCCCCCTTCCTTTGGGACTCCTTGACTCCTTACCACTCTGACTCTTGGGCAATGCCATCCAATTGATCGCACTCGCTCCATGTCCTCGTTGCGCTTGTCTGCCTTGTGCAACCCGGACTGGGCTGATCGATGCCAGAATTCCCTTAAATATTAATAGAAAAAAAAAGCCTGAAGAACAACTCAAACACTCACCGACTTCTCCGATATTGACGGGATTTTGCTGTGTCCAATCCCCCCGTTGATTTGTCTAAAAAAAAGCAAAGCAAAGAAAAGTTTAATTTTCCACTATTGTTTCCTGATCTCGTTGATTTTATCTCATTTCTTTGGGTTCTCTTCTCTTCCTGTCTATCTCTCTCGCCCTCGTCTCTGTTCACTCCCCTTTCTGACTGTCATTGTGACTCCCCCGCCCCCCTTCTTCCTAGTCAAAGGGCCCCAGACCTTTTAGTCCCGGCGAAACAGAATCCCACACTGCTGATCTCAGGGGCCTAAAAAATTTATCCTACAAGTCCATTTCGCCTCAATTCTTATGGACATCGCTGCTTCGGCCGCCGGGGCGTCCTACTCATTCCTCGCACGACCACTAACAACGACAACAACAACACCGTCACTACTAACTGCCATCCGTGTCATGCCGTATGGCCGTCTCCATCGCAGACAGTTCTTGTAGCCCGAACCGGTCCCTGGGATTGTTGCTGGATCCGGATCAGGTTGAACCCCCTCGTCCCAAACAGAGCATGTGGCATCGCTTGGGCCTGCGCAGATGGCTGGGCCGTGATGATCGCGATTTTTCCTCCCAGCCGCCTGCCGGCTCTGCCCCTTCGGCCAACAACAGTCAGCAACAATCGCCTCGACATCGACACAATCCTCCCAATCCTCACGCCAACAACGCCCCCCTCAACACTAACTCCAACGTTAACCCTCCCCCCAAACCGCACGACACGCTTACCCGTCGACTGTCGCGGAAGGTGGGAGTCGGCCTGCCTCGAGCGACCACGTTCAAGAGGCAGAACTCCGAGCGTCGAGATAATCTAGCCCCCCTCGATCCGGAGCCCCGTCGTGCTGTGTCCGCCGACCGCCGGCGCACGCTAAGTTCCCACTCCCAGAGGAGCAGGTCCAGGTCTCCACAGCCCGCCGTGGACCCCAGATTATCCGCACCCGAGGTTGCCTGGCGCGGCGACCACGCGGACGAGACCACGGTTGAGGAGCTGCCCGAGACGAATGAGGACGGCGATCTCCATTCGGAATGGAACCCTTGCCCCGACGTGACGGATGTTCCCGAAGAGCCACCCGACGATATCATCGAGATGGAGCTGGAGAAACGCTGGATTCTGAACCTGAGCATGCACTTCCGCGACCGCTCCGAGCGTGAAAAATTCTTCGTCACCTACGCCGAAGCCCCCAACCGATGGCGTCGCGTCACCATCTCCTGCGACTACCGCGGCGCCCCTCCCGATTCCCTCGAGCAGGATCTGAAGGAACTGCGCTACCAGCGGGATAAATGTGCCCGCATCTACGAGTCCATCCGCGAGTCGCTGCCCGATATCCAGTTCTACGACACCGTCACCAATCTGAAGCTGGAGACTCGCGACGGACGCTTACACGTGCACGTCACCGAGGACGTCAACGAAATAATCCCTTATCCGCCGGCCTCGTGCATCGGCCACTTGCCGGAGGCTCGACTGGTCCCTGAACAGCGCTTGCATTTCGAAGCGCATCTGTCGGGGTTTGTCTACAATGTGCGCTTGGATGGCAGGTCCTTCATCAAGAAGGAGATTCCCGGACCGGACACGGTGGATGAATTCCTGTATGAGATTAACGCGCTCCACGCATTGCAGGGCACTCCGAATGTTGTTCAGGTGGAAGGGATCGTGGTCGACGAATATGAAGAGATGGTCAAAGGCTTGCTCATCAGCTTCGCCGAAAAGGGAGCCCTGGTGGACATCCTGTACGAGAACCGGGGGCTGATCTCATGGGAACGACGCGAGCGCTGGGCCCGGCAGATTGTGCAGGGTTTATGTGAGATCCATGAGGCGGGTTACGTCCAGGGAGACTTCACGCTGTCGAACATCGTGGTTGACGGCAATGACGACGCCAAAATCATCGACATCAATCGCCGGGGTTGTCCGGTGGGATGGGAGCCCCCGGAGATTGCGGCAAAGATCGAGAGTAACCAGCGCATTTCGATGTACATCGGAGTCAAGACGGATCTTTACCAATTAGGCATGACCCTGTGGGCTTTGGCAATGGAGGAGGACGAGCCCGAGCGCCAGCCCCGACCCCTGATTCTGGACGAAGACCGAAACATCCCGGATTACTATCGACGAGTCGTATCTATCTGCTTGAGCCCGACGCCCCGCCACCGCCTCTCGGCCAAGGAGCTTTTGCATTTCTTTCCCCGCGACTCGATGATGAGCACCGGGCAGCCGGCTCCCATGGTGCAGCCCCGACACATGGGAGTTGGCTTCGGGCTGCACAACGGCGCTTTCCCGTGGTACAACCCCCGCGCCATGGCGGCTCCTTCGGCATTCTTGCAGCCCCGACCGGCCCCCAACGAATTCACGGAGCCCCAGGCTCTTTCAGGGGGTGGATACGGATACACTCCGCAAACCGACGAAGATTTTCATGGATTGGGACCGCTGCCCTCTGAGGGCTACCGGCCCGGTGACGAGGAACGCCGGGACAGCGCGATTGACGAAATGGGTGTGAGGGGTGCAGAAAATCGACTCGATAGCAAGGAGGGCTTGATGTCCGTCGTTGGCATCGATGGAGACGAGCGATCGTCTTCTCTTGAGTCCACCCGTTTAGCACGGTTCGTCGACTCGGCTCCACCCCTTACGGACTATGAAGACGGCCAAAGGCTCCCGGACCTTGTGTCGGACGAAATTGACGTCGACTTTGATGTTGAAATGAATCCGCTCTACCATAGACCCTCTATGGATCGGTCGGCTGACCTGTTACCGTTCCCCGTCGATCCTCTGTCCGAAGAACTTGCCGGCGTGGGCAGCCACCCGAAATGCTCCCTGGGGCCTAGGTCCCCGAATCACTCGCCGCCGCTGTCTTCTGCAGCCACCCAGTCGACCGATCCGTATTCCGCGCCCGGGGCGGACTATAGCCATGCATTGATTCGAGACCAGGATTGGGCGGGCCCATCACGTTCAGTATCTTCCCTACTGCATTCGATGCTCCCGATCAACCCTGCCTTCAGCATATCCGAACAAAAATTGCTCGAAACTCATGCGGATCGATTCTCACCATTGAACATCCGATCAGCCTTGGGATACTCTCGACAAATACTGCAAGAACATACCTCTAACCTTAGCGATTCACATCTCCCGATCAACCCAGCATTCGAGGCATCTGTATGACCCGAGATGTGCCTCAGAATTATATAATGACATCAGCCGAAACTACCAAAAACCAAAAGTGATTTTGCCTTTGACTCGGACAACCATCTCATTGTCTTGTTCATCATGATTATTTATTTTTTCTTTTTTACGGTCCTTCAAATGGGGGCCCATCTGCGCGATACCCTTTGACAATTCTGCGCTGTACAGGTACCTTTGACGTTGCTTCACAGTTTGCGAAAACGAGCATCCGCACGAGTAACGGCGAAACTGGAGTTAAAACTTGCGACTCTCGGATTTGATTTTTTCTTCCCTTTTTCGTTTTCCTCTATCAATTTGACTTTGAAAAGAAACATGGGTTCGAACCCACTCCTCTCGATCCACTTGCAATTAAGACTCCGGAAGCAGATGATTTATTTGCTGTCTATTTGAGATATAGCGACATGAGTACTTATTTGCTCTTTTGCCTAAACTTTACGACTTATGAATTGGTGGCCTTGTTTATTCTTGTCGTTGATCTTGTGTCTGTTTTTGGATTGTGGTTCTTATTTGTTTTCTTGTTAAGTGTCGAATTGTTTGGAAACTTCATGTATATTGAATTCATGTTGATAATATTTTCTTCATAGCTTAGCTGTATTAATTGGATATATTCATTGTGTGGTTTTCGTGTTTTTCTTGTTCGATTGGGTTGGAAAGTTTCAAGATATATAGATAACAATAGAGGAGCCATCTTAACAATCAATCAATCAGAATGCTACTAACCTGTGAAGCCTACCTGGTCAAACGACAGGCTATAGGCTATGCAGTCCTTTCGCCGATCGAACTAGTATCCTGTGCTCCGTACGCCCTATAAACCCACAAATGCAGTATACAAACCAAGAAGCAAAACACAACCAAAGCAGCTTGTCACGCCCGCCGCGTGTCTACCGCGCCTCTCTGTAGACGCTGCACACCCCTTCTGCCCCGTTCTATGTAGATGTTGCTTCTGCACGCGTCCCTGCGGCCGGATCAAGGCCCTGATCGGCCGCTCAGAGCTCCTCGTAACCATCGTCTTCCTCGCCTAGACCAAGCCCTTCAAGCAGGGTGCTGGGCTCCGGAGCCTCGTCCTCGTCCTCCCCGCTCAGCTGAGCGAGGCAAGAACCATCTTAAAACACCAGAGGGCTTGTATGGAGCGAGAGCTCAAGAACCCAGCGCAGGGCCACCCTCAGTTGCCATATTCCGGGTAACCACGATGCGTGACTGATCCATATCCCAGCGCAAATCGGCGTTTCCATTCTGTCCCGGGGGCACCTGACCCTGGCCATACGGGTAAAAGTCTCTTCTGTAGAAGATAATGGTCTGAGGCCATATAGGAGGCGGACCCGGGAAAATGACCTATGATACATAGAAAATTCACCTTGATAGCATAGTAGTTCTTGAAGATTGGTGCTTGAGTCTATAAAGTATGTAATGTACCTCTTCGGGGGGATTTGTGTCTCCCAGAACGGAAAATCTGAGCTTTTCCAGTGACTGTTTTGTTCTCTAGCCATATCTTCCTGTCGTATAGGAGTTTTGGATCGGTTTCTCAGATCCCGATTTCGATGACTACGCAAGGCCGGTCCGTGTTATCGGTGTGTATGAAGGCTAAGTCTGGCTCTTTATAGCAGCCAGTATGTGGCGTCTTGAATGAGTCGAATGCTATATGTCACATCTTGTTAGTATACAGTTCCGTTGAATAGGATAGGATAGGATATCAATATACTGACCTGGTATTTGATATTGTCAACCTCTCCATGAGAAAGGAACCCTCTACGATCTGCATTCAGCATCTGCTTTGCCGCCCACGCCGAGCCGGACTCATGCCAACTTGACATATAGAGTTCCAACAGAGGCCTGGGATGAGATAGCAGGGTGTTTTGGCTTCGACTTCGCCGTCTTCAGTCAAGCTTCGGGCCACTAATGCGCCTGATTCAGCGGGAATGGTTGGGAAAATTCAAGACTGGACTCCCCGGTCCTTTGCTTGATATGGTGGACTGTTTTCTGGTGGTGTTTGCGGCTGCCGGGATTTACTTCTAAGCAGGCATCTAGACTGGGTCATGGCTTCACGCTTCGATTCAAGTGAAGACATATTAGCTGCTGGAAGTGAAGATGAAGTGGATGAAAGAGGGATCGTAGTTAATAGAGGAGAGAGAAAGTTCAAGAAAGCAGAAGTGAATAAAGGAAACTTTCCAAGACAAGATGTTCATAGGATTTGACACCTTGTATATACATACATACCTGCTAGACACTGTCTTCTACGAGATCCTACAAGGCAAAACCGCAATTGCAAGGTAGCCGTTTAGTTGGTGTGAGATCCCCATAACTATATACTGGCTGTTACAAAAGAGCCAGACTCAGGCCTTTATACACGTCGATGACATGGACTGACGGGCCTTGCGTGGTCAGCCATAGAGGTCGAGGTGGTGGGGGTTTCAGAGACTTATCCCACGATAGTATATTGTTATTGTGGTTGACTACTGCTCCCGGTTTATCGGGGTGCTCACTTGTGAAGTGGTAGATCACCTCTACATGTTCGGGGATCGGATACATAGCTCAGGTGCTCTGGTGGCAGCCCAGCCAGCCAGCCAGGATTCCCCGGCCGGAATGAAGACGACGAGTGGCGTTGGGACATGGATAGGCTACGCGTCATGGGGACAAGAAAATATGGCAACTGAGGGCCTAGACCCTGTGTTTACATCTTGAGCTCTCGCTCCATGATATATTCATCTGGTATGTGGATATGGAACCTCTATGCTCTCTATATCCTGCTGCACCACTCACTCACTCACCCAGCCAACCAAATGAGGAGCTTAATCCCTCGTCAAAAACTCCTCGAAACTCCGCTGCCACGCTTGTGCATCCTTACCAAGTCTCAGTCCAATCAGCACGATCTTACACTGCGTTTTCTTATTCTCGGCCTCGCCGTCGCCCGAGGCCGAAATTAGACCGGCATCCTGGATCTCAAAGATCGCGCGCACGGCTTGGATGATCTTATGTGTTCCGTCGTTGAGAACGAGGATGCCTTTTAGACGGTGGATGTCAAAATCTGTGGGGTGGGGTTGAAAGGTTAATGAGGACGAGGGGAGGGTGGAGTCCCAGAGGATGGATTGCAGCCAGGCGTCGACTTTGGGGACTTGAGAGGGGGAAATGGGAGGTGTGGTGATTGCAATTGTTGAGATTGCCTTTTCATGAATAAATGAGAGGTTAGCATGATAGAAGACATGACAAATGACTATAGCTTGGAAAGGAAAGAACGCGAATCTTACCGGGTCGATATGACTATGTCCCTTCTCCCCGAAATCTATACTAGCCAGATGATCATACGCATGCAGATCTAGTACAACACCCTCGATCTGCGGCGTCTTGCTATGATCTGTCACATGGATCTTCGCGACGGCGTTGATGCCCAGGATCCTCTCCCGCACGGCATCCAGCTCCTCCTGCGTGACTAGGTCCGCCTTGTTCAGGATAATGACATCGGCATGCGAGATCTGCATATGAGCCATCGATAGAACGGGACCGTTGTGCTCGTGGTCATGCTCCCCATCAGGCTGTGGTGTCTTCTGAAGCTGTCCGTCTTCGTGACTCGACACCTTCTCTTCCGGTGCCGGCTCATCTAATAGTCTAAGAATGTTCTTAGCGTCGACGAGAGTCACGATGCCGTCGAGGTAGATCGAGCTGCCGAGGTTATCGTCGACCCAGAACACTGGCGCGATGTTGCCCGGGTCTGCGAGGCCGGTCGTCTCAAGTAGGATGTAGTCGAATTGGCCGCGACGCTCCATTAACGATTCGATGGCCATGACGCCGGAGTCTCTGTCCTTATTGTTAGATCACTCTTACTTGCGTGCAGCGTTTATGTATGTATGTAGATGTCCGTAACAAGAAACCAGAGGGGGGAGCTCACTTCACCGAGCAGCAGATACATCCGTTCCCGACCTCCATCCACTCGGTCACTTCCTGGCCGTCCTGGTTGACAGTCAAAGGCTTTTCGATATCGGATGCTGTTGGCGCAAGACACAAAGGGACTGGTTTAGCCTAGGACTTCTCAACCGACTACAAATGCGAAACGAATCTGTCTCGTACGTGGAGACGGGGATGGAAGAGGAGAGCTTACAATCTCCAAACTCTACAAAGGATTTAGTACATGGACCAACAAGAACCGCAACGTAGCATTTCTACAGAGATAAGATAAAGAAAGGCGAGAATCAAACCAACCATTCATGATAACAGCAATCTTCTTGCCATGTTTCTCCGTTAGGATATAATTCAGTAGTGTCGTTTTGCCGGCTCCGAGATACCCTTTAGATGGGAATTGATACCATTCCTTCATTAGCCAGGTTCCTTACAGCCTAGTCCTCTCCTTCCGTATCCCTAGAACCAAATCACGCGTATACATATAACGGAGATGGATAAAGAGGGATGGAACGCGTACCGGTGACGAGCGTGATCGGCACGCGGGGGAGATCCGATGACGTCGGTTCGGGTTGGGGCTTCTCGTTCTCTGGGAGTTCGGAAACGTCGATGAGCTCGGGGGGAGCATCTTCGTCTTCTAGATCGATCATAGTGAGTTGGATAGATGGGGAGGTGTGGAAAAGATTACACGGAAAGAGAAGTATAAGAGAGAAGGGTAAAGGAAAGGAAATATGGAGGCGATGGAGGAGGGGGAGAAAGTGGGTTTTCTGCTTGTCTTCTCCGGTTTCCTGTTCGGGTAGTGTCGGCTTTAACTTTGTTGGTTCGCGTGGGGTATGTGACTGGTAACTACACGGAGTATATCTCGGAGTTACGTTGGACCTTGCCTGTTGGTTCTGTCTACCAAATGCGTCGATGAAATCTCCGGTCCTTGCTCCCCGCGCGATGCACGTCACCCCGCTCTTGTTAGTGACTCGGCTCCCTGACCCGGACGGGTGCCCGGGCCGAGTGTTCATGGTATATAACTGTTGGGATTGACCAGAGGGATCAGGGACAGACAAAAGTTAGTATCAAGAGGAGATCTACTATTGCATTCATATGCTGAATATGGAGTACTCGGGGAATTTGCGTCGTTGTCGACCTTTAGGTGAGTGGGCTCTCAGCAACCTCGCTATAGTAAACTGAACAAGTACAGGTCCTATAGAGCAGTACTCTGCCTTTCGCAGCCATCTGGGCATTTATCTCAATGTCTGCGTCACGGCCATCTACCAGAGGGAAGACGAGAAACCCCTAAAGCCAGCATTGTTTCGTGCCCTTGCGGCAGTAATTGGAAAGCATCCGATCCTCTCGGCTGTTCCAGTGGATATCTCAACGGGACCTCGATTCGCCCGTTTAGATCAGATCGATCTAGACCAAGTGGCCAGCTTTTCTGAGGTCCAAGGATGTACGGACAGCAATTTCGCCCTGGATCAGATGCTGGAAGACCAGCACAACCGCCCTTTTCAGCATCGCCCGCGGACCCCATTCTGGAGGGTGCGCGTGTTGGAAAACCCGACCGATCGTGCTCGGTTCATTCTCTGTTTCTGTTTTCATCATGCGTTAGCGGACACAAAGAGTGCTCTTGTCTTTCACGAAGATCTGGAACACGAATTATCCAAACCTGGAGACGGCGCGTTCGTTACCATCGTCGCGGCATCCCAAGCACCGCTATTGCCCAATATAGAAGCCATCCACAACCTGCCAGTCTCGCCAGAATACCTTGCCAGCCAGCAGCAGGATAGCCTCCGTATCCCGGAGAATTGGAGTGGGGCTCCGCAGAAACTGCCAGTTCGCACGAGGGTCGCCTCCATGTGGATCCCCTCGGCGACATTAGCGGAAGTAAAGCAACATTGCAAAGACCAAAAAACCACTGTAACGGCTTTGCTCATGTCGTTGATCGCAAGGTCGTTCTTTCATGTCCTACCAGCAGAGTATACCAGTATACAAGGGGATTCTGCCATGTCCCTGCGCCACTTCTTACCCTTTCCGATCACCAGTCAGTCCATGGGCTGCTACGTCGGAACGTTCAGTGAGCAATACAGAAGAACATCGGAATCAGTATGGCAGGATGCGAGACGGACAAAGATGACTATCGACCGGGCCGTTGGGACACAGGGTGCCGATATGCCCCTTGGGTATCTAGGTCATGTTCCGAACATAGCTCAATGGTTTCTTGACAAGATCGGAAAACCGCGAGCCGCGGGGTTCGAACTGAGTAATGTGGGATTCCTGCAGAGTGAAAGGAGTTGTCATCGATATGGCATCCAAAGCTTGCTATTCAGTCAAAGTGCCGGTGCTTGTTCAGCCGCCGTCAAGATTAGTGCGGTGACGGGACGGGATGGTAGGATGGGGGTGGCATTTTCGTGGCAAGAGGGTATTGTGGCAGATAACGCGGTGAACGAGGTGATGCAGACGTTGGAGAGACTGGTGGAGGAGATGGCGTCGAGGAAGGATTAGGGAGTAAGGGAAGAAGGAAGAAGATACATGTTTATAGTAACTGAAGAATGCGGAGTGACGTCCAAAGCGGGCGACTAGGGCATAGGGCACCGGCGGTCATGGGCCAAGGTCCGCCGGCGTCTTCCCAGCTCCGCTTTGGCTCCATCATCAGCGGCTCGTCTCTCCTTTATTATTGTTGCTACCTCCGTCCCCGTCAGTCTTTTCAACTTCTCATCCCTTCTTCTTCACTCGTTCATCCTTTTTGTTTAAGCTTTTGTTTTTGTAACTTCACAATGGCTGCTGCGGGAGTTACCCATCCCAGCTCCCCGCGCCTCCCCAGTCCTCCTCCGTTTACTGAGGTGCAGATCGGCCCTAAGTCGCCTTCGGTCGGCGAGTCCATTGGCAAGGATGCAGAGCATTACCTAGGTGCATCTCACGGTGCCGACGACGGCTCGACTCGGAGAATTCGACCGGGAACCAAGGCTGTGGATATGGCAGTGGGCCCTCCATTGATCCCTCTCTCGCAGGTCAGTTCATCGTTGTAAACAAAAACAAAGTCCGAGTGCGCATTTCCCGCTGACCTGGTCTTTTCTCCGCACGCGCAGCTTGACTCCCCCTTTCAACTCCAGGAACATCTCAAGGCGCTTTACAACCATTACACGAGACCCGAGGGAACCGACATTGTCGTTCCGATCAGCCGGGATGTTGCGATTCAGCTTGCCGAACCCCCCGAGGGCATCGACCGGTCGCTTTGGCTGTACGAGCTCTGCCGTTTCCTGACCATGAAGGTCAACAACCTGATCATCGCCTTCTTTGCCGAGAACCCTCCCTGTTCTGCCCAAACCTGTCCGGAGATGCGAGCGTCCGAGTGGCAATACCTCTGCGCCGTCCACGATCCGCCCAAGTCCTGCTGCGCCATCGATTACTGCTGCCACACCCTCGACTGGGCGACCACCGTTCTTACGTCGCCAAAATACTTTCCCAGCCGGTTGACCTTGGGATCGGAGGCGGGCGGCGGACCGCAAGCCAGCATGCGGCATCTGACCAACATCTTCCGTCGGCTCTACCGGATCTTTGCACACGCGTGGTTCCAGCATCGTGAGGTGTTCTGGCAGGTCGAGGGTCACGAGGGGCTTTACATCTTCTTCAAAACCGTCTCTGACATGTACAGCCTGATTCCGGAGGACAACTATACCGTTCCTGCGGAGGCGGAGGGGGTTGATGCGCACCAGCCGGCCGAGCAGGCAGATGGGCGCCGATTGACCATACTGCGGAAGGACAGCGGCGGATCCTCGAACACATCGCTGGAAGCTATGGAGCCGTCATCCATCAGCACGGGCGCAACCACTCGACGTCATAAGAACAGTCCCTCGACCAGCTCGCGGGTAACGACCATCAGCGAAAGCGCTGAGGACGACGAGCAGCATCCGAAAGAGTCCCCGCAGGCGGCGACCGAAGCTGCTCAGAAGGAGCCGGAAGAACCAGAGCCGGAGGAGAAACTAGAGCCTGAAGCGGAACCCGAGAAGTCCGAATCCCAGTCGGAGGTCCCTGCACAGGAGGCCAGCGAGGAACAGCCGGGACCTAGTGAGGACACGTCAGTGGATGCCGATGGGTCCCAGGTCACCGTCGCTGAGGTCCCGGAGGATGAAGACGCCCCCAAGGCACCCGAAGAAAAGCCCGAGAGCAAGGAACAGGAGACAACCGAGCCTAGTCCCGAGGAACCGAAGACGGAGGAGGTCCAAGGTGCGACTGCTGCACCTGTCGAAACCTCGAAATCAGAGCCAGAGTCGGACCCAGAGAAACCGACCACTGCGCCGGAGGAGAACAAAACCGAAACCGAGGCCGCAGCCAAAGAGACCTGAGACGTCATCCACCCCTGACAACACTTTCACCTTCTTCTTTTCGCTTCTGATGTCATATGATGTGCCTGTACTATGCTTTTAATAATGATGCGTGTTTTGCATTCGTGATGTTGATTTTGATGACGTTGATCCATTCACGGACTGGGATGAGGAAAAGGGTACTGATATGTAATATATGATTTGAGTCCTGATTTCAGTGATTAATGATACCCATACCTTTAATCTGGCCTTGATCTGTTACCTACACCGGTGTAGTGTGTAGTAGTTTGATGTGGAGATTAATTTGGAGAAACATAGTTTCTGCCTGACTGCTTGCAGCGACGTAAATCCGCACCGCCAACTTCTCCGCGGAAGAGCTCCGCCCGCAATCCTCCGCCATCCTACAGTTCCCCAGACACCCAAGCTCAATACCTGCCTACATACATACATACATGTCCACCAATTCCTCCAACCCCGACACCACCAACATGTCCGCCGCATTAAAAGGCGCCCCGATCCACTTCGGTCCCTTCCTCGTAACCTCGCAGGTACCTTACCCTGACCCCAAACCCACCCACGCACTCATCCACTAACGAAACAACCCCTAAACCAGGTCTTCCACCAAACCCCGCTCACAATCGCCCTCGTGAACCTCAAACCCATCCTCCCAGGGCACGTCCTGATCTCACCACGCCGCGTCGTCCCCCGCGTCGCAGACCTCACGCCCTCCGAAACAAGCGACCTCTTCCTAACAGTGCGGCGCGTAGGCCGCATGATCGAGCGCGTCTACGGCGCGAGTAGTCTCAACATCGCGGTCCAGGACGGGGTGGATGCGGGCCAGAGCGTGCCGCATGTGCACACGCATGTGATCCCTAGGAAGAGGGCGGATTTGGATCATAAGGGCGGGACGGACGCCGTGTATGATATGTTGGATGGAGAGGAGGGGGATGTGGGTGCTGCTTTGAGGCAGAATCAGAATCAGAGACAGGAGGAGGAGGGGAAGAGGGGGAGGAGGTTTCCGGTCGTGGATAATGAGGAGAGGAGGCCCAGGAGTATGGAGGAGATGGAGGAGGAGGCGAGAATGCTGGAGAGGGAGATGGAGAGGGAGGCGTTGGATTGATTGATTAGAGTGGGTTGAATAGACCGGGTTTACAAGGTGAAAGTGGGCTAGAGATAGATACCTTGTGATGACTATACTACACAGATATTCATGTGATAATGACACTGATACTTGCAAATAACCACTGATTGAACTCTATGGACACTTATCTATGTATCAACCAGCCCAATTCATCGGAATCACATCACGATGGTATCTAATCTAGAATGGCTCACCAACGCCGCCACCGATTTTGGTGGTATGGAAACAGATAACAATGTGAAAGAACACATAAGAAAACTCGTAACGACAATGCAACGTCAACGCCATCAACACATGAGTCTCATGCAAACAAGCATATGCCCCCCTGAAACCAAACTCCGTCTATGCAGATGCCTGTTCAGCCTTCGCCACCTTGCTCTTCCAGAACGCCTCGCGCTCCTGCAGCACCGTGGCCGCCCACTCCTTGATCTCGGGCAACTGGACCTTGCTCGCGACGTGGCAGAACTCAGAGAGATCCAAGTCATGCGTGCGCTCATACTCCACCATCTGCAGCAGGAGCTCCATCTTGTCGATATCGTGCACGAACTTCGCCTCCAGCGTCACATTCTCCTCATACTCCTGGAACACCTTCAGGATGTCCGCGCCCGTCAACATGCCGCCGGGGACGCCGCCCAGCAGATTCTTCGAGATGTAGTCCATCACGTCGGCCTCGCGACGGGCCTTCTCCGACTTATCCACCTTATCGACGGGAGTGATGTCGCCGACCAACGACTCCGCCATGTCGTGGATCAGAGCCATCTTCATGCAGTGCGGCAGGTTGAGTTGGGGGGCCAGCGCTGGCGGGGCGAGCATGGTCATGACGGACATGCGGTACATGTGGTCGGAGATGGATTCGCCGGACGTGATGCCGAACCGGCGCCAGCCTTCGCGCTTGGTGGTCTTCAGGCGTTCAAGCAGATGGAAGAAGGGGACGGGAGAGGCAGAGTTCTCCTCTGGAGGGTGAGGGAGGGTGGAAAGCACTGGATTAGGGGGGTTTTGTTAGCATATTTGCAATCTTGGCTTATTGGAGGGGAAAACCCTGAGGGGTCTTTACCGGACTGAGTGGTCCAGAGGGGGTTGGAGGGGTTTTCGGAGCCCATGATGGCGGTGAAGAAGTCAGCGAGACGGTAAGGAGAAGACTGAAGAGGCAAAGGAGCAGGATGAAATCCCCAATGGGCGAACGAGAGACGGAGGAGGGGAGATGGAGAGACTGAGAGAAACAAGACAAAAAGAGAAAGAAAGTAGTTCTGCGGGGAAAAAGAAAGTGGAAGGCGGTGAAGGGCGATCGCCGCCTTTGTTTCGGGGCCTGATCGACACCTGATTAGGAAGACTGTTTGTTGGTCGACAATCGCCATGCGCTGCTCTTCTCTCTGCTTCTTTGCCGTTTGACTCCTGTTCCAATCGACCGGGCTCATATTCATGATCAGCCACGAACTGTACTCTGATCTCAACTGGTAACTAATTCCCTCCTCTCTATTTCAACGCCAGCGGATACCAACTCGGAGATAGATCAGGGTCCACCGACAATGCAGTCGTCCAGAGCTCCCCTCCGACCCAGGGCGCCAAATTGGCCTCTCCAGTCGCATCTGGCCGTCTTTGTTCGCAACTTGCAGCTCCTACAACTCGATCAGCGTGATGATTGGCCCGAAATCACCGTCCGCTCCTTATCGCCCACATCGCAAACGCAACAACGTCAGCGCATCAAGGCCGTCGAATGGGCCCTCTATCAGCTGGTGGCTATCTGGGACCCGGAAACAGCCCGAGACGTATGCTACCGGGATATGGATTTTTGTGCATGTATTGGATCGTCGGAACTGACCAGCACGCCAGAAACTTCGTCCCTTTTTTCCGCCGCTGGAACCGCTCCAGTCGGTCAACCTGCGCGCTGCGCTGTTTCGGGTGTTGTCTGAATTGAAGAAGAATGGGGAACTAGGCCGCGAGACGATCCTGCGGAAATCCATGATGGATGATTGCAAAGGGGAAAAATTTGATGAGATCCTGGCGGTGTTCTCGACGACAGTCTTGCGCAAGGCCCTGGCCGAGTCGGAAGATGATGACCTGCGGAGCCCGGCCATGAAGATGGCGATGGCTCCGGGGCTGTCTCGTCAGGAATATCAGCAGATGCTGCCTCTCATCATTGCACATCGTGCGTCTCTGAGATCGATGGGGGCCCATCGCAATCGCATCCAGCACACCCACGAGAAATTCTCCGAGCTCCTGGACCGCAAGAAGGGCCAGTTAAACGCTCGAGTCGAAGAAAGCCCGTCGATGCTTGAGGACACCCAGATCGAGTTTGACAGAATAGCACGGGAGACTAAAGCCAATTGGTTCGGTAGCGAAGAATGGGCCGACACACTGCTCTACGGCGGCGCTCGCAGCAGCAATGATACGTTTTTGGAACTCCCGTTCGGCACCGCATGGTCCAAAGCCAACGAGTCCACCGTGGAAGATCTCACTACCAGCGCAACCCCAGACCTTCTGATTGACCTGGAGTCTCGTGTCTCGTTGCAGCGAGCGCGTCTACAGCGATGGCGCCAATATGGCAGTTCCATCCAGAAGCACGAGCGCATAAATTCGACCAGTTCGGCGAATGGATCTTCCCTGGCGTTTCGGGATCACCAGCCACTCACCGTCGCGAGTATCTCCAAGGCCGTTCGCCAGCCCGTGGAGCGTGTCTCCCTCAAAGCAGAAGACCGGTCTCTTCTCTTCTCCATGACTGAAGCGTTGGCTCGAATAAACGGGACATCCTCATATGCAGCCACATCCGGACGGACGGCTTCCTGGCGCGGACCCAGCTCGCATCTTCCTGCTGGACGTGAACCAACGGAAAAGACACCTTCTCCTCCACTATCCTCGCAAGACCCGACATCTCCAGAACAACCTGCTCAAACTCATCCTCACCTCGAGGAAGTCCCCATTCCCTCTGCATCCCCCGCCGTCCAAATCTCACCCTCGCCTTCCCCGCCACTCAACACAGACCCAGACCCAGAACCCCGAATAAACTTCACCGGACTCGTCGAACGAACCCGCAAATCCATGTCCCTGCTGCCTCCATCCTCCAACAAGCCTCCTCCCCGTCGGCCGCGCGACAGCTTGCGTCCCCGACACGCCCGCATGTCCTTCCCCGTCAACCAGTTCGAAACGCCACAGAAGCCATCCGCTCGCGTCCCGGACATCAGCCGCGCTTCGACGCCCCAGGATGACCTCTTCAAGGAAGAAGCGGACTACGCGAGCGTGTTCAAGTCACGGCCACGCGTGGCGACTAGTCCGGTGACCTCGCCGGCGGTGCATTTTGGGGCTATTGATGACTTTGAGCTGATAAGTGGTGATGAGGGCGAGAGCGGGATGATTGATGAGGAGGACGATGAGGATTTTGGGGATGTGGGGATTGGGTCGCCTTCGTTCAGGAGGAGGTAGTCAGGGGAATAGGGGTTTGTGGCTATAGATTCTGTCTCTTGGAAAAAGGAGATGCTATTGGTATAGATGAAAATGTTGAGATGATTGATTAGATTAATGGGCTTTAATTAAATCCTATTCGTTTATGGAAGTGTATGACATGTGCTGTGCGTTTTTTGTTTAACCTTCTCTTCTATTTCATGCCCTGATGCCCATATCCCTCCGGAACGCTGAAGCTTTTCCCTCAATGTTGAAGCCGAAACCGAAACGCCACCCCTCATTTAAACCTAGATATACCATAGACACATGCAAGCGAACGCCCATACCTTGAATTTGTACGTATGAAAGAGCCGAGAAAAGAAAAGGAAGTAGCTCCATGGATAATGAAATGTACCCAGAATGAGCCTCGACAGCACTTGCTCACTGACCAGTTACCCCCGTCTTGTCATATTTCGAGTCCGTCGGCGTGTTGTAGGCGGTTCCTGCGCCTTAGCTTGTTGTGCTTGCTTCTGTGTCCTTGATCTCGAGCCAGTGAATTGAACCTCCGGGTCTGATTCGGGATCGTCATCGTCGTCTGATGACGTCTGAGGCGGAGAAGACAGCTCTTCGACAGAGGGACCATCGCTGTCTGGGATCTCAGTTTTTTCAAAACCGCCTTCTTGATCGTCATTCTCATCATCATCCGCGTCTACGTCCATTTCTTCCGGAGCAGGTTCTGGCTCCGACTCCGACCCTAGACGACTATTAGGTTGAGCAGATTTCGGCTGCTCGTGGTGTTTTTCGACGATTAAACCGCCGTCATCTCCGTCGTCTTCACCGGGTAAGAGGAAGCCACCGCCCCGATCAGCGTGGTCCTCGTCAGCCCCGTCCTCTTCTTGCGGGTGTGAATGGAAGTCTCTAGCCGGAGAGGGAGAAGGAGGCCGTCCGGCCCGTCGGTTCGTGAACGGATTATAATCGTCCTGCTCGTAGTCGCGAGAAGACTGCCCGTATTCCTCACGGACGCGCTCGGCGATGCGTAGGCCGAAGAGGAACTTGCGCCAGGTTTGCAGGATGCGGGCCTCTGTTTTCCGGCGCTCCTTCTCTCGTTTTTCGGCGGCATCGGCGCGCCAGGCGTCTTTGAGGAGATCCTCATTCTCAGCAGCCACTACAACGCCTTGAATGACAGGAACGGCCATTTTAGATCCGAACTCGAAGCCCGTCACAGCCTCGGCATAGTCGATGCCTAGTTTCTTGCAGAGACGCACGGTCCCTGGGAAGGGGACGTGTGCGGCACCGCGCGGCACCATGCTGGGCACGAAGCAGTCAATGTTGCCATAGTCGTTCTTGGGGATGACACCGTCGCGGATAGGGGGCGGTATGATGTACTCGGTTTGGTATTTGGCGTAGAGACCCTGTTTGGGCTTTTCGCCTGTTTCGCGCTCAAGTTCGTCCACCTCGCGTTTGCGGAGAAGAGTGACGGCGCGAATGGGCACCCGTTTCAGTGGGATCTCGCCTTTCTTGATCTGTCGGCCTTCTTTGTGCCAACTCTCCGCTGAGAGGCATTTGACAACGTCTTTCCGTCGGTAGACGTTCTCTTCTTTGGCTTTGACGCCGCGCCCCGTGGTGAATGTGCGGACGTGCTGGGCGCCGGGTTTCAAGGCTTCTTCGCGACGAAGGAATCGCTCGAGGACAAATTCGGCCGACGCACGCAGGCTCTGGAGGGTGTCGCCTTCTTTGGCGGGCTTTTTCTCAGGCTGATTAGGAGCCAGATCCTTTGCGTCCTCGACATCGTCGACTTCAGTCCGTTTGTTGGGAGCACGCTCGTATACGCGCAGAGTCAGGCGGAACCAATCGTACTCGTAGTACTTCCCTTTACGACCGGGTATGGGAATCTTCTCTACGGGAAGCCGGTACCCTTTAGTTTTCCCCGGCCAAGTACGACGACGCAGATACCGCGTAGTAACGTCCTTGGCCGTCTTGTCCGACGAGTAGGCTATGACGTAGCAAATCACCTGCTTAGCTTTGTCGGCTTTGCCTCCGCGAGGCTCGAAGGCCGCCTGCAACTCCGGGGTCGAGGCCACGGCATTTTGGAGCACGAGCGGATCGACCGAAATGATCTCGTGCGTAACTGGCGAGGCCACCTCCGTCCAATTAACCGGGAAGGGCAGATCTTTGTCATATTTTTGAGGCCCCTGGCCGTTGCGGGAGGGTTTCGGAATCGAATCGCTGCTATCGGATTCAGGGTCCACGGCAGTCTCAGTTCCCTCGGTCTCCGTTGTTGGAGCCGTCTCTGCTTTAGGCTTTGGCGTGTAGGCCTCCGATTTGGTCCATCCAAATCCTAGAGGCTGTAGGCTGGCGACGAGCCGCGCCTCGATGTCCAGGGCGCGCAGCAGGGCTGTAAAGAGCTGAGCTCCGAGGTCTCGCGATCCCTGCATGTGTTCGGCCGCCTGTCGAAACTCCGCAACATCCTTCACCCGCTCCCCATGTCTCTCCGCGTCGTGATCATCATTCTGCAAAGAAGATATCTCCGCCTGAAGATGGGACATGGGTTGGTAGCCATGTTTTCGTAACCCGGGGGCGGTGATTTTGAATTGCTTCTTCCAGTAGGCGGCCAGCACCTTGAGTAAAGGGATGATTGGATCACCGCGACTCATATCCGGCTGTCCTGGTTCCAATCGTGTGGACCCTTCGCCCCAGTCGCGCTCCGACTCCTGCCGTTGCTTTCCCTTTTTCTTCATTTTCTTGTTGGACTTGTCTTCCGGCGGCTTTTCCGGGAGCTCCAGACCAGATGCGACGCGCCATTTCTTGACTTCTTTATGGAGCGCGGGAGGTAGTTTGCGCCGCAGTATCTCGTGTACCTCGGAATCGTTTGCCCAGGCATTGCGCAGGGCATTATGGTATAGAAGGAACTGGACGTGGAGACAATGGGTTTGGATGCGAATCTGACGTTCGATCTTTGAAGGACCCTTCTTCCCATCGGCAATGTCTGTCAGATGGACCTCGTTCTGGTCTAGGGTTAACTCGAGGTCTTGAAGGTGGGCGGGCGTGTTCGAAGCTGCCGGGGTGGCGGTAGGGTTGGAGTCGATAGCATCTTCCCAGTCGACTTCTTCATCGTCGGAGTCGGAGTCGTCGGAGTCGTCATCTTCGGGCTGCGGAGGCTTGGGAGTATCGCTGGGAGCATCACTTAAAGACGAATCGGAGCTGTCGTCATCGAGTAGGCCGATCTCGACATTGGGGGTGGCATTTTGACGTTTGGCACTGGGCGGATCCTCGGAGGAGACACGCTTACGAGGGACGTAGGGGGGCATGCGAGAGCGATAGAGGTCAATGTGTTTGGATGATGGAAATAGAGGAAATGAACGAGAGCGTGGATGAGTGAACGAGAGAAAGTTGATTGGGGAAGATGGAGAAGATGGAGACCGACGACGACTCCCCGCTTCCTCGGCAGTAGATTTACTCGTTCATCTTTCCTCCTCTTTCGCCCTTTCTCACCTTCAGTCTCAAATATCTGATTGATAATAAACCTGATTCACTAAGGTGCTGTTTTAAGTTTGATCTCTCTGAAACATCAAATCTCTACGGAATCTAGAATGGACGCCGTCAAGCGCTTCTTCTCGTCTCCGCGGTTTGCGGTCGCCGGAGCCAGCAATGACGCCAACAAGTTCGGCTACAAAAGTAGGTCTCCGTCGCATAAAATGGCCCAAACCCGTATCACTCACTGTATCTGCTATCAGTACTGGCCTGGTATCATCAGCACTCGCTGCCCGTTACTCCGCTGAACCCTCGCGCCGCCTCCATCCAACTGCCCTCGCAGGCCTACGCCACGGTCGCATCGCCGGGTGCGCTGCCGGCTCCGTCGCAGACGTCGCTCTCGGTGGTAACACCCCCCGGGGTAACGCTGCCTCTCCTCCAGGAGGCTCACTCGGTTGGCATTCCGGCTGTCTGGCTACAGCCGGGCACTTTTGACGACGCAGTGCTGAACTTTGCGCGCGGTCACTTCGAGGCGGTCATTGCGGGCGACGGCGGCCGCGGATACGAAGGCTGGTGCGTGCTGGTGGACGGCGAGGAGGGACTGGATGCAGCTGGAGTGCAGTGGAGAAGCCAGAAGTTGTAGGCAATTCATCTGAAAGTCCAACTGGAGTGTGGGGTGCCAAAGTCATAAATGTCGCTGTCAATATCAACCGATGTATGTATGGGTGTGATCACTCTATACTCCAATAGCAAATCCCCGTGGTTCTGGTTTTGATTAGCATCTTCACCCGGATATCACCAATTTTGCCATGCCGTCTGAACATTAAGGAATGAACTAGAGTGGCGTGAAGTCCGATCGGCTAGTCAAGGCAGAAGGTACTCTGTACAAGTCTTTGCATGAAGTGACCCATAGGAGGAGCTAGAGATGCTGCTCGATGCATTGGAGAGGGTCTGCAGATGAGCGACGGAGGTCTCTTGGCAGGAGAACATGACCAAATCTTATTGACTGATGCTATTTCTTGCATTGAATATACTCGGAATACCGAGATAGACTGATTTGGCCCAGAAGCGAATGTGGAGGGAGAATAGTGGAAGGTCTCTGGAGGGGAGGGCAGACCGAAAAGATGAGATCACCTGCCGTCTTTTTCTCCAACCTCCTCTTTATTTCTTTCCTTCAATCTTTTTCCTTCTGTCTTTTTTTCCATTCTGCTATTTTACCTTCCACATCGTTTGTTTCTTTCTTTTTGCAGGCCAGAAATTTAAGCATCTTGAAATACAAAAAATAAATCCAAAGCCACCCCCCTGCATTTTCCCCAAATGCCCTTGTTTGTCGAATCTCCCATTCCCCCTCAACTCGATCTCACCGGTCCTCCTTCGCAAATTTTTGCTCCCACGAGGTCGTCCGCCTCGTCGGCCCTGTATCGCTCCATTTCCATATCCTCGCGCAAACGATGTCGCCACTACGAGTCCGGGGCTCGTGCCTGGACGGATCCCTCCACCGACCTCATCAGTGCCACTCCGCTCAGTTCCCCGGACAGTTATCACCCTTCCTTGTCCCATCTGGGGTCCGACGATCTCCCCTCCGAGAGCGACTACTATCGCCCAAACCGCTATAAGGACTACCACCCACACCATTTCGACGGCAGCATCGAGTCTCTGACCGAGGCTAGCGAGGTCCGTCGCAAACGCAGCCGTCGGGATCCCCATACCTCGCTGGCGGCCCCGCCCGCTGCGAACGAGAAGATCACTTTCCCCGACGACTACGGCCACCACGATGACTACAACCCGGGGCTGTTGGCCCCCGCCGCCCCGGTCCGCTGGACACGCGCGGTGCTGGGCGTGGTAGGCAAAGTCTGGGGATTTTGCTGGTCGGGCGCGTTTCGGGGATTCTACGCCGGCGGAGGTCAAGGATATGCCATGACGGTCGAGCAGGGTCCCTCGGAGAAGCAGGATACCGTGCTTGCCTCTGCCTCGCCCATGCGTCGCGAACGAGATGCGACGCCGGTCCCCGGGGAGTATCCAGATGATGAAATCCGGCAGAACTGGGTGATGGTGCCCTCGCGAGATAACGGCGACGATGCCGCATCGTCGTCTCGCAAACGCCGAGTTCAGTCTCATCATCGTCGAGCTGGCTCCGCACTCATGCGTCACCGACAGTCGGGAAATCGGACCCTCCTGTCGGCTCCTTCGTCTTCGGGGCTACCCACAGCGCACTTTTCTTCGCCCGCTAAACCCCGTGAGACTCCTGTTTCGGTGGAAACGCAGCGATACATGGCTCAGCGCTGTCGGATCGAGCGCGAGGAAGATGCTAGTCTACGTCGCTTGAACCGCCAGCTTCAAGCCATGATTAAAGAGGGACAACAGGCCCTGGGAACCCGCGTGGAGGTTGACGATTACATGGAAGATTGATATCCTTGTCAGCTTTGTTTTTTTTTTTACTGCACTGCACTGCTTTTTATGTTGAACGATTATGCCCATCGGCTACGAATAATTACGGATACCCACTCAGCCATTCTTTTGATATTGTTTTGTTTTCAGCCTTTCTTTCCGATGATGACGATGAAGTACTACTGTTTAAGGAATAGGGTTTATGGCGATCGGATCAGATGAGGTCTTATTTACTTTTTGACGAAGCGCAACGCATTACGAGAACGAAATATTACTAGCAACAGCCTACTTGCAGCTATTGAGATAGTTAGTCGATCATCAACGAGAAACTCAAAATCACTGTACCAAGCCAGTTCTCGCATGTACTGATTCCAACTAACCCTCCGATTCATAAACATGAAGACATCAAGTATAAGAACATAAAATAACAGCCAAATTAAATCTCCATCTTATCATTCCCCAAACATCCATCTTGATATCATATAACCAAGCTCTCATCATCCCTTCCGACCCTCAACCTCCTCCATCCAATATCAATTCTACTTTGACAGCGTACTCGGGAAGTCCTCCTTATTGAGGCCCAACAAAGAAAAGTCAATATCCTTGGTAAACGCCTTCGGGTTCACCAGCGCCGATAGCAGACTGTCGGATTCGAAGCGGCGTTCGGGCTGGTTGGTTTCTGTGGAGGTGGACTGCGGTAGATGGTTTGTTAATTAAGGTGCTCACTATGGACCCTTGACAAATCTATCTCTCGGATAACCGACAATGATAGATAGAGACGAGGCGAAAGGGAAGAGAGGGGAGAGATCATACAGGAACCGGAGCAGCCACAGCGACCGAAACGAAGAGCGCAAGAAGAGCCGTGGTGAACTTCATCGTGTCGAGTTTTTTACTTCTATTTATCTAAAAGACAGCGAGGACTGATAAAGAACGACTGGGTCTGATGCCTATACATCGATATTTCTGATTAGTTCATTGCGCTCTTGAGCCTCGAAGGAAGGACAAGATAGGACAGACAGGACATACCGAGACCACGAGGAATTGTTGAAGAGGAATTTGGTTGAGGACGAAGTAGGAAGGGATGAGATGCGATGGAGAGGAATTGATGGGAGGGGATGGATATACGACTGACTAATCGATTAATTTCCTTTAGATTTGAGTCAAGACGTGGCTTTCTCCCTGGCTCCCTGGTTGTTGCCCCTTCATTCCTAGGAAGGGGGTTGGTTGATTGACCTGTTGGTATGAGTGCTTTCTTTGCGGGTGAGTCTTAAGTTACTACCTACGGATATTGTGAAGACGAAATGACGTGTTGCAAGAACAGTATATGCATTGATTCTGTCATCTAATTAGGGGCCCCCGTCATCGCTATGCAGACAAGTACGTGGTGGTGAGTGTCGTGAGGGTGGTGCACGAGACAAGCCCAGCGTTGAGGAATGCAAGGGGTGACTGGGTGGTTGGGCTTGTGTCTCGTCTTAGGAGGGAGTTGAACTCAGTCAATGGAAGCACCAAAGCGATACGAAGTATCGTGGTCGTACTATCTATAAGGGTGAATACGTACCCTGGATTAGATTCGGGACATGTAGTTGTAGTATTGAAGACGATAATTTAGCTAGAATGCTGAAGGCCGGATTAGGACCTAGATCGACTGAGTCAATCGTCTCATTTCCAGGTAGCTCTCAAGACTTTCTCGCCTCTTCATAGAAGGGAAAGTATAGGAGAACACACCTTACCTTATATACTCGTGTGAACTAAGTTGATGTATAACAATCTAGGGCTGACAGAGTCCCGTGAACGTGGATCTCCCCAAGACAAGGTAAGAGAACATGGGCCCAAAAATAGCACAAGACCGCTCACTCAGGGATATCATGCTAGTCACCCTTTGCCCTAGTCCCCAGGTGGTGCTTTTTATTGTGGATGTTGTCCTGTGTTGTATACTACACTTTAGTCTCAAGTAAAGCCAAGCCACAAAGCTTGGCCCACACTAGGTGATAGCGCCGACCCACCCACTATCAACTTGGTAAATCACATATTGAACACAGACTGCCATACAGTAGATCCAGTGGAGTTATTCCAATAGTTTCCTCGCTCGATACATATCCTTACTTTGGTGGGGAGGATGTCCATATACAGTACACACGGTGACAAAAATAGTAAACGTAAACCGCGTCGACACATGTCGTAAATGGCTGGATGATATATTCCCCTTTAGAAACTACACAGCAACTGGACCCAGACAACTGTACTCACGGATAATATATTCAATATTACTGTGCATATTGTTCCGGAATTTGTGAGCTAGAAGCTGAGTCTAGACCTGTGCCTGTTATGCTGGAATAGGAGTCGGGATAAATTCTAGACTTTGTCAGTCATGTAATTGCCACCGGGAATTAACAACGTACAGTAGTGACTAGCTGGCTGCGAGAGTACACTACTAGGCATTATAGTGGAGTACTTACACCTATTGTACATCTTTTCATGTACAATCAAAGTACACCCAAACTTCAGCCCAACTGATAAGAGAAAGAACTACACGTCATCCTCCTCAGATCCTCCCCGCCCCAAAATCAAGCCAGGACAATAAAAGCAAGCCCTAGCCCTACAGAAAACTGCCGCCCCTCCCAGCGCCGCCGATCTCATCACGCATGAATTTCAGGGTCCAAAACCATACTCCCCAGACAAGGCTGGAATGCCGGGTGGAGAGAGGCTGACGCACGCCGTTGCACAACCTGCAAAATAAAAGACCCGGTTTCATACATGCGGCGGGTCCTTCCTGCGGCACTTCTGCAGCCATTCTATGTAATTATCTTATGCAGTGCGTTGCGTTGTGTTGCATGAACCTGCTCCATACTGTAGTAGTATCTAAGCTACCCGCGCTGAACCCCTTTCTTTCTTTCTCCGACTCGGTGTTTTCCGCTTTCATCCGCCCTCTCTCTTTCTTTTTGCCCCTCTTACCTACCCGACTATCTACCTGTGAATGGATGTATGTACTGTACCTACAGGGTGATCCCTTTTTCTTAGCTTCTTGGCTTCCTAGCTTTCAGCCAAGGTTCCGGGGAAGGACACAGTTTCGCATTCTTGGGATCTGTGCTTTCTGTCGATCCGCCATGTTAGACTTAAGAGTCCTGGATTCCGGGCTTTGATGACGCAGTCTATGAAGTATGAGTCTGGGATTGGGATCTGCGGGGTTGTTCATCTCGGGGTTTATCCCTTGAATACTGGTAGTTACTATGTGAAATTGTGACTATGTATGTGTCAATGTTGAGACGTGGCTTTTTTGTATGTTTTGCTTTGCTTTATTCTTGTAAAATTGAACTTCAGTGGAAAACAAAGTAGTAGTAAAAAAAATGTTCTTGCAAGTCTCATATTCGTGCTCGCTTGTCTAATAGAATCGCCACATCAACGCTGCGTAAATCCAGTTTACCCAGTAAAGAAATCTATATACATGAAAGAGAAACGAAAGCCCCAAAATATTATCCGATCAGTTGAACAGAAACATTAACTTGGCGTGTACCCCGCATCTATAAGTGCTTGTTTTCGAAGATAAAATGTAAGGTGAGAAAAGAAACGCTCGATGATAATCATGTCGGTTCCGAAACGCCAACCCAAACGCTGGTAATGCAGTGATCTTTTGTAGATGCCGTAACGAGAAAGGTGAAAAAAGAAGTTGAACGGAGACGAAGAAAAAAGGTGGTCCAAGAGAAGTGAAGGTTAGGTCGAATTAGTTCATGTTAGGACGGAATTTCGGGTTGGTCCGGATGCTCTCTCCGTACTTCAGGAGGAAAAGGGTAGTGGGCGCAAATGCGGCCGCAATGAAAGCCAAAAGACTGTTGCCCCAGCCCATTCCAAGCTTGTTGTACAGATGGGTGCCGGCAAGGGGGATGGTGGCGCCGAAAATCGACCGAAGACAAAGTTCCGCCGAGACGGCGCTGGCGGCGTACGTCGTGTATGCGTCCACCAAGTACACCTGCGTCACCAAGTGCACGTAGTAGATACCGGCGCCTAGGAAGAAGGTACCGATGATGGGAACGATCCAGTGCGTGTGGTACTCAGCTGACCAGCCGTACCAGAGAAGGCCGATGGGCACGAGACAACATCCCACGACGAGAGGCGGCAGACGGTCCTCGGGCCTCATCTTGCCGTGGATCTTCTCTTGTCGTCGCACATAGCGGTCTGAGAAGTAACCAACCGTGATTTGACCGAAAGTGAATCCTAGACCGATGCCCAGGTAGCCGAGACCAGCCTCGCCCGGCGAGAAGTTGTACATCGACTCAAAAAGCTCGGTGAAGGTTGTGAAGAGGATGTACATGTAGCTGTATGTGACAGCACTGTACAGAGACACAATCAAGACGATGGGCGAGAGGACCAGGAATTTGATCGGACGGGTCAGTGAAACCCGCAGCATCTGGCAGGCAGTTTGGCCCGTTTCGAACTTGGTACGGTAGTGGCGACCCGTCTGCTTCTGTAGCCTCATCGCCTTCTTCTGGAGAATGGTTGGTGCGTATGTCTCGCGGAGCAGAAACAAAGACGCAATAGCAACGATTGCACCCTGATCAAACTGATTAGCTTTGTGTTATAGATTCCGCAGGGTCTGAGATGACTTACGACAATGGCCTCGAGCCAGACAGTCCATCTCCATCCAACGTTTTGAACCATATAGCCACCGAAGATAGGACCTGAATTGGAGTGTGAGTATGTGCAAGAGATTCAAATTCATAACATCACAATGCTTACCAGTCACAAAACCCAAAAGAGGCCCCACGGTCCAGATTGTCATGGCCGTTCCTCGCTCATCCATTTTCATCATATCGCTAACGAAGCCACCTCCCACAGTTACTGGGACGGAGCTAGCCACACCCATGAAAAGTCGGGAGACGATCAGCATCGGTATGTTGACGCTGGCAGCACACACAATGTCGGCAACTAAGAAAAGAAAGTTTGCCGCGTGGGTCATAGGCAACCTCCCGCTCATTTCGGTGATAGGTGTCAGGACGAGAGGGCCAATAGCAGCCCCCATAACGTATACAGAGATCATAAGCGAAGAGATAGAGTCATCATGGTTGTTGAATTCATCCTGGACAGCCGGCACAGCCGGTGAGAAAATTGTAGACACCAGAGAGCTGGGAAGAGTCAGCATGACATGTCCGCCACAAAGAAGATCAGGAGGGTGACAGGTCTGCCTACACATTGTAACTGCTTATGGAAATCAAGGCAATGGTCAACCATTTTCGGAAATTCGTCCAATTCATCGGGTTTTCGGGATCATTGGGACCATCCCAATGAACGAGGTTGTCATCCTCATCCTGAGACGACTCTCCCAATTCGGCATCACTGCTATCAGTTGGTCTGATAGATGCTGTTTCAACATGGACGTCCTTTTTCTCCGTGAAGCTCGCATCAGAGGTAGGCAAAGAAACCGCCGAATCATGGGTGGTCTGTGGTGACATGGTGATCACACAAAGGGGAAAAGGCTATTGAGATGAAGGTTCAAAGGAAAAGCATGAGAAGATAGAGACCAAAAGAAGGCAGCCATGGTCGTAGAAATAAGTAAACGGACAGTAGGCAAGAAGAAAAAATAATTGTTCCTCCAAAAAAAAAAATCACCGTCGTAGTTGATCATGATGATAATTTGCCCTGATTTTGGCAGACAACGCGCGTCCATACAGATGGATATTTCTGGTATGTTGGCCCTTGCTTTTTTTCCTTAGAAAAATGATTTTTCACCCAAGCTCCTTATTTTTCTGATCTCCAACGGCAAAAAGGGCCCTGAATCAGATGGGTCATCGCGCATTGGTGGATACAGCCAAGGGCATCCGCTGGGCAGCACGGGCTCCGAACCAAGCTATAGGGATGACGATGCCCTTCGACACCCCCTTGCATGGCCGAGCTTTATTCCATGTCCGTTACCACACAATGCCAATAAGCTCAGCTTATCGTCGTCCCGATCTACAAAGTCCTCTATTCGAAGGGTAACGCATCATAATTATCCCCACATGATCTGCCCGGTGTCCAAGGCCTTTGAAATTTTCTCCCCTTGTGTTAAGGCTGGTCAGCCATCTTCAAGTGGCATGAAGATTGTCTCCCAAATAGTGATGGATGACGATATGAGGGGCGTGGAAAGCCCTACCCCCCTTGGAATGATTTTGCCAACGTTGACGTGGCCTTGAGCAATCGAAGAATGGAAGCTTGCGATACTCCCATTTTCGTAGCCGAGGTCAGATAAAGATGGCCGGAAGGGGAATCGTCCCCTGAAGGAAGGGAAACCACCACTAGTTGGTGGATCCAGAAGCCAATTTTTGTCCGTCTGTTAGGGGTCTAGAAGATGTTTCATGGTTCCTGCTGTCACCGCCATGGGCGTTGTGGAGAACCACCAAGCCATGATGGAGATAGTTGGGGTGGTAGTACATTTGGTAGTTTATTCTAGATGCGTTGTCATCACCGTCACGCCATCTTAGCCACCCACCCACCTTGAGGGATGGAACAGAGAGATGGGTAGTGGGATGGCGAGAATTCCACAATCAACAATGGGAAATTCGAAACAACGTCGAATGTTGATCCGCGATCCGTGACATAATGAAACCTGCCACACAGCGTTGATGGTTGAGATATGTAGATCCGGATGCCCGACAGGGCAACCCAAGCTCCGATCCAGTAATGCTTGACCCGCGAGCTTCGCGGCCAATCGATTGGATGGCGGGTGCGGGTGATCCTCCCCTCGGGACGGACTATCGGATGTCAATCACGGTCGCAAGCTTCGACTTGATGGAGCTCATGAACTTCATGGTGGGAGGGGCGAGGGTGATTCATCTCCATGCTCCACCGAATGGCCCATCCTTTTCACTTTTCATGGTCCCGGACACGGTCTAGAATAGGTTCTCCGTGACCTCCCCGGGTTGATCTTCAGAACTATTACTAACAGTTCAGCCAATATCTTAGCCAGATCGGCAGGGAACCCTCCCGGGAAATAGTCGCGTGAAGGAAGCTCTGTCCAACGGCTGAGCCGTAGTGGATACAGAGAACCTTCGAGCCATCTTGGCCGAACAACGAATTGTGGAGAGTTCTTGCAAAAATTTAAAAAAAGAAACGAAAAAGTCGGCAGGAGGGCTTTCTGGAGATGCACACAAGCTTCAAAGCAGCCAGCCACTCCCGGCAAACTTCCCTTGCCACAATTAGGAACAGGTCTCTCAGATGGCGAAAAACAGTAGTTTAAGTTTTTGCCCCCGTCTGAGACACTGACAGATCCCTCCTTCGCCCAGTTGGAAATAAACGGATAAGCTCGGGGCCTCCCAAGGTTCGTGCTCGGTTTCATATTTTTGATCAACTGGAAATTGGGAGTCTATCCCATGGCTCCTTCATCGATCTGTAAAACGGCCACGACGGTTTCTTCTCGGGACTTTTGACAACATGTGGCTCCCTCCACACCTCTTACTTTTCCTTCGATCTGTCTGGAGTTTTGAGTGACCGAGAGACGTGCGACAAGGCCCACCCACGATATGTGTGGTTTCAGTAGTATATAAAGTTAGTTAGCATTGGCAAAGCCCACATGGAGGCAAAAACATCCCCGCCTACCAAGTCCTGAACTCCGAAGCGCGCGCTTCGTCTGAATCTTCAAGTCGGCACGGCACACCCAGTAATGTTCGCCAACGATGTGTAGCTTGTCGACTGGACCAACGCAGTGTCTCCATTGCGATGCTGGATAAACTACTAGATCGGCAGTTTGATGGATGCGAGAAATAGCACCTCTCTAGACCAATGAAGCAGGTGGGATCCCGTTGGAGCGAAAACTCCGATAGATTTTGTCGAAGGAACTCCATGGAGTAAGTGGCGCGAAGACCGTCAAAAGGCCAACGCGGTCTCGTGCTGGCCCACGTGCGCGAAGGTTCGACAGCCCTGGTGCCTGAGCCGCCTTCTTCCTTCTTCCTTCGCCTTTCCATTTCCCTTCTTCCAGTTACAACCTTGTGGCCAGACCATGGTCGGTGCAGGTCGTGCTTCTAGAGCGCGATATCCGCCTGAAAAGAGACCGAGTTTCGAATTATGGAGAACGAGGGATTTTCGTGCTAAGTGACAGATCAATCGGTTGTCGCGATAATGCCTGAAGAAAAGCAATACTCTACTATATTATGGTGACATCCTTGGCGCTTTGGTGTCCACTTTCTGGGGAAACACTTTCCAGAAGAAGATAAACAGTCCCTGTGGGTGAGCATAGAGCATGGTCCCTATTACCATCACCATTAAAAGTTATATGATGATCAATTTGACACCTTACGCTGCGAATCAAACCACTTGAATTCAATTTCTAATGTTCACAGAACCATTATCAACATTGCAGTCAATACAATATGCTACCCAGATCTGAAGGGCGGCTAGAAAGAAGAAAAAAAGAAACATCTGCCCGAAAAAAAATGTTGCTGCTACGTCGCTGGACAGGATCAACCTGTTCAAAGGCGGAAGAGAAAAAGAAAGGCCAAGCTAGTCGTCCTGACCCCGAGAAGTGACATCTAGAATCGCTTGTGGTAGGCCAAGACTGCATCCTCGATAGCGTCAACCACCTTCTTAAACTGTGCGGGTTTGGCGGCTCCAATATCGCGGAATTCGAACAAGGGCACCAGCCGTTTGGGGTTGCCGTAGACCTCCTCGCGAGCCGACTTCAAGCCGCCAACCTGTTTGTCGATAACGGCATCTCCCTCAGCCAGGAGGTCCTGGCCCTTGGGCAACTTCTCCATCCATTCCTTGAGTCTCACGCGGGGTTCGTCCTTCTTCTTAGTCTTAGGGTTCTCGCCTTTCATGTGAAGTTCGGTCATTTCATTGATGTTTTTCTTGGGCTTGGGGTTCTTCGCATCGCCGTCGCACATCGAGTCGTCGAATCTATCGGAGTCCACCATTAGCATTCCTCTATCACAGCAACGAGCGCAAAACTCACTCAACTTCGTCGTCAGCGCCGTTCTTGTAACAGAGCAGGACTGAGACTAGGTTATATAGATCCCCTTTGATATCAGACTTGACGTCCTTGTAGATGCTGGCGAAATCAGTGCGCGGCATGATCGTCGTGAGCATCTTGGGGCTAATTTCCGGGTTGCTTCTGGACTGTGCGTTCTTGGCGTAGGAAACAACCAAGGACAAAAAGCCCATTGCATCCGCAGTGATCTTATCCGGGCTGTTGCCTTCAGGGTTTGCCTGGAAGAAATTCTTATTGACCCAGATCATTCGCTTCTTGGAAGCCGGCTTAAAGTCCGACAACAGGGGGCTCTTCTCATTGAGGTGAGCCTTGCGGAACACGTCATGGATAGCACCTAATGGCATCGGGACGGTGACCTGGTATTGCCACTCAACCATAGGGATCATGGCTTCGTTTACCGGCTTCACCAAGTCCCACTTGTGGCATTGCTTGGGTGTGGCATGGCGGATAGTCACAGGACCACTGCCTTTCTTTCCTTTGTGTGGTTTCCACTTTTTCGTCTGTTGAGGTATTAGTGCTTCATAATTTGACAGGGTCTTGCGAGAAGGGAGCATACAAAGTCATTTGCCACCTCGTCCGCGGCCTTTCCAGCGCGACCAGAGCCGAGTTTGATCTTCTTGCCATTAAGGATATATTCTCCCGAGAGCTGGCCTCCTTTTCCATCAGTGGTGTCCACGGTCAAGGCCCAGTCCTTTCTCCGCTTGCTTGCTCGGTTCTTGACTTCCTTGCCTTTCAGCGCAAAGGTGTTCTGGTCGTTGCACTTTTTGTTTATGAACTGAACGCCACTGGCCTCAAACTCTATACCAATTCCAGGCTTCTTATCCGGGGTCGGGCCGTCTTCGACAGCATAAATGTCTTCAACTTTGTGGGCATCGGAGAAGGGATTGTCAAGGTCGAACTTGTCAGAGAAAGGGTTGCTTCGATCTGAGCCGCGAGAAGATCCTCGGTTGGACCCACGGGAAGAACCCCGAGAAGAGCCCCGAGAAGAGCCACGACCCCTGCTATCATCGGTTCCCTGGCGGCCCGAGGAAGAGCCGTGTTTTCCATCTTTTCCGGTGGTAGACTTGCCCTTTTTATCCTCCTTCTTGTCATCTTTCTTGTCGTCTTTCTTATCGCCACCGGAGAAGAGGCCGCTAAGTCCGTGCTTCTTGTCGTCATCAGAAGACTTTTTGTCATCGCTAGAGAAGAGACTGCCGAGACCCGAACCATGCTTCTTGTCGTCGGAATGGTGGCTGCTTCCCCTACTGCCGCTGGAGGAACGATGGCTGCCGATACCTTTACCACGTCCCGGCAGAGCAGAGGTAGGCATAAACGCCGACAGAAGGAACAGACAAAGCAGGCATAGTGCCACCTGGTTAGTCACCAGGCGTGACAGATGCATTGTAATAGAATAACGAGTGACAGATAATGAGCGACAGAATAAAAGAGTGACAAAAAAACAAGGAAAGTTGTTTGTTCTGAGTCGAAAAGCTCAAGATCAAGGCAAGCCCTACCAGCCTATTTATACATAGTCCTCCTTGTCTAGCATATCTACCTTTACTTTCACATCGCTCTGAGGGGTTCAGAACGAGAGATGAGACATGTTGGGGGCGATGGATCAAGCCGACTTTGCCTGCAATCAATTGCCGTGCAATGAGGTAGGCAGGTTCAGGCGAGCAAGGCATCTCGGCCCTTTCCTCGGATCTAACAGGTCTGATTGGTGTTATACATACCTCGAGGGGAGGCAATGTGTCAACGCTTACCCATTTTGAATGTCAATTCGCAGAATATCCGATACTTTCTGGAATGGGAAGGAGGTTTTCATAAGAGAAGGTGAAACTCGGATCATGGCAGTGCTTTCTGGGCACGCGTTGGCTTATGCTTGTTGGTCCTGAGCGAGGCAACTGATGGCTTGCTGCCCCCTCTTGAAATTACTCGCCAAGCCCGACTACGTTACAGGCACGTAGATGATCCGCCAAGGTCGTCGAGTGATTTTCAAGAAGGGTCCATAATTTCCGCCCCTCAAGCGCTCTGGGAGCAATGTAACTCAACGACGAAGCAATGCGAGAAACAGTCAGCCGTAAGCAACGCAATAGTAATTTTGTTGGGTATGGGGGAGGATTTGACCCTGAAACGAAGTTGGACTTGGAAGGGCAGTGGTTGGTTGAGACCCCTGCGGGAACCAAGATCGCCCCGACGCATGGACCAAAGGATTGCAGCGCATCTGACAGGCGTTTTCCAGAGCCCCCCACCACGTTGTTCCTAGCTTCTTAAGATGCATCGATGCAACTTGTTCCTTCGTCCCTATAGTTCCCGGACAGTGATTTCTCATCATGTCATCTGACCTCCTTTTGGCGCGTCTTCCGTCCGAACTGATCGTGTCGATCTTTGGTGCCCTTCCCTCGTTCTCAGACGTGGCCTGGTTTGCGGCCACCAGCCGTCGCCATCGCCAGGTGTGGGTTGACAATGCCTATACCATCTATCAACAGGTGGCCCCTCGGACGATTCCCTGTAGCAAGCATGCGCGGGTGCTTCTGGCCGATCAGGGGGGTCCCCCGGTCAGCGATACACACTTATCCTTCCAGGAGGTCCTCCAATTGATCCGGAACGCCGCGGCCTTGGAGCAATCTGTGGCGGAATTCGAAAAGAATCACATCAGTCGCGTCGTAGGTAAAGACAACCCTCTCTGATCCCCAGCCCCGAGGCTAAAATCAATCATCCACGGCTTTGCTAACAGTCACATAGAATATTCGCCCTTCAAATTAAAGACTCGCCTACCCCATCTGACGCGTACCGAGCGTGTTCGATACATTCGGGGCGTTTACCAGCTGTGGGGTTTAGCACTCCTAGGCCCAGAACCAAGACAGCAGCGCGTTCAGTCCATGAAGCTCAAGGATCTGCTGATCGTTCGCGATCTAGCCCTGGGTAATGTGGTGCATATCCCGGACCCGACTGTCCAGGCCATGGGAGATGGAGACCCTATGGCCGCGCTTGAGGTGATATGTGCGGATCTCTACCCACGTTTAGAACAGCTTGTGAGTGACTATTACGATGAATACCTCAGCTCGTGGAACTGGCCTTATTCGGAGGGACTCAGGGGAAGCATCACCATCTGGGATTCATACTATGGCAATTACAAAGACATGTTGCTAGATGATTCCCGTGGAAGGCGCTGTCCGGCCCCGGAGCTGGTGTGGTATGATACCTCTGATGAAGAGGGGATATGGTAGTTGGCAGGAAGGGAATATGAATTGACTTCATCTCTGCTTTCCCGAAAGTGGTGCTGCGCTAGGCCCCTTTCGGTGATTTTAAAAACCTGACTTCTCAGGCATCAAGTAGCGATTTAGACTTTGCACTGTTTGCATTTGTCAGTGTTCCTTAGATATGGCTGGATTGTTTACATAGCAGCGCCTGCTTTGCCACCAACAGTACTTTTAGTTCCAACAGGATAAATCATAGTTTAGACGGAAAGATGGCCGCGAAAACACCCTCGATCTAGAGAACTTCAACCTTCAGCGCTGCGATCTTCCACTCTCCATCAACCTGGGCAAAGTCCATTGTGTTAGCCCCATGGCCGGTAGGAGCCCAGGATTCTGTATCTATGCAAGTTGCCCAACTGTGGTTTTGACACGCGAGAGGGATATTTGGGTCGGACATTGCTGGCTGGTTTCTCGGGATTGATACGCCGAGTGAAGGGGTACTTGGTGAGTGGGTGGTAAACTAGGCTGAACGCAGTTGGAAGATGTAAAGTGGCAAAACACATCAACACATGTCCAGCGAATTCCTTCTCTCGCTGTCGAAGCAGGCTTCTAAGTCCACTGCTGCCTTTCTTCAAAAACTGTTTCAAAACTTACTCAAGGTTAACGGAAAGAGCTTTATTGGATGGATTTCGACTGGGCCGGTCATTCTGGTGGCTTGTCTGTTATCAAAGGGGCTCAAATGGCAGTGAAACTGCCTAATGAGGCATTGACAGCGAGCTACGAGATTTACAGAGCTCGGGAAACGCGTCGAGCGTCGCCGTTCTCGCTGTCTTGGACAGATTACGATTGATGGAGATGCGAAAACAAGATGCTTTTGTGTGGTTCTGGACCTTACCACAGAAATGGTTCTCCCGAGGCGATGGATGTAGTTGATGGATTCATGTTATATAGTTCCTAGCGTTGTTTAAATGCAACTGCTACTGTACCCTGGTACGAACTCTAATCTCCAGAGATGGAATTTTGGAATATATAAGCGATAGTATATCTAGGTTATATTGCATTATTTCAAGTTTTGAAGACGCTGGGTCATTTATAATGAGTATGTAGTTCTTGCGATCTTTGGTTTGTTCATCTCCAAGTATGTACATATAACTATGTATTTAACGGCTGAAATAGTGCGATAGTCTGTTTGTAAGTCTCAGTGTAGTGAGGACTAGCTAGCGAGATCAATATATAGTTTTACAGATGACAAGGTGGCCGACTGAGCATATCAAATTTCTATGTTAGTGAGGTATCTCACCGTATTACTTGTGTCAATAAGACCCTAAAACAATATACCTCAAGAATAGCTTTTTTGCAACTCATTAAAGACCGCCTAATAGTTTCCGCATACCCCTAGGCTCCTGCGTAATTTTTAAACGTAACGTAGGGTTAATTAATCTCTACCTTTTTTTTGGGATATGCTTGACACCACATTTGTATACTAGATCCGAGTTATGGATACAACGTAGTTGTTGCTCTATTTTTTTAGGTTAAATTAATCAGAAAACAGCTATTGTATTAAAATTAAGTAAGGTCTACAGGAGAGCATATACTTCTTCCATTCAGCCCGTCTTTAATCTACACTAATCACGGATCTTTCATGCGTAATCAAGGAATGACTTAGTGTGTTTACTAGAGAGCGGTTTATAAAAAAACTGTGAATGACCTCTGAGTACCACAAAACTAAAGGCCTCAGTCTACTATGTAAGCTTGCTCGGCACCTTCTTTCCGATGTCTCATATCGCTTGGCAGCCCGGACTGATAATGTACATAAAATGTAAATGTTATGACCCTGAGTTATGGGGAGTCTCCAGGCTCCACTTCGGCATCCTCGTGCCGGCCCCGTGACGTATGCATGCCCTATCTTGCTTGCATGGGGTTTCGTCCAGGCAACACCGCGTGTAATCCAAATTGGAGATGCAATGATGGAAATGTGTCACCTTCGCGTCGAAGTGCGTATAAATAGGCTGGATTTCATGTACCACAGTACCACTTCGGTTTTTGTCTGCTAAGAATGCTTGTAGCCACTAGTCGGTATGCCGTACCAGGGTTGAAGAATTGTCAAGCCACAACGATTGAGGTGTTATGGATATAGATTGAACATTACAATTACCCCCAAAATACTGGATCTTATACTGGGACCCTGCCATTCTAACCATTCTCATCCCCAGGTGCACCGTCATCGACCGAGAAGCCGGAAACACGATTTGTCAAGATTTGCAGGCCAAGCCGAAGTGGAGCAAAGGGCCATTTGCTTGTCTGGGCACTAAGGAATACTAACTCCGGGCCGACCGGCGTTCACGAATGAGAAGCCCAGCTGGTAATAGTCAAGTCGGGTCGGGTTCAAGTTTTTTTGCCCCTGGTGGTTTAAGACTTTGATCACTGCCACTCTAACCGAGGCAGCACTCGGTTGTCAATGCCGATTTCCTGCTCTCTTTCCAGCTCGGTTGGGGTCGCGTTAAAATTTCTTTGCCCATATTAATACTTGTAATAATATCACGCTCGTTCATTATTATTGCCATATTAATTCTTCCACCCTTGGTCATCCATGTAACATTAGCCCGGGATCTCGCTAACAGAGGAATATCCCGCGATCTACGGCTTCTCCGAGGCCAACGACCTCTTGTTAGGGTGCACAAGCCAAACACGGACTTAATGCTATAATCTCTACTGTTTATTTGTTCCATTAGAATCGCTGTCAGGTGGGTCATTCCATCACAATTGTGTCACCAACACGACGATCCCCGAGCCAGGTTGACATCGAGACATCGCGCCCTCAGTCATTCTCAACAAGCCCTAAGCTAACTTTGGATGAACAGTGATCAGGGTCATATCATATAATCCAGCAGGCATGACAGGTTCAGCCGCTGGTGAGGCAATTTTGCCAACCCGCATCAACTGCTTCCGTCTGGTGTTCGACCAGAAGGTGGTTACGCAGGAAATCGCGAGCTACCCCTACGATGGCTCCGGCACCGAGGAAGACCCGTACGTGGTCATCTGGATCCCCAACGATCCTCGCAACCCGATGAACTTTGGCACTGTGCGGAAATGGTCGTACACGTTCCTAGTCTCGTTTATTACGCTCACTACCGCTTTGGTCTCGTCCGCCTACTCGGGCGGCATGGCCCAGATCGTCGAGGATTTCGGCTGCGAGCAAGAAGTCGCCATCCTGGGTATTTCCCTGTTCGTGTTGGGGTTTGCCTTCGGTCCCCTAATTTGGGCCCCAATGAGTGAAACCTTTGGTCGTCGGCATATCTTCACCATCACGTATTTCCTCATGACGGCGTTCAATGCGGGCGCGGCGGGCGCCCAGAACATTCAGACCCTCATCATCCTCCGCTTCCTGGCGGGCTTCTCTGGCTCGTCGGCCTTTGGCAATGGTGGCGGGAGTATCAGTGATCTCTTCCCTGCAGCTCAACGAGGCATTGCCATCAGTTTGTTTGCTGCGGCGCCGCTGTGTGGTCCGACTGTTGGACCGGTCATCGGCGGATTCCTGGGCAGCGGTGCGGGATGGCGCTGGGTTGAAGGCTTTATGGCTGCGTTTTCTGGCGTCGTGTGGCTTGCGGTCACCTTCTTTCTACCCGAGACATATGCCCCTGTTCTTCTGCGTCGAAGGGCCGCCAAATTGTGTGAGCTGAATGGCGGAGTTTATCGCAGCAAGCTTGATATCGAGCGCGGCAGGGTCCCGTTGACCAAGACGCTCTCCACAGCTCTCTCACGGCCCTGGCAGCTCCTGTTTCGAGAGCCGATCGTCCTCTTGTTCTGTATCTACATGGCTATTATATACGGCACACTGTATATGCTGTTCGCCGCCTTCCCGATCGTTTACCAGCAGGGCCGCGGCTGGAGCGAGGGTGTAGGCGGCTTGGCTTTCATGGGCGTTTTGGTAGGAATGGTCCTCGCCGTTCTCTACACCATTCCTGACAATCTGCACTACGCCAAACTGTGCCGACAAACCACAGGGCGTCTGGCTCCGGAGGTTCGACTTCCACCCAGTATCGTCGGGGGCATCGCTCTCCCGATCGGACTATTTTGGTTCGCCTGGACCAACTCACCCTCCATCCACTGGATGGCCTCGGTCGCCGCCGGTGTCCCCTTCGGATTTGGAGAGGTTCTCGTCTTCCTCAGCGTCTTCAACTACTTGATCGACTCGTATACTATCTTTGCGGCCTCTGTGTTGGCCGCCAACTCTTCCCTGCGGTCTCTCTTCGGCATGGCCTTCCCTCTTTTCACTACCTACATGTATGAGAACCTCGGCATTCACTGGGCCTCGTCGATCCCTGCATTCCTTGCTCTCGCTTGCGCGCCTTTCCCGCTTCTATTCTATTGGTATGGGGCGGGGATCCGCAAGAAGTGCGTTTACGCCGCCGAGTCTGAAGCATTCATGAATCGTCTCGCTGAGATGCAGAACAAGCCGGTGCGTGCGGCGCAGCCTGCCGAGGAGAAGGTTACAACGGGCCCTGGAGAGCAGGCCGGTCAGGAAGAGAGTGACGATAGCAGCGATAGTGATATGGATAGTCTCTCGACGATCGAGTCGGAAGGTGTCATTGGTCGACGGGCGTCTCGCGCATCTCGAGCGAGTAGACAGTCGGCTCGTTCGGGGCGGTCTTTGGCTCGAACGGCTACGCAGTATGAAGAGAATCCGTATGATATTGACCGGGTAAATACGCGGAACTCGGCGATCAGTGGACGCAGAAAGAAATAGATAAGATTTCTGCAAGGCATGATTGATAGGATCAAGGTGGAACGACAGAAAAGTACTGTATAGAGGTGAACCAATCACCGGCATTGCATATAGCGTATAGAATTTGTATAGAGGCTCACAAATAGAGCATAAAGAAGTTCATAATGGTAATCACCGATGTCTAAACGTGCTCTCAAGTTACTCCTGTCCAACAAGATCAAAGCATGCCACTCTCTTTAAGGGAACTTTCCTGTGTGACTCGCCTGTAGGTCATCCCTTTTCACTTACCACGTCCTTTGCCCCTCTTCTGCTGTCCTTATCTTGTTCATAGTACAGAGAGTCTAAGATCCTCATTGTCTTACTCGTTTTCTTTTCGTACGTTCGCATCGTGGCTTCCTATTCCCTCAATACCCCCGTCCCCCGAATCTCAACCCAGATCATGAGCAAAATGGAGAGCCACCCCGTTCTCTTCTTCACAAACAGTGAATTTGGCCAAGCAAGTATCATACTCGCCGTGGCCCACGAGTTCCTCCTTCGCCCATCCTACACAGTCCACATCGCCTCCTTCCCCAGTCTCGCCTCATCCATCGATACCCTCAACGAGCGAGCCAAAGAGCTCGCGCCGACCACCACCAGTGCCACCTTTCACCCAATCAACGGTCCATCCATGGTAGATGTGTACAACAACACGCCCCATTTCGTTGATCATTTCGACTATCACCAGATCGGGTTCCGGGGTGCCAATCAGGCCTTCAACAACTTTATCCCGATGCTGATGAACCCGTGGGATGGGCCCCAGTTTGTCGCTATCTATCGTGATTGCGTCGATACCATCAAGAAGGTTCGGCCTGTCATTGTGGTCGTGGATCCTCTGTTCACTATTGGTTTGGATGCTTGTCGGGTCTTGAGGTGGCCGCATGTCCTGCTGAGTCCGAATACCACGAAGGATCTGGTTCCCCAGCCTCGGTTGGCGAATCTGTGGAAATATCCAGCGTGAGAATCCTCTTCCTCCTTTTTCCCAGAATCACTCGTTTCTGCACCTCTGTTGCCCATAATATGCAAAGAAGCTCACCACGAACCAGTCTCTGCACAGGATACCCCTACCCAGTCCCGTGGTATCTAGCCCCCCTCAACATCTTCCTTACACTCAAGATCTTCCTGATACTCCTCGGCAACAAGCGCATCAAGGAGCTCCGAGAGTACCGAAACAAGCACGGCATCCCAGGCCCAAATCCCTTTTTCACCAGCCCCGCAGGCGACAAAACCCCCTACCTCCTCGTGACCACACCAAGCGCAGACTTCCCCTGCTTCGTGCCCGACAACTTCACCCTCTGCGGACCGATCGTGCGGCCCTGCGCTCCGATCGCCCGCGAGAATTCTCAGCTTGCGGCGTGGCTGTCCCTGCGTCCTACGGTACTCGTAAACATGGGGTCTCATGTGGCGTGCAGTGCGGCACAGGAGCGTGAGTTCGCAGAGGGTTTCCGCATGTTGTTGGAGAAGCGAAGGGATGTGCAGATTCTGTGGAAGCTTCAGCGGCGGGGCGAGCGTGACGAGTCTGCTTTGGTCTGTCTGAGGGAGGCGATCGAGAGGGATCGTGCTCGGATTGAGTCGTGGTTGAGTGTGGATCCGATCTGTGTGCTGATGAGTGGACAGGTGGAGTGTATGGTTCATCATGGGGGTTCGAATTCCTATCATGAGGCGGTGAGGTGAGTTGATCTACTTTCTATAACCTGTCCATATCCTGATATTCCATCCTCTCAAGGTTCTTTGCACTGACGATTAATTAGGGCCGGAGTTCCCCAGGTCGTCCTGCCCACCTGGTTCGACACCTACGACTTTGCGCATCGGGCAGAGTACTGCGGTATTGGAGTCTGGGGCAGTCGCAATAGCGCTCCAGCTGTCCGAGGCGTCGACTTAGGGCAAGCCTTGATCCGCGTGCTGGCCAGCGAGGAATCTATCGGTATGTCGGATCGTGCGAAGAAAGTGGCTGCGCAGTTGGAGGGCGAGGGCCGCGTGATTGCCTGCGAGAAGATCATTGGTCTGATTCAGGGCCAGAAGGATGGCTGCAAGTAGCCTGTCTGTCTGATTGTATCAGGGAGCGTGATAGAAAATGGAGGTTGAACTTTTTGGGAATTTTCACAGATGGCATCAATTGGCAGTTCTTACTCGGTTTACTCCTGATATCTTGCAATACATGTTGTTGGCTCATTACTTCCACCATTATCTCCGTTACCGAGATGGTAGTTTCATTTTAAATAGCCATGCTATTTAGGAAACGATAGTCAGAGAAGTCAAAGAGATGATCAAAATAATCTAGCCGATGGACGACCCTGAACCATTCGCAGTGGTACTTCCGCCTCATTCGGAGTAAGCATAACAGAAGGCAACATAACAACCAGATCTCTGTACAACCTATCAGGGGAGTCTACAGCCAAAGCTTCTTTCGGGTTTGACTAAACCATGGTATAGGTTGACTTGAAAGGGACGTAGTATTCAGCCTTAGAGTCTATCCGTAGTCGATAAACGTTCACTTGTGGGAGATCACTCTATATTCGTGTTTTGTCCAGTTGTAAGATACGTGGAGTTGCTGTCGCCTTGTTGACTATCCCCGGAACGGACCCTTCCGTGTGTCCCATGTCAATAGCCATTCATCACGCCAGGTGTATGCAATCTAGTGATCATTTCTGGTGCCTTCATTGCGGAAAAAATAGCAAAATCTCAAGGCTTCATTGTGTTTGCGTGTCCTTTTCTGCTCGACCGCAAACGTGCAATATGGCCAGCAGTGTCCCTTATGGGAGAGAACCCTCATCCATTTTGCGGCAATTTCTCCTACATGGAAACAGTGGTAATATCATTCAAACGCTTTGCGAGTAAATCTCTGTTTTTCTTGCGTTTCTTGTCTTGGATATGCTGTCGGCATTCCAAGCTTTGTGGGCTGAACACCAGTCCGCGCCACGAACAAAACGAGGTTGTTGCGCTCACTTTGAAGATCGAACGTAGTCATTTGAGCAGTAGCCATTATGACAAGATAAGTGCAATTGATTCAATGTATGTGTCTCGATGACTTATATCAACAGGGAACAAGATACGATAGTATCATAGAAGCGCATGTGCTTCTCTCTTTTAGCCTGCTTTTGACTTCAGCGCCAGAGATCTGTCAAGTGTAGTCAGAGAACAACATACCATTTTATCCAGGGAACTTCTTCTTTGCTGCCCCTTTGTATACTATCATTTGTTGTATGTTCCTGTCAAGTGGAATATAACCAGAAGCGGCGCTGAGTCTTGTATCTTCAAGTGACAAGGTGTCAACTCGTTCTCAGCATTCCGCAGTTTCCTGACAGCTAAGATAGTAGTAATGCAGTGTGTTTGAAGTGTTTAATTCTTCGATCGATTTTTCATGTTTGAAGCCTTTCAGAGAAGAATGGTATCGTCTTGGACGGATTCCGTCTTGGTAGTGCTTGGGGAACTCCCTTCCTGACTTTTTTGTTTTCTAGAAAGACTTAGTTATACTGTTCTTTGTTTGCTTAGGGGATAGAGAGGCGGGGTACTTAGTATCTTGAGGTTTCTCTGGTTTCCAGGTGAATATAGAAGGGAATATAGAAGGGAATTAGGATTCTTGCTATCTTGATGGTGAATCAAGCATATGGTAGCTAATCACTATGATCTACTGAGTGAAGCACCGCAATTACAAAGCAGTCTGTAAGATAGGTGATAGGGGATGAGAAAGAATGCAGTGACAATTTTATAGAATTGCATGACCAAAATCATATACTACAGGACCAGTCCGGGAGAGAGATCGAGCGGAAATGCCGAGGGTCGGATCCACCAAGGCCGAGATCCACCTCTTTGTCCCTCATCTTCCCGATCATCTTAACCGGAGTACAACTTCCGCTCTTTCCCTTTAATCCATCATCTCTCAAGAAGTTCAAAATACACCATCACAAATATACTCTCATCATGTCTTCCGAACGCATTGCCTGGATTGGCCTTGGTAACATTGGCCGTGTTAGTTGCCCACCCATCCACTCATCTCCCCAATCTAGTTATCCCACTATCTCCCCCGCACCAGTAACTAACGAAACAAACCACAGGGCATGAGCCGCAACATCGCCCACAAAGGCCCCCAAACCTCCCCCGTGATCGTGTATAACCGCACCGTCTTGAAAGCAACCACCTTCGCCGAATCGCTAGGCTCCGAGAAAGCCACTGTCGCGGAGACCATCTCCGACGCGGTCCGCGCCTCCACCATCACCTTCATCTGCGTCGGCGACGACGCCGCCCTCGACCAGATCATCAGCACCCTCCTCTCTGACACCACCCTTGACCTCGCATCGAAGCTCCTCGTCGACTGCTCCACCGTCCACCCAGACACCTCGCGACGGATCCACACCTCCCTCGCCCAACGCAATGCCTCCTTCGTCGCATGCCCGGTCTTCGGGGCCCCGAACGCCGCAGACGCGGGGCAGATGATCGTCGTCCCCGCAGGGTCAGCGGAGTCACTCGCGCGCCTGACACCTTTCTTCGACGGCGTCACATCCAAAGCAACGCTCGACATGCCCGGCGAAGACGTCGGCGCAGCCACGACGCTCAAGATCCTCGGAAACACATTCATCCTGAACACGGTGGAGTCGGTAGCCGAGGGGCTCGTGGCGGCCGAGAAGTCTGGGTTGGGCGTCGAGGCGTATCGTAAGTGGGTGCATACGTTCTTGCCTGGCCCGTTTGCCAAGTATGCGGATCGCATGGTCGATGGGGAGTATTGGAAGCGCGATGAGCCGTTATTTGCGGTTGATTTGGCGCGCAAGGATCTAGGCCATGCGGCGGATGTGGCGGGGAAGGCTGGTGTGCGGTTGAGGAGTGTGGAGGTCACGGATGAGTATTTGAAGGGGGTTAAGGCGGAGAAGGGCGTGAAGGGGGATTTGGCTGGGGTGTATGGGGCGATTAGGAAGGAGTCGGGGCTGGCGTATGAGAATTAATGATCTGATGTTGAAGTGGGTTTTAATGAGTGGGTTGAATGTTAACTGATCCATACGTTTACGATATATGTCAAGTTCTAATGATAAGGTATATGAGGTATTTCTAGCACAATGCATCGCAATACATGCTTGATCTATCTGGCAGATCATCCGATCCCTCTGGTAAAAATCACCGCTTTACTGTAGTTCTGCTGCTCTTCCAACGACTGCTCCATAGTCAGTAGTAACCGCGTCGTGCGAATATGCAATTCTAACCCCACAGAATTAGCTTCAGACTTACAAATCCTCGATAAAATAAACAGAACCTACCTTCAATATCCACCTCATAACTCGTCAACACCTCCTCATCCCGATGAACCAGCAATGGAAACCCAGCATTCAGATACTGCTTCTTCCGCACCCGCACCTTTAACCCGACGTTCTTGCCCTGATCAACCCACAACATGGGCGATCGGGACTGAGACTGGTCGCTAGCGCCAGCGGCATTGGGTTCGGACTCGCCCTCTTCTTCATTATCATCATCATCATCATCCGCGTTACGAGAGGAACTGCAAGTCCGTTCCTGCTCTTTCAACCACTCCCGAAACAGCCGGACAACTCCGTCCTCGACCGTATTGGCGCTCAAGAGCAGATGCGTCCCCGGCATGACCTTGACGACGTTCACGACAACGCAGAGCTGCGAGAACTCCTCGAATGCTTCGAGATTGACGGGTCGCGTGACGGTCAAATGGTCTTGGTTTGCTTGACTCTCGAAGTCTAGGTATTGTCAGTTAGCTCGTCACCAGATTATATTCATCCCAGACCCCATATAACCCAGAATATATATCACTACACAACCACTACACAACCACTACACAACCACTACACAACCCTAGAATAAAAAAAACACCAAGTTGACCAAACCTACCCGAAATAACCAACCCCATCCCACTCAACCTCTCTTCAGCAGCCCTCTCAGGCCGAAACCTTGAATACAGCGCCGTCAGCCGTCCCAGGCATTGCGCGGGATCAACATTCTCATACAACGAGCCCGCGCCCTTGTGTCGATCGCTGAGCCCGTCGGTGCCGAGATACTGGCAGAAGACATGCGGTTCGATGAGCTTGGAGCTGGGATGAAAACACTCGAGGATGAGTTTGTATTCGTGCAGCGAGGCGGATATGAGGAGGCGGTAGTGGAGGATGCGGAGGACGAGGGCGTGGAAGCGGTGCGAGATGGTCGTGAGAGGGAGGAGGGCGCGCGTGGAGAATGGGGTGAGGATTTGGACGAAGACCTAGGTAGTCGGGTGGTGAGAGGGGGGTGGAATATTAGGGGACTGGCGAGGTGTAGGGGATATATATATATACCTCGTTGGGGAGGGAGTAGAGGTGGAGCGCGGAGGAGGGGTCTGGAGAGGTGGTGGTGCTCATGTTATGGATCCGAGGATAACGTTATCTTATGTTAAAGTATATACAAGAAGTTGGGAGTATGTAGAGAAGACATCCCATCTGGTGGATGTTGGTGCCATGGGACTGGAGATAGACCCTTGACAAGAATTCCCCGGATGTTAACTGATAGGGCCCTGATAGACACCTTAGGAATCAGGCTAACATGACGTCAGTGTCGGGCCGGGGATGACTCGGGTAGCCGGTGAGACGCGGCAAAATCCTGACTGACGCCAATTGCCTTTTTACCCGATTCAGGGCAGAGAAAGGGACCAAAGTCTATGGATTGTTGATAGAATTGACACTACGGTGTACAGCCTGCTAGAATATACTCCGGAGAATGTTGGCAGTAGAGATAGCTATACTCCGTAAAGAACATGCTAATCAGCTCATGCCACCTGCACATCGCAGTTCGGCATCGGCCGAAATTATCCGAGTTCGCTTCCCCGTGGTTTCGGTACCGAAATGCCCCGAAAGGGACTTGTCCAATCACGGGACTCGCGTGGCAGTCCGGAGACCCCGCGACTCCCTTTGACTGTTTGGCGTCTGCCCCGCCATTGCGCCGTCTCTCCGCCCGTCGACTTTTCCCTGCTTTCTTTTTTTTTCTGTTCGCTGTTCTTTGCACATTTTTTCTTATCTTACTTTCTCTTTCTTGCCCGCCAGTCTGGTTGCAAAGCCTACGGTTCTGATTTCTCGCAATGGTTGAAAGCATCCTCGACGACATCTCCCATCGGAGATTCAATCCTCTCCGGGGTTCTTCTGTCTTGGTCTCTCCCCACCGCACCAAGCGTCCCTGGCAGTAAGCTGGCCCCGAAATCTTCTCATGACCCGTCGTTGCAAGAAGACTGAAATCCTTCGTCAACAGAGGAGCCCAGGAGAGTCCTTCCAAGACTACACTGCCCAATTATGATCCCGCCTGCTACCTGTGTCCCGGGAACAAGCGTGCGCAGGGAGATTCCAACCCCAAGTATGAGAAAACCTTCGTCTTTGTGAACGATTACAGCGCGGTCAAGGAGGAACAGGCGTCCTATACCGCCGAGAAGGGCGATGGTGTGTTTTTCCATCCCCCCGAACGAAGACAATGAGGCGCGGTCCTAATGTGAATACAGATCGGGAGTCGTTCTTCCTGCAGGCTGAGCCGGTGACCGGAAAGTGCTATGTGCTCACCTTTTCGGCGGCCCATAACCTCACCCTGGCGGATCTGTCGGCCGCTGAAATCACCCCAGTCATTGACGCCTGGACCGAGATCTATACGGCCCACCTGTCGCCCAAGTCGCCGTTGGCTGCCATCGCACCTCCCACGACCTTGCCGCCTAACTCCCCTACCGCCGATCTGGCCAAGCCCAAGGAGCAGTACCGGTATATGCAGATCTTCGAGAACAAGGGAGCGGCCATGGGATGCTCGAACCCTCATCCGCACGGCCAGGTTTGGACCACCAGCACGTTGCCCGAGGAGCCCGCCATGGAATTGGAGCAGTTGAAGAAGTACCGCAAAGAGCGCGGAGGCAAGCACATGCTGGAGGATTATGCGGCCTTGGAGAGCGAGAAGAAGGAGCGCGTGGTATTCGAGAACGACGCGTTCTTGGTTGTCTGCCCCTGGTGGGCCATCTGGCCTTTCGAGACCATGATTGTCAGCAAGAAGCACAAGCGCGCCCTGGTCGACTTGAACGCCGAAGAGAAGGGCCTGCTGGCTGAAGCCATTGCTGAGATCACCCGACGATATGACAACCTGTTCGAGACTCACTTCCCCTACAGCATGGGTATCCACCAGGCGCCGCTCGACGGCACGGAAGAAGAGGTCGAGTCGTCGTACCTGCATCTGCACTTTTACCCCCCTCTGCTGCGCAGCGCCACGGTGCGCAAGTTCTTGGTTGGGTAAGTCTCGCTCATTTTCTCTTATGATCCTGCCTCGCAGGTTGCTGATTCGACGGTAGATTTGAATTGATGGGCGAACCTCAGCGTGACATCACCCCGGAACAAGCCGCTGCCAGACTACGGGGTTGTGGAGGAGAGTTGTATAGAAAGAAGATGGACGCTTGAGTCCGATCGGAGTGTAATATGTAGTAGTAGAATAACTTTTGCATAATGAGCAGATCGACAATTATTCCAAGGAGTAGCGCCGTATCCCGGAAGTCCCTGGCGATTAATTATTAAGGGTCCAATTCACATGTATAAGCCACCACCTTCCCCAAGAGAAACCAGAAGAGTGCTGCACCACCTCAAAGAGAGAGATAGCTCTCCCGCTGGGTCAACATCCACGCCAGAGTGGACGAGGCGACGATGAGGGGACTGACGAAGCGACCCTTGAGCTCGGCCGTTCCAAAGCCCAACCACTCGCCGACAAAGTGCAGCAAGGCGATACCGTATGTCCAAACCGCAATATCGTACGCAACGGGATTGGTGATGTTGTAGGCGGCGTACATGCGAATCACGGCGGACAGGAATGTCCAGGTAGCGAAGGTGCGCGACGACAGAGGGTTGGCGTGGCTCTGACCTGACTGAGTTTTGCCATTGTAGAGCTGTGCGGAGTATTCATGGGATTTGTAGGCTTGTAGACTGTTGAGGGCGGAGACGACCGAAATCTGAGAGATGAGAGGACTATTAGAAAGCCTGCCTTCCGCGTTCAGGGATAAAGATGCTCCGGCGCGTCACGTACGAAGGCGAGCCATTTGGGCAGGTAACCGTCAAACGGAGGGAGGCAACTCATCGGAGCAGCAAAGCAAGCCTGAATAGCGGACATTGTGTTTGTAAGGTTGATGTACTTGGACCGGGGATGACCGAGTTAGGTTGAAGTTGGTGGAATTGATCCGATGTGATGGTTGGGAACCTTGGGGAAAGGGTTGAATGTTTGCTGATGGACCGAGGTCCGTTCTTGGCACAACACCAACCAAACTTCCCGCCGAATCTCTCCGCGTCGCCGTTTGTCCCTTTCACACCCCGTCAAATCCCCAATCCCCAGCTCAAGCGATCAGATTGACGGGATACATAATTCACAATGGATCTCGTCGCGAAATACACATCCTGCTTGTCTAAATGGCAGCTCAGCGTGGCCCCCGGCTGGCAGACTGTGGGCGCCTCGGTGCTCCTGGCAGCGGGGAGTTTGTTCATCGTCTCTAGAGCTCTCCTTTTCGCCAGGGTTCTTCTGAGTTTGTTCGTGCTTCCTGGGAAGCCGGTAAGTGATCCAACAGGAATATCTCCTGCCAAAATTTAAGCATTGACCATGATGCATTCAGCTCCGCTCCTTTGGACCCAAAGGCAGCTGGGCCGTGATCACAGGTGCCTCCGATGGATTGGGCAAGGAGTTTGCTCTTCAGCTTGCCCGTGATGGCTTCAATATCCTTCTTGTTTCCCGCACTGCTTCGAAATTGACCACCCTCGGTGATGAGATCACGTCCAAATACCCGTCCGTGCAGACCAAGACGCTGGCGATGGATTACGCCCGCAACCAGGACAGCGACTTCGAGAAGCTCAAGGCCTTGGTGGATGAGCTGGATGTGGCCGTGCTTGTGAACAACGTCGGAAAGAGCCACGACATCCCCACTCCCTTCGCTCTGACCCCGGAGGATGAATTGACGGACATAGTGACGATCAACTGCCTCGGCACTCTGCGGACTACTCAGCTGGTCGTCCCCGGCATGGTTCAGCGCAAGCGGGGATTGATCCTAACGATGGGCTCCTTCGGTGGTTTGCTTCCTACGCCCCTTCTTGCGACCTACTCGGGTAGCAAGGCCTTCCTGCAGCAGTGGTCCTCGGCGCTTGGCTCGGAGCTCGAGCAGCATGGCATCACGGTAGAACTTGTGCAGGCGTACCTGATCACCTCGGCTATGTCGAAGATCCGCCGGGCCAGCGCTACGATTCCTAACCCCCGGACTTTTGTGAAGGCGGTGCTGTCTAAGATTGGCCGCAACGGCGGATCCCCCACATATGCGTACAGCTCGTCTCCCTACTGGAGCCACGGACTCATGGCCTGGTTCCTGACCTGCGTCACTGGCACTATGGGCAAATTGGTTTTGGGTCAGAACCGGGGAATGCACGAGTCGATCCGGAAGCGGGCCTTGCGTAAGGCTGAGCGGGAGAAGGGCAAGAAGAGCACCTGATCTACCCCGTATGATCGACTGCTATGATCTATCTTTAGCAAAATGAGGAGTGACGTGCAGGTATGGGGGGTCGCGTGGTCATCTGGACACATGCCAAGTCTAGACCACCGACGATTTGCGAGAAAGAATGCTGTGGATGGCAAAAACGGTGTGGAGTTGACTTTTGGGGTGTTGATATTCCTTGCGACGCGAGTCTTAACTTTGAGCCAAATTATTGGTGTAATTCTACTTACTACAATGGTGCTAGCTTCATCATGATTGATGTCAGCAAGAGTTTATGAAAATTAATGCGGCCAAATAATGTGAACATTTTATAATCCTTGACTTCATTAGCAAGGTTCCCAGGTAGTTTATTCCATCTCAATGCAGCGATACCCAGGGCAATTGAAGTAGACTGGTTGCACCTCGGTCTCCCAATGCCAATGCCATTGCCCGTTGACGGAACCGAATGCAAGACAGTAGTAGTCCAAAACACAGTCTACTGAGTGCTGATAAGAACACTGTGGGCCGGGACTCAATAATTAATTGGCGTGCTATGAGCAATTCGCTCGACGCATCGCATGCAGTAGTGAATGAAAAGCTCGCCTCTTTACTCGGAAGACTATCTGTACTTTTGTCTCCTAGTTCTAACCTCTGAGCAGCATGTTATCGTCCATGAGAATAATGAATGAACATGGGGAGTAATGGTGGCATCACATTTTCTGCCATGGCTGTCGGTGTGCATTATCCAAGACTAGTCTATTCAATGACCTTGTCAAATGATTCCATGATGCATGTTGACTTGGTCCGGCCGGGATGAGCGGCAAGGATGATGCCACATTTGAAATTCTGATGGTGAGAAGCTTGAATAAGTCTTGTGCTTCATGGATGCAACGATCTTGCATCGGTGTTGTTATGCAATGATGTTACGTTACCATGATGATCAAAATAATTGTAACCATCATGAAGAGGCCTCGACTCCGTATGGATGATACTGTCTGTCACGTGGTGCCAGCTATTGCGACGGTGCAAGGATTGTGGCCTTTGTATGAAACTATGATTACATCGGCGTGCTCCGTAGAAAAGCAGATGTCTGGTTTCTATTATGAAATCGAGTCCGATGGTGAGACATCGGCTTTTCCGTGACCAAGTTTTTATTTCGATTTTATTTGCTCGCTGATTGACTGTGGTAAATGAGAACTACACAGTAGTACCGGATTCTGGATCCAATTGCCAGGTACAGTTTTTGCTCGGCACAATGTCGGTCTTTCTCAGAAATTCTCTGCAATAAACATGACCGAGATATCTCCTGCTGAGATACTCATGAGATCTAGAGATTAATTCTGTTCGCTATAGTACCTTGTAGAAGCTTGAACGCAAGGAACGGCATCTTTATTGCCTGTTGTTGCTGTGTCTGTTGCATGACCAGCGACCGGCAACGCGAGTATCATACCACGGTGGCCATCCGAAAGTGAGCAGCTGCAGTGCCGATCGACCCGACCAAGCCATGGCCCGGTGAAGAAATTTTCACTAGACTGGCTGCTGATCCCGTCTCATCTCGACGGCATGCCGACCAAAGGAGATGAAAATCAAATTCACCGGGACCCGAAATGGTTTGGAATAGCTGGGCCGACCAGAAGTTGACCGGTGAAGTTCCGAGCTGGATCAGGTCGCAGGGGAATGGTGAGACATGGTTGGATGAGCGAGAGGATCTCGACCGTGCCTACGTCAACTGCACTAACGATTTCTCTTACATAGCGAGATAAGAGTCAATCCAAATGAAAAACTCTGCGTGTGGGTCCCCTAGACACACTAGAGATAACGGAACCAGCGATCCACCTCTCGGTGAGCTCCAAACGGGATGGTAGAGTTTCCCGTTCACCGCGAGACGACCGGTTGCTGGCCGAATCGGTATACCGATGACCAGACGATCCCGATTCCGACTCGGTGTGCCGATATTTCGGTTCTCCTTATCTTTTCCTGCGGACTAGATGCCTCCGAAAGAGTTTTATAAAAGATCATGTTCGCAGTCGCCATTTCCCCCTTGCCTCTTTCTTGGGTTTTCGCCTCATCCAGTGTTCTCCCAACACCCTGGCCTGCCGAGGGTTACACTTTCTTGGATTTTTCTTGGGCTTGTCGCACTTTGCCCGTGCCTGAGATCGCCAACCAAATCGTTCTCTGGTCGGATCCACTCGGAATGATCTGCCGCGCCTCTCGGCGCCGGAAACCTAGCTACGAGTAACGAGTCCGTCAGGCAGGATTTTTTTTCTTTTCTTTTTTTTTTTTTCTCAGCCGAGTTCACTTCGTCCCCTGAGAGCTAAAAACAAAAAAGGGAAAGAAGAAAAAAAATCTAACGGACAGCACAAATGAGTGGACCTCGTTAAGAGCTCTCTGTTTAGGAAAAATCATCAACTGTTGCAGTGGATCGCCTGTTTCAGCGCCGCTAATTCTCCGTTGTTGAGAATCTGCGAACTGCAGACACATTTGGAGTGGCAAATCCTACTCTGTACGCTGACACCTAGAGAGGGTGTTGATGGACGTCACTTGGTATTCTGTGGGTGGTGAGATGCAGTCCTGTCATGGATATAGAAAAGTTAGTGATAGAACAGTCAATATAAGCAGTTTTGCAGAACTAAATGGTAGCACCTGTCATACTTGAACAATTCCGTGATCTTTCCATGTAACCTAGAAAACTCGCCGAAAAACTTCCATACCAATCGTTCGTTGCTCCTTCGCCAAGAGCGTCACAAATGGGAAAACTATCATCCATCCGTCACAGTGATCGATTGCCTGACTAGTCAACATGCACGAAGTCGCTACGACACGGCGACGACGTTCGCCCCCCATCGCTTTCTCGCACCCGGTCTCTCTCCAGGCCATTACTCCACTGTCTCCCCACCCCAAACTTCTCTGTCGAACGTCCAAGAAGCACTCCGGCCTCTAGCTCCGGACTATCGTCCCTCGTTGGTCTGCCATCGGGCCCTTGAGATCTGGGCCCCCGTTTTTCTTGCCATGGTCCTACCCCGAGAATGGGGTTCCTCCGGCCCTCCAATCCCTGGGCTGTGGCATGGAGGTCAATTGCCGACCGATGGAGCGTCAATTTCTTCATTTCGCTCATATTATTCTTAGCCTGGTTTTAGTTATTCGAGGTGAATTTCCTGATCCCGCACTATGACATCGTCCTAGGCCCAAATTCACTGCGGCTGTCTATATATCTCTCCCCCGGTCCCTCCGGTCTCTCCGGAATTTTTCTTTCCTCTCCATTCTTCTCTCTCCCCCTTTACCTCCCTTGACACCTTTCACCTACCCCATCTTTCAGGATTCAATTGTTCGGGAATCCAATCGACAACATGGGTGTCTCTAATCTTATGGGCCGGCTCAAGCCCCAGGCCGTTGAGCACGAACATTCGGAGACTCCCACTCCTGCCAGAACCGATTCCACCATCGAGAAGGACAACATCACCATCGATGACTCTCCTGTCAAGTACCTGACATGGCGCTCGTTCATGCTGGGTATTGTCGTCTCTATGGGTGGTTTCATCTTCGGTTACTCTACTGGTAGGTTATAGCGCTGGAGCTTATGGGAGATCAGGATCAAGTCTGACATGCCACAGGTCAAATCTCTGGTTTCACTACCATGGCCGATTTCAAGATGCGTTTTGCTGAGCAGCAGGCCAACGGCGAGTATGTCTTTGACAACGTCCGTAACGGTCTGATTGTCGGTCTGGTAGGTTTATTCCCCTGGATATATCTCACGAGCCTTTGAAGTGATCCAACTAACCCTCCGAAAAGCTGTGTATTGGTACCATGATTGGTGCTCTAGTTGCTGCCCCTATCGCCGATCGTTTCGGTCGCAAGTACTCCATGACTCTCTGGTCCATCATCCACATGGTCGGCATCATCGTCCAGATGGCCACCGACTCCAAGTGGTACCAGGTCGCCGTCGGCCGTCTGGTGGCCGGTCTCGGTGTCGGTGCTCTTTCCAGCGTGGTTCCCATGTACCAGAGTGAGTCTGCTCCTCGCCAGGTCCGTGGTGCCATGGTCAGTGCCTTCCAGCTCTTCGTCGCCTTCGGTATCTTCATCTCCTACCTGATCAACTTCGGTACCGAGTCCATCCAGTCGACTGCCTCTTGGCGTATCACCATGGGCATCGGTTTCGCCTGGCCCCTGATCCTCGGTGTCGGAAGTATGTTCCTGCCCGAGTCCCCCCGTTATGCCTACCGCAACGGCCGTATCGATGAGGCTCGTGAGGTCATGTGCAAGCTCTACGGTGTCGGTCCCAACCACCGCTGCGTCGTCCAGGAGATGAAGGATATGAAGGACAAGCTCGACGAGGAGCGCGCTGCCGGAGTTGCTGCCTGGTACGAGGTCTTCACTGGCCCTCGTATGCTCTACCGTACCTTGCTCGGAATCGCCCTGCAGTCTCTCCAGCAGCTTACCGGTGCCAACTTCATCTTCTACTACGGAAACAGTCTCTTTACCTCCACCGGTCTTGACAACAGCTACGTCACTCAGATCATTCTGGGTGCTGTCAACTTCGGTATGACCCTGCCTGGTCTGTACGTCGTCGAGCACTTCGGTCGTCGTAACAGTCTGATGGTCGGTGCCGGATGGATGTTCATCTGCTTCATGATCTGGGCTTCCGTCGGTCACTTCGCCCTGGACGTTGCCGAGCCCCAGAACACTCCCCAGGCCGGTACTGCCATGATTGTCTTCACCTGCTTCTTCATTGTCGGCTTCTCTACGTAAGTCTTCTTGCCCCATCCCGCTCCTGATTATATAATCCACGCCTTGGCTTCCCAATTTCCCCACCGCCCGGCAATATACTTTAAATGGCCTCACAAACCCCTTTGAGATGTCCAAATAGCTAACAGTATCGCGTTACAGTACCTGGGGACCTATCGTCTGGTCGGTCTGCTCTGAGATGTACCCCTCCCGCTACCGTGCCACCAGCATTGGAATTGCCACTGCCGCCAACTGGACCTGGAACTTCCTCATCTCCTTCTTCACCCCCTTCATCTCCGGTGCGATCGACTTCGCCTACGGTTACGTGTTCGCCGGATGCTGTCTTGCTGGTGTCTTCATTGTGTTCTTCTTCGTCAACGAGACCCAAGGCCGCACCCTCGAGGAAGTCGACACCATGTACGTCCTGCACGTCACTCCCTGGAAGAGCGCCAACTGGACTCCTCCCGAGGGTGTTGTCGAGGACATGCACGGCCCCCCTGGAACTCCCAAGCAGGAGCACGGCGGCCAGACCGAGCACAGCGAGCCCACTGAGATCCGGGAGTAAAGGAATAGAAGACAACAAGCCTAGGGCTGTGTCTTATTCCCCCTCTCTCCAACGGAGGCTGGGCTTTTGATGGAGGAGGTGTTGTAGCATGTCATTTCTTTTTCCTCTTCTCTTCTCTTCTCTTATTGATATCCATGCATTTTTCCTCGGTGTGATTGGATTGGAATAACTCAACTATCATCTTTATGTCTATATTTGATCCTTTCACTCTTTTGCATGCGTCGACGCTTTGATGTCAGGACACGCAAAAGCTACGGGTCTACGATAGTTTTCTTTTCCGCGGCGTTTTTCTCAAGGGTTGGGCATATGCATATCGGGTCTTGTTCTTTATTAATTGTAGATAGCTAGCTCAAGCAATCGATTCTATCGTATAATGGATTGGTGTTGGTTTTTACTTGTAGGGGTTGGCGCGTCTATGTCTCAGACTGAGTTTTTTGGGCTCATTACTCCGATGTCTCTCCGAATTTATGAACCTTTTCTAGTGGGGTTGCGAACTCAATACTAGGTTCAGGTATCTTGATCCCGTATGGTCGTCATGGTATAGTAAGTATTTGTCGTCATCGCCTATCATTCCGGGACGTTCCTTTCATCCTGCAATCCCTAGTGTATGCTCAAGCCCATCTTACGATGCTTGCTGTCAATCGACCGCGTGCATCCTCCACTTTGTAATGCTCAATACCAATTCCTCCATCCTGTATTGTCAGCTTACTGGAAGCTGCTGATCTCTCGATCCCATGAGAACTGTCAAACGACCTCAGTACTTACTACTTCCTCGATGTAGACTTCCAACAAGACCATTGGGTGTGGCAAAGCGAAGGATTGTGTTAAGTATAAACAGATCGTAACCCTAGTCTATTATCTAATGATTATTGTCCAAATATTCCCCAAGTCCTGCCACTGTCTCTCAACAAAGTACTTAAGGTATGTCAGTTTGTGTCGATATTCACCGCAAACTTGCTGTTCTTGCGGATTCTCGGTCCGTAGATGTATAGTAGGTAAGGCACAAAAGCCATCACTCCACTAACAGCCCCCAGGATCGTGAGTGTATACTGCACCCCCAGAGCCCGATAAATCGGACCTCCTGCAACAGTCACGCCTCCTGCAACCACATATCGCGTGAAAACAAGGAAACCTAGTGCAGAAGCCGAATATGTATCGTAAGAATCGATGAGGTACATGTATGAAACAATAAAGATAGTGGTGATGCCGAAACCGAAGAGGACAGATCCGATGAGGGGCGACCAAATCGAAATTGTTGGCTAGAAGATGATTAGATTTTTTTATTCGCTTCAGGGACATATCTCAAAACTTACATTGCTGGTCCACCCCATCCAGAACAAACTGATCGGCACGGCTGGTGCACCTCCAAGCATTGTATACCAGAGTCTCATCTCAGGGGCAATGGTCGATTTCTCTCGAGCATAAGCCTTTGCAGTCCAGCTGTAAACCACCGGCACCACGCAGCCAACAAGCAAGACCCCGACAAGCATACCCGCCCAGCAAATGCTCGTCAGGCCCTCTGAGATACCGTATGCTTCACCGAAGACATATGTATAGCCCTCTAGGAAAGTAAAGATGACGATATAGATGATAGTCAAATAGAGCGAGACGAGAATGATGATCAGTTCCGAGTAGAACATCGCAAATGGCCGGTACACCGAGAGCTTCAGGCGCTGGCCCAGACTCTCCCGTTTCATCTCCATCGGCGCCCTGTATCTCTCATCACCGGTTTCCTGTCGAAGGACCGAGGCCTTCCAATGGAGGATCAGATTGCCATAGGTCTCAGGTTGGAATAGGAGCACCAGGACCAGGACTGCGCCGCCCATGATCAGCATTGTCCACTCTAACCAACGCCAGCCAATCGTGGTTGGGATATAGCTTCCAATTATCTGTCCGGCCATCGGCCCTGCAAATGCGGGAATAGCATATATAGGAAAAGCATAGGCCTTCTCGACCGGATTCCATAGATCTGCAATCGTGCCGCCGGCGCAGCTTAGCGGAGTAGAGGCGAAAAACCCGGCGATGAAGCGAAAGATCAGATGGCTGTGGAGATCTGGGGCAAGGCCCGATGCCATGATAAAGATCAAAAATAGAAGCATCGTCGATGAATATATCGCATTACGGCCAAATGTTTCTGAGAAGGGGCCGGAGAGGAGGGAGCCGAATGCAAACCCGATGAGAAAGAGACCTTTGAAAAAACATATCAGCTTGAGTTTTTCTGAAATAAGGAGGAAGTTGAACTAATAGCAGAAGGTAGAAAGACACCGTTTTACCTGTTGCGAGAGACCCGACGACTTCAGATACATGGAAGTACTCGCTATACTCCCTCACACCGCAGGCATCAATCGCCGATGCGGCAGTGACTGCAAATGCGATCAAAGAGACCAGCAGGGTCATGCAGATTTTGCGCGCGATGCTTTGATTAGCAGGGTTCAAAGGATCATTTGGCCCTTCCCAGCCCACAAAGATCGGGTCATTTAAACTTGTCGAATCAGTAGGGCGCGGTTTCTCCAGAGTGCCGTGATGGATGCTCAATGTACAGCTACGCAGATGTGTTAGACAAACGGGGCCCGACAGGATTTTGCAAAACTTACTCTGCATTGTGAGAAGACCCGACAGTGTAGCTCGAGCAGTTACAGTCAGTTCTTAACTCTGCCAGATACTGTTGGACTGCTTTCCGGACTCTTTGGTACTGGAAGTATGTCTCCATGGCCGCCGATCAGTGCAAGACAATGAAGGCAGATGTAGGTAAAGAGGGATCTGAGGACATAGACTGAACATGATTTAAGCTAAGCTAATTATAAAAGAAAAAGTCCGAAGTAAATTGAACTCCTCAGTTCATCTGAAGACATCGGACATCCACGGCTCCACCTGTAAAGCAGCATCTCCGATGCGTCGGAGTTAAGTGGGTCCCGTGAGCCCTAATCGCGGAGATCGGCTTCCGCCAATTGCCGTTCCGCTCTTCATGACTTCATCCTCGCGTCTCCGACCTTCAACTTCCCTGTCGGACTTTTAATTTGAAATTGTCCGTGCAAATATTCTTGGTTTCTTTTTCTTTCAATGGAGGGCAATGGTGATATCCGCTCTAACAGGTCTGTGGAGCAACTTCCTGATCCTCACCGCCGAAAGCGCAAAGCTGTCAATTGCGAGCAATGCCGACGCTCCAAGTTGCGATGCGATCGTCAGCACCCCTGTGGCGCCTGCAAGCGTCGCAGGCGCGAGGCCAGCTGCTCATACGATGCCCCCTCTGGTGCCCCAGTATCCACCAGAAAAGACCGGGCGCCCGTTACTGCTCCAGCGTCAACTGCGCTGGGCAGTGCCGGATCTCCGTCCACTCCGTCAAGACCATTCCTTGCCAGTACTTCGGTTCTACATCCTGAATTGCCCGTATCAGAAACGAACCAAGTGCCTGTAAGCGCACAATGGGAAACTGTTCTTGAAAGACCAGCCCCGGAACATGATTCTCCGCCTCTTTCCATCAGTCCGCGCATCTCGCGTCAAGAGATCATCGACTCTCTTCCCCCCAAGTCCTGTTGCGACTATCTAATCTCACACTTTTTCAAATACATCTCGGCTCTATTCCCGATTCTTCATGGACCTACATTCCAAAAGCAATATACAGCGTTTATGCAACAACCCCAAGACGTTGACTTGCCATGGCTAGCGCTACTTTTCTCTATATGCTCTCTGGCTCTGAACACTATGGATGAAACTGATCCCCGACTGGCATACTTATGGTCCCAGCTTCCTTCAAGTCCGACGCAAGTTCCTGCCACGGCTTCTCTGTCTCGCCGTCTTCTCCGTACGGCAATGACCTGCCTTTTACAGGATGAACTCTTTATCCGGCATAAATTCAGTACATTTGAGGCCTTATTAATGGTAATTTACAACCTTTCCCACAATGAGTCCGTCGACCAAGCATGGGCCTTGTTGGGTATGGCGTTGAATATTGGCATTGCATTACGGTGCAATGTGGATCAGAACCTAGGCAGCCCCATCGAGGCCGAAAGACGACGCCGCTGTTGGGCTGGTCTCTTGACGTTACATACATATCAGGGCATGATCTTCCGGGACGTTGATATGTCATATCTCCTGAGTATCAAGTCCACCGAACCAGCGGATGTCAATGACTCCGATATTACGGATAAAGCTATTTCACAGCCATCTAGCCGCGGCGAGATTACACAGATGTCAGTCATGATGGCCAAGCTTCGCCTGTTCCGACTTTCCATCCAAATCTGTCGTCATATATCGGGTCCATCCCGGTTAGATCAGCATCTACTACATGAATTCGACGCAGCGATAGCCGAGGAACAAAAGCAATGGGACACGACCTACCTAATTGATGGGTCTCCCAATATCTTGGATGCTAATAGCTACGCGTATTGGTGCGTCTTACAGACGTATGCACATCATCTCTATCTCCTTCTCCACCGGCCGTTCCACCATTCCAAAGCGCCTTGTTTTCTCCCAGCCTCTAGAGAAAGATGTATCAATTCTGGCTCAGCCTTGGTATCCATTCACAGACAGCTTTACGAAGCTCCGTTGCTTCGAAATTATTTCTGGCTCCTCAGCGGCGTCACCAGTCTGAAAGCTTTACATGCAGCCGTGGCCCTCAATTCATGTCTCCAAGACATTTCATCGGCAGTGGATCCGGGATATGACTTGAACTCTTTTCGGCAGGAAATTGAGACCCTGATTGTTCATATGAAAGATCTCTCCGGGAGAAGTCATATCTGTCTCAGGGCGTATCGGATACTTCATCATTTACAGTAGGCCACGCCTTTGTATATACCGTAGCCGGTTCCAGCTAACTGAACGCTTTCTCTAGGGTCCAAGCTAGCACGGAAAGTCTCCTAACAGAAGGCCCCGAGACGGAATTTGAAAATCTATTCGAGAACTTGATTGATATACGGGAGTGGATGGATCCAGATCTGATAAATTCGGTACGTATGGCTTATCGGAGTTTCATGCTCTCGGCTAATGTGTCCAGAACCTGGACGGTGCTTTCAACATCTTTGCGCCTTGATCAAGTTTCACGCGAGATCACTCCGAACTGAGGATTATGGAGTGAGTGGTTGTGAGTAATTTGCATAATATTATATCCAAATATGTACACATCGAGCTTCTAGCCGGGGATTATATAACAAAATCCGTACATGCCTCAGAATGCAGTTCTGCCAGAATCAGTGTATCCAGACGTGGCTCAGTTTGGTCCTCGGCAGCAAGAACCCCAGCACTGATCACTAATACTGTTATTTGAACGCCGACAGCAAGTCCCAAAACACTGATCTGCTATAAGTAAGATTAGCACCTTGAACGAACCACATCCAGAACGATACACGTACCATTGTGAGCCACGCGGCCCTCTTTCTCGCCGACACAGATGCCATGAATCTCTATGAGTATTTGACTGTCAATGTTAGATTAACGATACGTAGATTCTAAGGCTTGTTGTTATAGTATACTCACCTGCTTTTGGCATCATGAGCTTCAATGCACTCACTGGAGCGCTGTTTAGGGCTTCGTAGCCATGGAAGTGATAAGCATCGGGGTAGAGTCATGGCTGATGGGGTTTTGAGGTTTGATAAACTAGCGACTAGTGTTATAACAAAGTAACTATAATAATAACTCTCTGGTTTGTCTGTCTCCGTCAGAGCTGCTCTATATGGGGCTTATATATGGCTTTTGTATCAATCAAGACAATCACGTGTCGCTGATGCCCTAGACTCTAAGGCCGATGTCTTATAAGCCGGGCTGAATGCGGACATCCTGCGTGACAGGGGTAAATGGGATTACACCCATGGCGATACATCATTCTTCTCCGAGACATGTCCGCGCATGCACGTTGCAGCTATCTCCGCCCTCGGATCCGCATCATAGGATTAGAAATATTCCGTGGTACGTTGAATTAGGATTGAAGGTTTGTTAGAGCTACAAGGGGGCGGCATTTTGCGGGCTTTATGGGTTATTGTATGCGTCCTTGATCTATTCAGAGTCCAATAGATTTCAATGCCTCGATTCGACAAGTCTGGGTTCTTCCACAGATACAGGGCCTCAAACCCTCAACCCATGGATAGCAATTCTCAAGCCTTACGTCTTTGCATCAGATCCTGTCTCTCAGCCACAGTCCGAGCCATCTCCAATCCCGCCTCCGTCCCCAAGCTCTCAAAGCCCGCAATAACGCCCTCACGATCCTTCTCTCCCGATTCCTGACTCATTTTGAACTTGCCCCCGAGCCGAGTAATCTCCACTTCCACCCCAATGATATTCTTCTGCAGAATCGCAATATAGCGATCAGGCGCATCCGACACCTTCCAGGGCCCCTTCTTCCCTCCCTCCCCAGTGTACCCCATCACATCAGTCTCGGCATGCTGAGAGAGATCTGCAATCTGTCGAGACAGGTACTCCGTTGAGTGGGTGCTATTGTCGAAATACACCGTTGCTTTTCCGTACGCTTGCACGGCCGCATAATTCCACGTCGGGACCACCTTGCCCGTTGCGGGCTTCGTGTCGGTGTAGAACTTAGGCGTGACGTAGTGATGCACAGGTGCTGTGAAGAGAACAAGGACTTCGTTTTCGAGTTGGATGCCGCCGGTTGCTGTTGGTTCTGATGTTCCATCGGAGATAGCAGTCGCGGTGGCCGACGCTATCATGGCTTTGGCTTGAGGGTTCTGTCGCGCCATGTGGCCTCGTAGGACGCCGAGTTCGGACTCGCTGGACTCATCGCTCACATCTAGTAACCAGGGAATGTGGCTTGTTTGAAGGAAAGGGTATTCCGGTGATGGGATGGCCGTGGTGAAGGTTCCGAGGGGATTGTCTTTGATGAATTGGCGGAGAGTAGGGATGTGGCATTCTGCGTGAATTGACCGGAGATACATGACGGAGAGGAATTATCAAACAGAGAAGAGTTGGTGGGCAATCGAGAGAAGTTGAATGATTGATCATCACAAATTGAGGAACTATTTAGCCCTCGGAGTTATCGACGGAGGACATCGTCGGAGTTCCGTTCCATTCAAGTGGGAACGGACATCCGATCGATCTCGACTCGGAGAATCGAGTGGTCCCCCCATAGTTCTCTATTGATCATGCGTCGCAGGTTTAGCTGGGAGATGTGATCGCAAGATCTGATTCATTTGTTTCTCTCTCTGTCCGAGTTATTTGGGATCGAGTGACCGATTTAGAGCGATCAGGACTCAGTATGCAGTGCTTCTTCTCCCTTGTACTTTGGCTATCACGGAACATGATGAATTGATGAATTGGTTCGCTCGTTAGATATCCCCAGATTGCCTTGTTTTCCTGTTACCTCTGCTCCTTGAAAATCTATCTGGTTGACAACAAACAGCTGTTGACTCAAGTCTACAGTAGGAGTATAGATAAGGTGAGAGCCTGAACGGAAGACAGAAGGACCAGCCTCAGAACCCGTTTCGTTTCCGGATCTATTTCATATTTAAGCTTGTTAGTGAATGATTCTTTCACTCAGAGAAAGGATGATGGAATGAAGGAAAGGTTATAAACCGACCGATAGCTTGCTGCCATGACTGTCAACAGTCCAGAATCAACCATTCCTTCAACCTATCCCCATAAGACACCTGGCATGCTCCGATGGGCTCGAATCGCGCAGAGCATTCCCGAAGCTGCTAGCGGTCTGTATCCTTGGGTTGATTTATATATAATCTTGTAGAAGCTCGTACATTTACATATACCAACATACACGGGCGCACTACTGCGTACAATCGTGTACGCAGCGTACAACTGTGTACAACTTTGCTATATTACTACGGTGTCAACCTCTTGGAGGACTACGCGCTTGCCAAATCTCTTTAGAACGCATATTCTCGCGTTCCAGGAAGGAAAATGACATTTTCTTTAGATTACAACACACTAAATGACATATCAAAACCGGATCTTCCATACGTCGATGGCTTCGAATTCTCAGTCATCGAATATTTTCCTCCTGAACCGCGGATCAAGAGCTTCATGCTTACTTTGGATGAAGCTGCCAAGAGAGCCAATTTAGATGTCTTAACGCGCTGCCTTACACATAAGCCTATATCTGGTCAGCAGGGCTCTCGATGCCTACGTCTCAAGATACGCGAGGCGATTCGAGTCGGCGATGAAAAGACTTCGCAAATAGTTTTGGTGGATGTTATATCAGGTCAACTTTCCAGTACCCGCATTGTTGCGAAACTGTACGATCCTCTATATTATGATCATTCGAATGATGATGTGGGTCCCTTCCTTTTCGTTGACGTTGAATACACCCGGGAGAGTGCTGCCTACAGGTACCTACATGGCCAAGGACAGAAATGTATTCCTCGCTACTATGGCTCTTACTCCATGGATCTCAGCCATTCTGATCACCAAATTCGCACGGTACGATTAATACTGCTGGAACACGTCAAGGGGTCTCCTATGGTTACTATTCATCCAAACGACTTCCCTGACTGCTTTTGGAAAGCCGTGATGAAGCAAATCGTTGACGTCGAGTCGCAACTCTACAAGATCAATTTGAGACACGGCGATACGCATCCGCGGAATGTCATTATCCAAGATCACAATATCGAAAAGTCCGAACCACGCGTTAAGTTCATTGACTTTGGGTATGCAGTTATCGGTCGGTCTCCTAACCCGCAAAACAAGGAGCAGGAAAGGAGATTCCTCCCGGGGGTATATATCAGTCCACTACTTAGGTGGTTTAAGGCTCGGGGTAGAGAACCTGTTTGTAACTTCCAGGATTGGATGAATTGGGATTGGAACGAGTGGCTACTCGGAACTTATCTGTCGGACAAGGAAAACATCACTCCTGAAATGATAAGGAATTGGCTCCCAGTCCGCATGCACCAGCAGTTCCAGAGATTAATTGAACTAAGATGATCTTGTGAGTTTTTTTCCCTCATTCCCTTTGCTTGTCTAGTTTGGCCATATTGTATATATTGTCTACTAGAGTAGTTACAAAGATCTCTATTTTATATTATATTATCTGCCGTATATTATGTATTTCTTCGATCGGACTTTTTTTGAGGATCTATAAAATATAAGCTTATTAGAGACGAGGCCCAGCATTCCAAAATGGAAGTCTTGGTTTCGTATGCTGGCAGAATAAGCTCCAAGCAATTATTGTAGCGCTTGTTGAGAAAGTGTAACCGCCAAAACAGATCCGCAAGGCGCCCCAACAATTCCTCCAACCATCTCTACATCTGCCTTGTCTTGAATCTTCAGGGAGATAGAACAGGTCCTGAGGAGGCTTTAGACACGCATTTTACCGGAAAACAAGAGCAACCTCGCCTATAGTCCCCCCTATATCTTCATGTTGAATGATGCAGGATCACGCAACGTACAGTAAACAGAGGCTCAGAGCCAACCTAGATTGTCTAATGTAATAATAAATAGGAGATATCCTGGGCTGACAAATTGCAAAATGTCACATAATCCTTTTTAAAGGAAAGAAGCAGGAACAATCCGTTTCCTCAGATTTACGTCGTCATACCGGCACTTTCCAATCTGGATCTGCAGATATATTAGTGTCCTCCCCATCCTCCCTTCTCCAATTTCGTCTTTCTCCATTTTATGCTCTATGCTGAAGTTTCTTCTTTGTCCATGTCTCGCACACCTTGTTGCAATCAGCTGATCCCATCAAGGCAAACTCTACTAATTGAATGCTGAAACAGATTCTCGAAGCCTGCCAGGTGATAGCAGCACGTCGATCGAAGTCCAAACTTCCCACCTGTTCCAATATTCTTGTATGCCTGATTCTGAATGCTGGTTTATTTGTCATTGCATATAGCTGAAAGCAGCTCTGGTCTACATCTGAGACGAAGGAAGGGTTTCAGCACCGAAAATGGCCCAGAAGAGGCACTATTTCGCGGCGACCTTCAGTGGACTTGTCCATGAGCTCGATGTCTTCCACAAAGATCGTACGATTCCATATTTAACTACGGCGAATCGGCCCTCTTCGCTCCGTTGGAAGGATGCTTTGAAAAAGCTCGAGGATCCGGACTCTGACCTTCCAGAATACTCCCAGGGCTCTTCCTCCAACGCCGAGCAGGCAGATTCTGCCATCAACAAAGAGCGATATCTTGTGGTGGGCATTATTCCTCATCCTAGCTCGCTCGATGTCAAGGAACCCGGTGTTCATACCATGTCCGACGAGCATTTCGCCTTGGAGGCTGTCACGCCCGTTCGACGTGATGTTAAACGCCACAAACCAAAGTTTTACGTTTTGTTGGAGGTTGAGCCAACCACTCCGCGATACGGTGCTTTCCCGGTCAGTCCCGAAGACATATTCTACTTCTTAGAGTACCGAACCGATGTGAAGTCCGTTAGAGATCGACGGACTCAATGGACCGAGAAGGTTCGAGTCGCAGCTGTGATGCCTTCAGCCGAGCCGCGACGTTCCTACCGCTGGTTGAACGGCTCACAACGCGTGGCTGAGAGACATCCTCCCGTATCCCCGGATGGAAAACCTCGTGATAATTCAATCAAGTTTATTTGGGAACAGTTCCTCAACCCAACGTCGGGGATTGAACTCTCCCCGAAGAACGCTGAGCAGCTGGCCGTCGAGATTCTGAAACGGTGGCCGACCCTTCAACGTCACAACGTCACAGGCGAGAAACTAGTGCGCCTGCGACGTGGGATCGTCGAATCGAAGTCTAAAATTGGGTGGAGCAGGGCTTATGGATTCCTGGCACTCGGCTGCGAATCACCCTTGGATAGCCCTAACTTGGGCGAGCTGGTCGTCGGTTTTCTGGATACAATTGATAAGATCCGAAAACTCGGTCCTGGAAAGACACCGCGCTTTGTCAAAGATATGGTCTTGGGCGAACTCTCAAAAGCGATAGATGTCACGAAGAATGTGCAGACCAGCAGCGAAGACGCAGCTAAAATACTCCAGACGCCAGCTGAAGCCGAACTTTTCAAGCTCTTCATACATCAGTTAGAAGACGTGTTGGTGAACACGGATACTATGCAGCAAACCTACTTCAGGATTCGGGACATCTTGACAGACTACGGCGAGCAGTCAGGGAAGGAACATAGTGCTGTAGCAGACCAAATGCGAGTGTTGATGGACATTCTGCAGAGTGTGCGCACTGCTTTGATGAGGTGAAGACCTGGTTTCTGTCTCCAGTTTTATATTGATGGCATTCTTCTTGTTTACTTTTGCAAGGAAGTATGAAGTACTGTACGTTATTAAACCTCTATTTAATAGTCTATATTTGTTCTTTTTTGGAATTAATCTATCATTACTTTATTCCCTTACATCTGCGTGAGATCCCTTTCTACGTACCCCGATGATTATGACTGTGGGTTAGTGTTAGAGGGCCTTACATGAATGAAGCCTGCAAATCTCGTGAACAGAGTAATTTTATCAATCAGAGTTTAGTAATTTGTTATGGCCAAGCTATTAGAGTACCAAGCTAGCAGACCAACAAATACCATGTAGAGAGTCTAAGATCGCAAGACTTTGTAGATGCAATGCATAACGTGCTCAAACACCAACCCACATGAATTCAGACTTTCGTTCCGTCCATACGCCATGTGATTGAGGTTGACAATGGAATGTCAAGTCAGACGGGAGAGAAGGCAAAAAAAGAAAGGCAACATTTGACCCCAATGCAAAGACCAAATCACCATTTCCAACATCAACAGTCACCATCATCACCACGAACACACCACAACCCCACCATCCCAGAATCCTAACCCTCCCTCTCCAACGCCTTCATCTCCTCAATTGCCTCTGACATCTTATCCTCCACCATCGGTCTCTTCCTATCGCGAGAATACACCCTACACAGATCCACCACCAGCTCGCGGATCTGCGCCACCGGATCCTGCAACAAGATCTGATCTCGCATGTCGTTGAGCATCGCCAGCTCCCTCTCCGCTTGCTCGATCCGCGCCTTCATGTCGCGTAGCTTGTCGATTTGTTTGTTTTTGAGCTGTTTGCCGACGCGGATGGCCTCGAGCGCGGACTTGGTCCAGTCGGGGTCGTCGGCTCGCGTGCAAGACTTCTTGGAGGCGGGGGAGGAGGAGGTGGTGGTGGTGGTAGAGGTGGAAGGGGGGCTAGAAGAGCGTTTTGGGAGTGGCATTGTTGTTCTGGGTTGGGTGTGGAGGGTTGGGAAGATTGGTGTTTGAGATTTGTTTTGGTTCTTTTCAGTTGTATGGGGATGGATGTTAGGAATCTCAGTCATTGAAAAATAGCCTGGGGCTTATACAAACCTTGAATGGGCTTAACAGTCCGCGTGCTTGCTTTGTCGCCGTTGAAGTATCTAGGGATTTGTGTCTTCTTGTAGGCGTGGCAGTCCTAGCCAGGTCTAGAACCTCGTTAGCACGGCATGGAGGTATGTAGCTGGTAGAATAGAGAGGGGCACTGACTTGAGGGTGGTGTATCTGTGTCCTCGAATTCAGCGGAGAGGATAAGAGATGAGAGGGAAGATGAGCAATGTGGGAGAGGTGAAGATGGAAGAACTCACCAGTCCAGTTTCAGTTTGGGAGACGATGCGATGGAGGTGAATGTTTGTTGTTGACAGAAGAAGCCACTTTCCAGCGATCTGCGCGCTGCATCCTGTCTGTCTTTTCTTTCTTTCTCATTCACCAAAGACTATGAATACTATCAGTTCATCCAAAAATTTCTGTGCAATCATAAAAACCAAATTTCTACTGCGCTTCCATAAACATACATAATCATAATAATGACGCATCTTCCTATCAATTCCGCCAACATTCGCACCCCCCTATGTAATACTGATCCCATCACCTCTGAAAACCATGGCACAGCTCCCATTCCATATAAATCTAGATGCTAATCTTTTTTCTAATAAGTCTCGCCCTTTCTCATTTCATGACCCATCTACCAATGCTCCATAGAGCCTGCCAACTTCCCCATCCATTCACTAATCCTGCCATCAACAAACAACAAACACCAAGCAGTCAACCAAAAGGCAGACGCAAAAACAAAGAAGAAAACAAAAGCAAAAGAAAAAGCAAAATGGACTTCACCCATCCCCACCACCACACCACTCTGTTCAATCCGCCTGACCCCAGCGCCGGTAGCGATTTCACCTATGACTTTAACGTCCGCGGAACTGATCATCGCCGCCATCGTAGTCACAAAGTCCATCGCGTTGACCCCCATGGGAAGAAGGAGGAGGAGCAGGCGGAACTCGTACATGATATTGTGCTAGGGCCGGCGGATACTTTGTGTAAGTACCGTTCCTCTCTTTACCTCTGCCTCTGTGTCTATGTCTCGAGCAGGCGAGTTCGATGGTTGTGGTCTTTCTTCTCTTATACTATTGGGAGAAGATATGAGGGGCGGATGCTGGGTTCTAGGTTAAGAAAAGTCCTGCTAATAATGACCGGGTACTATATTTGTGCAGTTCCCATAATCGACGGTTCTCAAAACAGCAAGGAGAAAAAGCACGCTCAGGATAAACAGATGACAAATGGCCTGACGAAGACCATGGACTTTACCATCACAGACAAAGTGGAAGGAAAAGGAACCAAGAACCAGGAGAGTAAGGACAGCAAGGAGAGTCAGGAATACGTGCGAGGGCTTGAAACCGATGAAGTCGTGAACAATGAAGTTGAGCAGAACGGAAATGACAAGACGGATCAGAATATCAAAACGAAAGAGGAAGAACACGGTGCCGACAACGAAGTTCAACAGGAGAGGAAAGAGAAGAAAGAGAAAGATAAGGCAGGTCTACAGAGACGGCAGGAAGAAGCGGCAAAACGCCAGAGACTGGAAGATGAGATAACGGAGACAAGAACGCCGATAGATCTAGCGGAGGATCTGGAATCGAAGACTGAGACAACGACCAAGGTAGATGTGAAGACGAAGGAGGTGCCAGAGACGAAGGCAAAGTCGAAGGCTAGGATCCTAATCACGCGGATCAAGGCAAGGTTCATGAAGACGGTGACGGAGCTGAGGAAGTAATTCAATCTCTACCATACTTAATAGCTAATGCGGCATTCTCTATAATACTATTGTCTTGGATCATCCCTACAATAGGCTTGCAAATCATCTTCATCGACCTCCGTTTTCATTGCAGAGACAGACATATCAACATCAAGCAGAACGTCAGAATAGCTAAATAAAAAGTAGCAAAAGGTCATCTATCCTCTGCCAGGTATTTACGCGGAATTGTGTCATCCAGAGACCGTGAGAAAACAAAAGAAACAACAACACCCGACGCCTTTTTTTGTAAGACACCCAGTTCATGACCGATAACTGTATACGATGATGATAGATATTATAGAAGGCAGACTTCGTCTCATCATGGGCCATAGACCCTTTACCGACGTTGGGTCTTGCCGATGGATCGTTTTCCGGCGAACTAGACTGGTCAGTATATCATGTTTCGTGAAAGTGAAAGGAGGAAACATACCAAATGCTTGGGCAGAGATGCGGTCGTGTGTCGATCGGCCTCTCCAGCTCTTGCCATCCGGTTCATCTTCTTCTGGCCCAACTTGGCCAGACGGTCCGCCTTGGTACGCGCCGTCTCGTCCGTCACACCATCGTGGAGACGATCCGTAGCAGCCTGGCTGCGAGCACGACCCTTGGCCTTGGCGATGGCCTGGCGAGGGTCCGACATGTCGATGTCCATGGCGTCGTCGTTGGATTCGCGCGTGATAGGGCGTCCGCGAGCCTGGCTCTGGGAGCGGGCCCGCGCAGAGGCGGCATCGACGTCGTAACCGGCCTCCTCCAGCGCCTCCTCCATCTGCGACAGTCTCTTGGCCTTGGCGCTTCGGGGGATGGCCGCGCGGTTCTTGAGCGACTTGCGCATCTTGGCCTCGTTGCGCATCAGGGCGTGTTTCTCGCGGATCAGGTCGGCCTTCATGCGCAGTTCGGCGTCTTCGGCCTCCTCCACCTCGTCGTCGGACTCGTAGAACCCGTCGGCCTGCAGCTTCTCTTCCTCCTCCTCCAGGGAGGCCAACTTCGCCTCGATGTCGGGATCCACAAAGTCGTAAACGTTCTTGCCGTTCCACACTTCGGGGATCTTGTCGTGCTTCCACTCGTCGTTCTCCAGCAAGTAGGTCTTCTTGAGGTCGATGTTGTAAACACCGGCACCGCCGTTCTCCTCCTCGATATCCCGCTCCAGCATCTTGCGGTTGGGATCTTCCTTGTCGTACTTCTTGAGCGAATGCACGGCCTCGGGAATGAAAGTCTCGCGCTGCACGCCACCCATGGGCTTAGCGACGTGGATACGAGCCAGGACATCGCCCAGACGTCCACCAGGGGTGCCGGAGCTGTTGGATCCGGACTTCAGCTTCTGGGCAACTCGATCGGCGAGTAGCTTGTCGCAAGCGGCGTTCTTCACGTTCGTCACACCCTCGGTGGTGGTGCAGGACAGTTGCAGCAGCTCGACGTCGTCGGCCTTGAGGATCGCCTGAAGCTGCTCTTGGTACTCGGGCTCCAGGTCCTCGGGGCGGCGGACGTCAATCTTGTTGATCACGAGGAACACGATCTTGTTGGCGAACAGAGGCTTGATGCTCTGGAACAGCTTGATCTGGTCGCCCACGGAGTAGCCACACTGCTCAGAGAGATCCATGAAGTACATGACGGCGGACCGAAGATGGGCAATGGCGGTGATCGACTGCATTTCAATCGTGTTCATCTCCTCCAGAGGGTGGTCCAGGATACCCGGCGTGTCGATGGCCTGGAATCGCAGGTATTTGTAGTCGAAGTGACCGACGAACAAACTCTTCGTGGTGAAAGCGTAGGGCTGGACGTCGACATCGGCGCGGGTGATGCTGCGCAGGAAACTGGACTTTCCGACGTTGGGGTACCCGCAGATCAGGAGGGTACGGGTGTTGGGATCGATGGAGGGCAAACGGCCCAGATGCTGGCGGACCTGCTCCAGGTAGACGAGAGGGTCTTTGAGACGTCGACAGATGGTAGCCATACGACCCAGACCGGCGCGCTTAAGCTGCTTGCACTGGAAAAGAGACTGCGCATATTTAATAAGACGGACGTAGTCGCGAGACACGGTTTCGATCAGATGTTTGGCCGTGGAAACTTGACCGAGAGCGATACGGAAATGGTCGGCATCGTAAAGGGTGTTCATCAAATCCTTGTCTGGTGGACATTAGAAGGATGAACTGAATATAATAAATCCGATCGAAGAAAAAACTTACGGAAAGGGTGAATATCCTGGAGGCGGGGGAATCCATCGAGAATGGCCTGGAATTTTTCGCAAAAGGTTTCCTGGGTGTATTTGACCTTTCGAGTATAGAAGCCTAACGGGCAGAAACGAAAATTTTTGTATTAGCGACGAAATTCCTTTATCGTCCGCCGGCGGCATCGACATCCACCATGTCGACGGACTGTTTCTTTCGAAAGATCGCAAAATACCTCTGATACGACTGATCTTGAAACCAGCACGGATTTGAGTGGGCAGCTGTCTCTGAGTACGGCTGAGGACGATATCCAAAAACTCCTGGCTCGTGGGCACAGGAGCGATCTGAGCGGTGACGAAAAAAAAGCATATCGTCAGTCTGGGTTGTTTGGTGTATCAGGGGAGGGGGGACAACAAGAAGGACTTACATCTTTCCAGGTGGTCTTCATGATGGGTACCTGAGAAGCACAATTATTGACTCTCAAGAAAATCCCCAAGGTAAAGGTGGAAGTGATGGGAGGGGGAGAAAAAGACTCGTTCTCTCAGCGACCGAGAGATCTCGAGATAAAAAAAAAAAAAAAAATATTAAGTCCGGGCGGTCGGAGGCAAGAGTTTTGGCGGGCGGTGAGAGCAAATGTGGGGAACGTTTTTAGTAACCGAGAGCCAGACTTCCCTCCTACAACTACTTTCTGAATGCTCTCGTTGATCAGGCAATGTCATATACATTGACTACCGCAGGACTATGGACTATGATACAAAGACTCCTTACCTTGACCGAACCAGACCGTCAGCCGTGGGATTCATCATCGTCAATATCCATTCCGGAATCGTCGTAGCCAAACAGAACTCCGTTGCTTTTTCTCTCTTAACCCACGTAAAACCAAATCCGGGGAGGGGTAATAACATTAACATAAAAAAACATCCATGCATAAGCCATTGAATGGGAATTGTGCGTGAGAGAACGGTAAGAAAAATCATATAGTGTGATAAAGGGGGGAAGGTGAAGGGTAACCGAGGTGGGGAGAAATAAAGGTGAATCAGTCCATTGGGATCTTATTCTTGGTGGGAGAACTCGAGAACCTGGGTACTGTCAGCATAATGAATCAAAGATAAGGAGAAAGGTTGAAATGTTCTGTCGGGACAAGGCAACACTCACCAAGTCTACCCAGCCTCCTCCGCCGAACTGGCACTTGCTAGGCCCGCGGTTCTCGAACCCGAACGACTCGTAGAACGATACCAGGTGGTCGTGCGTGATGATGGACAGACGGTCCGCGATTTGCGCCTCCTTAATTCTCTGGACGTACGACTTCATCAAGGTGCTGGCGACCTTCTTGCCTTGATGCTCAGGCCGAACGGCCAGGGAGTGAATCGCAATCGTGCTGCCGTATTCGTCGTGGCCAACGGTCTCGCCATCTTCGACCGCGAACCGGTCGGTCTTCCAGTTCGCCGGCAGCTGCATGGACTTATCGGTGACCAGCTCTGTCGAGGTTCGAGTCGCAACGATATGTCCGACCAGGATCGGACGAGGCTTCGGCTCGCCGTCCTTCACGATGGGCAGGGTGAAAAGACCCAGGCACAGTTCGGGGCATCGGTTGAGACGGTAAATGAACTGGAAAGAAGGTATCAAGTTAGTCGCCGATGTTTTGCGATCAACGCTGTCTGGGTCCATACTTTGTCTCGGGAGCAGCGCTCCTGTTCCGGGAATGCTTGTTCCACCTCCACGCAGTCTTCCTTATTCGACACGGTCAGGACCTGAACGAAGGGATGAAGCTCATCCAACTTGGTGCGGTGGTGCACCGGCGGGCGACGAAACCAGTAGGGGAATTCATTGACGTCGTCATGATCCACCGCGACGTAGTCTTCGTCGACCTCTTCCTCGTCGTCGTCTTCCACTTCGTCCAAGGACAGACCGTTCGCTATGGCCACGTCCGCTCGGCCACTCAAGCGCGAGAGGTCGGAACCCGTCGCGGGCAAGGTATAATCAACATTCGACAACGGCTTCAGGCCGTTGATCGCCTCTTGATATTGTTTGTCGGCGGAGTCGGAAGACATCTCCTGGGTGGGATCTCCTTTCAAGGGTTACGGCAGTGTCGCGAAGAGGTGAAATGGTTTATTTAGTTTCTCCACAAAAGAGCACGGAAGACCAAAAAATTCGAGAATTTAGAGGAGGTTCAAGTTCACACAGATTTATTGAAGCGGCGAATTTAAGGGAGAATAACGATAGGTTGCAGGGGGACACAAATTATAGACGAAGGGATTGGCTGAAGGATGAAAAAGAGTCGATAAATCGAGGGGTCCGAATCTTCGGAAAGGCTAGAAGAGGGTGGGGGTCGATTTAGCTTGATGCGGACGATAAGACTCGAACAACGCGGGATTCTCTTCCAGAAGCTTTGCTGGACCCAGAGTTGACTGAGTGACCGCACGGTATTCGGAGTACACTATAGAGAAGTAGATGGGCAGTAGATGACTGCCAGGCACCTTGTCTCGCAGATGCAATACTTTGCTAGGATGTACATGCAGTACTATACCTACGAAGTCTGTCGCAAAAGGGAAAGAGCGGGCACGGGCAAGGAAGGTCCTTGTTCTTTTGTCTTATTCAACCATGGCTCTACTAAGTAGAGAACTATGCTGGAATTATTCTATTGAGGGTGAATCTGTTAGAGAAATGGTATGGTTAGAGCGATACTAGTGCCTCTTCGGGGCGGCGATAAGACGGCGATATCGGATTCGTATAGTACAACATGGACATATGTAGAAGAGAATGTTTTTGGCAAAAGATAAATCAGCACAAGCATGTGGGCTCAATTTCAAATCGATCTGTTATGGCTACTCTGCCTATAGATCGTGCACAAAAATGACCTGTCCGACGCTGAAGAGGGTCATAACTCGCATGGTGCAGCATGCACGGTGACATAATTTATATTCAGACAAATCGACCAGAATGACAAAAGCAGAAAAGAGCGGCCATTTGATAATTGTCTTACGGCAGGATCTAGATCCAAACCCCCTGCTCTGAACATGTATTGGGCGCCGTCCATCCCACCTTCTCCGCATCTGACTTGGATGATGTGGCAGCCCCTCGGGGTCTTATCGTCGACGGCGCGTTTCATAAGTACTTTCGTTCTTCTCTGTCCTCGCTGTCCAACTCATCCAAACTTTCCATCCGCCAAGATGTCCCAGCCATTTCCCGTCGATCATGGCATGACGTCCTTCTGGCGCTCCGAGCCCCATCCCTTGGATAATCACCGCTCGACGGATGCTCTACCTGATGAATCCGACATCGTGATCATCGGCGCTGGGTTCGCGGGAGCTGCCACTGCCTATCACTGCCTCGAGCGGAGCAAGTCGTCCTCCCAGAGCCCCTCCGTCGTCATCCTGGAAGCACGCCAGGCGTGTTCTGGGGCTACGGGTCGCAATGGTAATCTACGAAACAAGAGAACAGGAAATGAAATGGTGACAGAAGAGCTAATTCCATGGCTTCGACATAGGGGGCCATCTCAAGCCTGACCCGTACTACCAGATTGGTATCATGGCCGCTGAATACGGAGTCGAGGCAGCCGAGGAGGTGGCGGAGTTCGAAATGAAACACCTCTTAGAGCTGCAGTCGTTCATCGAGCGGGAGAAGATCGAATGCGACCTAGATGTGAACCGAGTTTTCGACGTGCAGTTTGACGATGAGCATTGCGCCAAAACCAAGGCCGCGTACGATTTGCTCCTGTCGCGAGGTGCTACGAGGGTGAAAGATGTGGAATTCAGTCCGTCAGCGTCGGCAGAAGCCGTAAGAATCAAAAGACTCCCCTTTCCTTCGTACCGACCACGCCTGACAGACGCTTGAATGGCACTAGGTTTCCGGGGTGAAAGGGGCGCGAGGATGTTTTAGTTATCGCACGGGGCGCGTTTGGCCGTACAAACTCGTGATGCACCTTTTGAAAAGAGCGGTGCTCGGTGGAGCCAATCTCCAGACATATACCCCCGTGCACCGAGTTTCGGATTCACCCGGCGTGGATGGAAAGTGGACGGTTGAGACAAGTCGGGGATCCATCCGAGCCAAGAAGGTGGTTTTCGCCAGCAACGCCTATACCGCCGCCCTGGCACCCCAGTACAAGAATCATATCGTCCCAGTGCGAGGAGTCTGTAGCCGAATTGTGGTGCCCAATCCGCCCGAGAACGCAAAGAACTGCTCGTACACCTTTCGGTCCAACGCCTGGGATTATGACTACCTGATCCACCGGCCGGATGGAAGCATCGTCGTGGGAGGAGCCAAATCGACATTCTATCACAATGCCACGGACTGGTACAACAACACGGACGATAGTAGGGTGATTGACTCGGCTGTGCGGTACTTTGACAATTACATGCAACGGCGCTTTCATGGATGGGAGAATTCGGGAGCTTACACCGACCGGGTTTGGACAGGAAGTATGTGCTATCTACCTGCAATGATTTGTGATTTCCCGTCTCCCAGTTTCTCTTATTAACCGACTTTAACCAGTTATGGGAGATACCCCCGACACTCTGCCTCACCTCGGACATGTTCCCCACAAGCCCGGACAGCTCATCATCGCCGGGTTCAATGGTCATGGGATGCCGCAGATTTTCCTCTCTGCGCAAGGGATTGCGAAGATGACTGTCGACGAAGCTTCATACGAAGAGACGGGATTACCGCGGCTGTTTCGAACCAGCTCCGAGCGACTGACGAGGACCGAGAATAACATCCTGGCACCTGCGCAGGGCTAGAGGCGCACGGAGAAGGAGCTTGTGCATGGACAGTGGTGACACTAGCTAGCAGATAATCTAAGAGTCTAGGAGGAGAAGGGGAGAAGCAAGTGGAGGCCCAGCTATCGATCAGCGTTATCGGCACCGAATCAGAGCGCCGCCCGAGATGCGTCATTCTCCGCCGCGACTCATTTTCGTCCGTTTTTCTTTCCCCGACCCGCGCTCGCCGTTGCTGCTGCTGCCCAAGTTTCCTCGTGAACTTCCCCTGTCTCCTCGATTCCTTTCTTCGAACCTGTTTTCTTCTTCTTTTTCTTCTTCTCTTCCCGTTGAATCATCCTATGTATCTCTTTTCGATCCCGGTTTCCTTGGTTTTTGTCAAGAATGAAACATGAGCTCTAGGGTGCTGAACTGGCCGCGGACCAAGTCCGCGCTGCTGAAGGTGGGTTTGGTTTGGGAAGATTGTGTGTGGATTTCGCTCTGACCTCGTTCTTGTCGCTCCTCTAGCAGCAACAGCAGCAACATCAAGCTTCCATCTGCAATGGACAGCCGACCACAAAACTCGATTACCACACTCGTCGTCTTTTTTCGTCCTCCGCCGATCGACCGATCAATCAGAGCGCCGACTTCTCTTCCACCAGCCAGAGCTATGATCGTTTAGGTCGTCGGGCGAAGGAGAAGCTGCTGGACCGCGTACGATAACCGTGCAACCCCATTTTTCGCAATAGCGCGTGTATCACTAATCGATCTCGATGGCTTTGTTGTGGCAATAGGAATTCTTCCTCAGTCTACTGAACTCGGCATCTACCAAGCGTGAAGCCAAATCGTATCTGGCCCGTCTCAAAGCTCAACACTCCCCAACCCCACCTCCGAAACCGAGCATTGAACAAAGTAAGGAGGCCGTGGCTCTTTCGTCGCCGTCGGGTGTCAATCTGGGATCATTCTATGGTGCCTCGCGCTCGGTTTACGACAGTCCGGTCTTCAGGCATGACTCAACTCCTACCCCTCCCCCGCAGGAGATACCGGAGATGCGACTACACCTGGCCTTGATCAAACTCAAGGCCCCTCAGCAACTAGAAGACTCGGTCGTTCATGGAGTAGCTAAGACATTTGCGCAATTGAATCGCCTGGGCATGGGCTGCTGCGTTGTGGTCGATCCGGGACCCATGGACGATGCGAATGCGTCGCGAAAGATCGCCGCCGACCAAGCAGACCGCATCGCTGCTGCCGTTGATGCCCAACCCGATTCCAAATCCACCCACCTGGATTCGGTTTTGACTCTGCCCTCGAAAACTCCGGATACCCCGACGGTTCTATCGCGGAAGGCTCTTTTGAACCCTCTCCGCGATGGGCACACGGTCATTATCGCCCCGATCGCCTACACGGAAGATGTCCCTCGAGCGGTGACTTTATCGGGCGAGGATGCTCTCCTCGCCCTTACAAAAGAGCTGGCCGGTCTTGCAAGCGTCCCGCATCCCGATGAAGACCCGTGGCTTACGGCCCAAAATATCAAAAGATTGCAGCAAGAAGTCTCGCTAGATCGAGTGATTCTACTGGACCCTCTTGGAGGCATCCCTGCATTCAGTGGCCCGCAAACCTCACATGTATTCATCAATATGGAGCAGGAATTCGACGATATTGAAACCCAGTTACTTCAAGCCCAGCAGTCGGCAGCGACAGGGCCTGGCTCAACACAGGCAGAGCCCACTGGTGGAGTCAAGCAGCGTACTCCAGCACAAGGTAGCCTTGTGGACGATCACCTACACAACCTGCGCCTATCCCAGAAGGCTCTCGCTATGCTACCCTCGGCATCGTCCGGGATCATTACTTCGCCGGCTGAAGTCGCCAACTCAGCCCGATCGCCGCAGGCTGCACCGGCACTGTCCGCCGTGGGCACTCGACGACAACGAAACCCGTTGATCCATAATTTGCTTACCGACAAGCCTTTATTGTCGTCTTCTCTGCCTATGAGCAGACGTGAAGCGATCAGTGGCGGACGGGGAAACATTTTTACACCCAGCTTACACACGACCTTTGTCAAGCGGGGTATGCCACTCACTATGATCCCTGATCCGCGAGTGGAGGTGTGGACTGCGCAGAATCGCCCTCGATTGAGCCTGGACGACCCCAGCATTGACCTGCCACGTTTGGTACGTCTGATCGAAGATTCGTTCAACCGCAAGCTCGATGTCCAGGACTACTTGAACCGAGTCAACGACCGGCTTGCCGGGCTGATCATCGCCGGAGAATATGAAGGGGGCGCTATCTTGACCTGGGAGCTTCCTCCGGGTGTGGAGGATGACGGAAGTGAAGCGAGTCAGGCTCGTATGGTTCCATACTTGGACAAGTTTGCGGTACTGAAACGCAGCCAAGGGGCAGGAGGCGTGGCGGACATCGTGTTCAATGCGATGGTCCGGACCTGTTTCCCTCAGGGGGTGTGCTGGCGCAGCCGCAAGGACAACCCGGTGAACAAATGGTATTTTGAGCGTTCCGAGGGAACGTGGAAGTTGGCCGACACGAACTGGACCATGTTTTGGACAACCCCTGGATTGCCGGAGAATTCGCAACTCTTCCGCGATTACGAGGGCGTGTGTCGCGGCATCGAGCCCAGCTGGGCTGATGACACCGGAGTGATTGATTGACGGGGAAAAAAAAAGTTCTCCTGTTTATTCTTGGATGGATTTCAAAAACAAGTGCTTCTAAATAGTTCGGGCATATCTGTATATAGCGAAGCGATCTATCTATCAATAGAATTTCTAGACCATCGAGTCTCTCACCGCCTTCGGCATTCTCGCCTTCTCCGTCCATCGCCAATCGTCTTCCAACTACTTATCTCCATTCATTAGAAGCATGGAGCCTGCTATGAAAATCGGTCCATGACGCGATGCCCATCTGCATCGAATGCTCCTACCCTGTCTCGCATCTGTACAGCACCTACAGTCGCGCAGATGACCGGTCGTTGGGCAAAGGCGTGCGCCTGACGCAATGCCCGCGCTGCCAGCGATTCGCCGACAAATACGTCGAATATGACTTTGTTGTCATCTTCATAGACCTTGTCCTGATCAAGCCTCAGGTATGCCGGAATATTAGAGGTGGATTGGTTCCAAACTGAACAAATGTCTGACAATTCCAGGTATACCGACACCTCCTATTCAACCGACTCGGAGGCGACGATAACCAATTCGACGTAAGTCGAAGCTCTACAGGACATCTGTCGCGCAGGAACTGACCTATCCATGACCACGCAGCGCTCGATCGTTCGTCTCGGCATTCTCCTCCTCCTATTCGACGTCTACCTGACGTGGGCACGCATCGAGAAAACCCAGACCCTATCCACGACGTTCCTCGCGCGCGCGCCCATCGTCATCCAATACTTCTTCTTCCTGGGCCTGAACGCCCTCGCCACGCTCGCTCACCATCTGACGATCCGGTTGCTGGCCTCGATTCTCGCCCCGGTCCCTAGAGGGCTAGAGCAGAATGGCCAGAGCAGCGGCAACAGCACGACCGACACACCATCCCACCCGTCGACACCTGTCTTTCCCTCTTTTCCTGCGCAGGCGGGCGCTCAACCGCAGTTATCGCCCACGTCGACGTCGGCCCTGAGCCCGCCTCGCCTGCACTCGCAATCGTCGGCTGTGGATGGTTCGTCGACAAATGGTGCTGCCGGCACAGGCAATGACAACAACCCGACCCTTAATACCAATCCTCCACCGCCAGCGCATTACGCCCATCCTCCTCCACCACCACCCCTGCGTCGTGCTTCCACGGCTCCCACGCAAAACATCCAGCCCCTACCGCCCCCATCACCCGCAAGTCCCACCGCCATCAGCACCGCCCTGCTCGTCAGCAGCTGCGTGAAACTCTTCCCTATTCTACTCGTCATCTGGGGACCAGATGGTGGCGGCAGCAACAACAACAACAATAACATATCAGAGTCATCTCACGCCCTCGCGCTCGAGACCAGCCAATCCATCTCCTCCTCGGACCTCCCCACCCAAGCACTAAACAGCCTAACACCCTCCGCGACAACCGCCTTGTCCGGGACATCAGAGTCGCCGACCCTCTTGGAGAGTCTGATCCATTTGATGCCGGCCTCCGTACCTACGAACTACCTAGCCAATGTGATCGAGCTGGCCGGATCGTTGCTGTCGCTGGGCGCAGCGGATACGCATCTCGTGCTGCTGAGTAATATCGAGGCACTGTATATCTTGTTGGGGTGTGGGTATCTTCGCGCGATGGCGTTGGCTGTCACGGGGCTGCTGGCGAGGTGGACGGTGCAGAAGGTTATTTTGGGGGTTGTGGGGGTTGGCTAACTACATAGGTATATCTACTTGTGTCTTATATGAAGTATATTTAATTGATAATACAGGATCGGTTTGATCAAATAGGTACATCTACCACGCAATCTACACTAAAGAGTTGAGAGATATCAGAAGCAAAGACGAAAGACAACCCCTAGATTTGGAAGATTATACATGAATAGCGGAACTGCCAAAAGAAAAGAAAAGGTATAGAATAGAACCGCCCAACAGGTATGCTAGATATGACAGTACCACTCACTCAGTCCAAATCAAGCCAAACAAATCTCTGGTCTCACCCTCTCCCAAATTCTTGGCCCTCCACCTAGCTAATAAGCAATATAATACCGCCCCTCATCTCTATCCTTCACAGTCACAAAGTCCAAACGAATCGAACAAACAAGAACAAAGAATCAATCACTGCGGTACCCGCTCGGGTCTAATATTCGATCTCTTCGGCGTGATGAGAGGATGCCATTGGGCTAGGAATACGATTGCTAGATAAATTAAAACAATATGTTAGCCGACCAGTCAATCAACCAGGCAGGTGTAAAACCAGACGTATATATCGGAGGGAAAGAGGGGAAGAGAAATAGATGGATGAACAACGTACCCCACATAAGATAACACGAAACGAACGATAGGATCAGCGTGCTTCGGAAGACACTAGATTCAAGAACTCGTGTTAGTATTGTTTTCTTCCCTTCATCTCTCTCCGTCTGTATCTTTCGCTTCATTCTCCGGGTATCATTTCCGAATAAGACGGGGAAGGTGAAGGGAGGACACGCACGTCTGATTCTCCCCCTTAGGACTGAACACCCAGGCCAGGACGGATGCGATCACGATGATGACAAGGCCGATGATGAGACTCCACCTGAAATATGAAAAGAAGGAAATCAATTAGCATTGGATCTCCAGGTTTGTGTCAGGCCGGTTCATGTCTCCGTCCTGGATCTCGGTATATGAAGGATGTAGTTCATCCTTAATATGGACGACTTAAAACCGCATTGAACTGAACATGAACCGAGTCCGACGAACCGGGGACAAGACTTCGATGAGGGACGCAGGAGCGTGAGAGGAACGCACCCGTTAGCCATATTGATTTACCCTTCTGTCTTTCTGCGTTGGATTTTCTTCGTCCGCGGTAGATAGATTATCCCGTCACCCGATATCAGGGCTCCGTCGTGTATGCGTATGCTATGGCCGATTCGGGGATGATGAAGCTTCGATTCTGGAAACGACACAGTTGTAGGTCCAGCCTGCTGTGCTCTCTCTGTACGTGTGCGTGTGGCTTGTTCTTCGCTGGCTAAGTGTGCCGTGTCTCGACCTGATTAGATTAGCCTCCGTCAACGAGATTCAAGCCCAGCGGAGTAACGCAAGCTAGCTAGGTAATGCCAGTCGCAATCGATTGGGAGGGTCACGGTGGAACGAACAGTGTCAAGTTGAGGTGCAGGCCGGGTTTCGACGCGGATCCGGTTCCAGGACAAGTGTAGTAAAAGAAGCGAGGATCGACTGAGCGAATGCAAGTTCCGTCGTTGCGAATGTGCCACCGCGAGCAGGAAGGTCGCCGGGATGATAAGGTCGCGGAGCTTCGGGCGGAGTGGGCTTAGGTGGCTGGCTGCCTCAGGCCGCGAGGTGTCATTCTGCCGCTGTGGCGGTGCGGGTGGACTTTACGATACGGTACAGATTGGCTCACGTGGACTGGAGGGAAGAAGACGAATTGACTACGCATCGATAAGGCATTACACATCCTCCACCGGGATATAAAAACATCTGTTTCACAAGTGCAACAGGGGAAATCGTAGGAAGACTAGCTGGGAGACAGACAGACACAGATAGACAGACAACACATCAAAAAATAAAGCAGGACATAAAGGAAACAGGGGAGACCGGAGTCAGGAAACTTAAGCTCCCTCACGGCTCTTGCGGTAGCTGGCCTAGATAGTGTCACGTTAGCGTTGTTTCAGTTCCTCGCCATATATAGATCATACCTCTTGCTCAACCTGCAAGCCATCGACCACAGGAGCCAGCTCACTGAGAATCTCATATGCCCGCTTGTGGAACTCCAGCTGCGCGGCGATCAAATCCGCCAGGTTTCTCAAGGGCTCGGGGGTATCGAGGACCTTTGACGCGAGACAGTCAGCAAAACTCCGTTCCAAAAGATCATCCCGCGCAGACTTACATTCTTCATCACGCTGACAGCCTCCTCAGTCTGACCGACGAACTCATCCTCGGCCTGCTCGATCTCGGCACGGGCCTCCTCGCTCAGGTTGTCCAGATCACCTCTGGCCTGGGCCTTCTTGCTCGCCTTAACCGAGTCCAGCATGAGACGGGCATTCTCGACGTTGCGTCGGGCCTTAGCCGCGAACATCAGGTTCGTGTTCAGCGTGGTGTTCCATCCGGCCAAGAAGCGCGACTGGATCTGGGCGTCCTGCGACAGACGGGCCTCGCCGACCTTCTCCGACGCGAGGGCATACTTCTCCAGCGCCGAGGCCAGGGGATCTTCGCCGGTGGTGGAGTTCTGCGCCAGCGTCTGGGACCCCGACAGCGAGGCGCGGGCAATGGCGTGGTTGAAGGTCTTGGGCTGCGGCTTGTCGACGGGGGGAGCGGACAGCGCAGCCTGCGCCTCGGCGGGGGAGGCGGCCTGGGAGAGAAGTTGGACCTTCTCGCTGATGGTGCGGCCGAGGTCGTTGAAGGATTCACGGATGTTGGGGGGGTAGTCGTAAGCTTCGTTGGAGTACTGGGAGCTATTGAGGGATAAAGCAGAAAAGGTAAGTGGGATTGGTTCCGCAGATCTTCAATTCAAGTGCGAGGGAAAACCCCCTCGACAAGGGACTCAAAAACTCACGTCACCTGGAGAAGCTTCTGGTGGACCAGCTTCAGCGCATCCACGCGCTTCTCGAGCTCGATGTACTCATCGGGGAGTTGGGTGCGGTCTTCGGCCTGGCCCAGCTGCTCTTTAATCATCTGCTGCGTGCGCGCAGCGAAGGGCGAAAAGTTCGCACTGTCTCGCAGAGCAATAAGAGGTTAAAACATGTCAGCAGGAGGGTGGGCGATCGGGAGGGTGTTCGAGCAAGCGAAAGGAGGGGAGGGTTGAGATGAGACAGGAATACGTAGTAGAAAACAGGCAGTGCAATTAACTATCAGGGGAGAACTCACCTCAGGTTCTTTCCGAACGCCTGAAACTTATCCATGGTGACGAGCAACGCAGTCGGCGGTTTCTGTAAGATGCGGAGAAAAGGAAGGGATCCAAACGGCAATCTGTCAGTCGGAGTGATTATTGTTTAGGGAGTCGAGGCCACGCACCGCCTCATCAAGGCCCCGTTCTTCAGTGGCGGTGCACACGTTCTGCACCGCCACAGATGGTGACGTCCCTTTCATACTTCAATAATGAATATCTTTGTCTTCTTTGTGCAAGAAATCACATCTTATCACAGAGAAAGTGAATGCAAAGTCCTGTTAGGATTGATATGTTATTAACTAAACATGTTCACATTAAATCCTTCGACTATAATAGTCGATCTCAAATATGAATTATGATAGATTTAGTCCGCGCGACACAGGCTCTAGTAAAAACATCAAGGGTATATTCTAGACTAGACATTCTCGTACTAAGTACCGATTAAGAGCATTGTACTCGGTAGATAAATCAAAAGCAAAGGTCAATCGGAAGGAAAGAAAAGACACAATCACAGGCCTGCTGATCCGATATATTACATGTAGATAACCAGTAACCAGATGAGACGAAATCATAACCGAAATAATAGACATCAGATCAAATTACCCGTGAATCATTCCTAACGCGTCAGAATTCAAAAGAACGAACAGAAGGGGTTGTCTAAGTCAGAGTAGCCATCATGGCACGGACGATACGGGAGTTGGGGCCTAAATGTTGTCAGTTAGCATTTGCGACTTATAATCAACCGAATGGTATGTCTTACCCTTGCGGTCCCTCTTCACCTCGGTGATCTCCTCGCGGTCGCCGTCGCCATTGATGAATTCCGTGTCTCGGATAACTTCTCCCCGACTCCGACTCCGTCGCTCCAGAGGCATGTATTCGCGAAGATCCTCGTCGCTGTCGCAAGGCCGGATCATAATGGCGAGCGGCCCGGCGTTAACGTGATCGGATTCCATATCATGGCGAATGCGCACCGGCGACGACCGACGACGATGACGACCGTGCACCGAGATGGATCGGGTGCGGGAGACGGTCCTGGTCAGCCGCTTCTCGGAAAGGTCATAGTTGCGGGGATGGCGAGAGTGCGATCGGTGTCTAGAGGAAGACGACGACGCGGGCTCGATGAGCATAGTGTGATGGTGGTTCTTGGGGGTATAGGGCTCCATGGCGATTTTCTCCACAGGTCGGTCCCGGCGCCGCTCGCGAACAGGGGACGGCGAGGACTCTATTATACGTGCTAAGAAGAACTGTTAACAAGGGCGATTTCCTCCGTGAAGGGGGGCACGTGGTCACTTACCACCGGTCCGGTGCTTCATCTGGCGACTGCGGCTGATGACATCGTCGATTTGCTCCTTGGAGAGTGCGACCTGGATAATGACCATATCACCCTGTTTTAATGGCCGGTCAGCTTCCAAATTCCCGGTAAGATCTGGCGCGATGTAGGACATACCTCATCCTCGTATGGGTAACCAAACTCACGAACGGCCGCGGGGTGGACCAGCTTTCGAGGCATCCGAGTCTTGCCCTTTCGAGGGTATGGCTTCTCAATCTCAACTTCCTCAACGACCCGCGTTGGGAATCGGCTGGTGGAGCGGCGGGGACGGTCCCGGAAGCGATCGCGCTCACGCTCATGGTATTCTTCATCGCCGTAGTGATCGGGGTCCGCGACACGAATCTCCTCGTAGTAATCCGGTTCGCGGGGAGGACGGACCGGAGCGCGAGCGGGGGGGTCGTGGTAGTAATACTCATCGAGCTTGCGCGAGGGGATGCGATCGAAGGTGTCCAAGGACGATTGGCGTCGCAGAAGACGGGGTCGAGGCGGAGGACTATCTCGTCGACGATCGTAGGTTACGAGAGGGCCCGAAGTATGAACGAGATGGTCATCTTCGTAGAATCTGTCCGACCGGCGGGCAGGAGGACCATATCGGTCATTTTCTTGCATGCGGTATTCGAAGCGGTCATCTTCCACGCGGCGGGGTCGGTCGAGCACGGGGGGACCGCGCGAGTGCAGACGTTCGCGGCGCTCACGAGAGAAACGGTCGGCGTCCCAACGGTCGGAGTCATGCTCCAGGTGGCCGGTAGAACGGCGATAGTCGTCGTATCGAGACATGTGCCCGGGTGACTTTTGGAGCGAACCGTGGATGACGACAGCGGGTGACTTTGGTTGTGGGCGGGCCGTTGGTGGTGGGGGAGATGTGAACAGTACCACTGGTACAGTCGAACTGTGGCTAAGAGGGGACAGAGATATAGAGTGGAATAGGAGGAAAGAGAAGGGTACAGAGGACAATCCGACTGAACGACCGTCGCGAAGGGGAGATATAAGAGGAAGAAGTCGAAAAAAGAAAAAGGAAGCCTGAAGGAGACAAAATGACGTCGGCGGGACGAAAGCCTTACGGTAACGATGGTAAGAATGCCTGCCTCAGGCCGGGGCGCCACCGCCGGCGGGCGTAACGAAGGGAAAGTGGTGAAGCAAACGCCTCGTTGCACCAATTCATTCATCCTTTCGCCACGGATCGGCGCTTGGCTTTGGCTTCGTCAACCCTCGAAATGCTGCTTGTGTGTGCGTCGATCCGATCTGTCTCGCTTCGTTTCGTCTGTCCCCGGGCGTCTGGTCCCTTCAGCTCGCATCAGCTCATCGACCTGGCCTTGTCTGGCCCATCTGGTCCAGTCGCTGCCATCGCGGATCTGGCAGTCTAGATGCTGCTACCCAATCCCATGCATATGCTCGCCTGTCAACCAAGATCTCCACCCCAGCCCCACGGCCGCGCGCGCGGTTGGGCATTGGTGTTTGAGACATAAGAGACCGATGCGCCGTATGCGATTGCGAAAAGGCCGTGGCCATACGCGCGACTGGTCGGTGCTAGACAAACGCTAAGGAATGCAGCTCGAGCATTGAATTCGGACCAAGTGGTCCCAAACGACGCTGGCGAGGAGGCTACCGCAGCCTACAGGTCACCGTCGACCTGGAGAGTTTACAAGTCCAAGGTGAAAGGACGCTTCAGGAAGGCGGGTTCCGCTCTGCAAGGGGACCGTTGATCTGCGGTGCCATGTGTTCGTACTCAGACGCCTCCATGTGTACCCTACGGCCGAGTCACTGCTGCCCACTGGTTGCCAAACCCCGAGAATCCCCACATCGTCCGGACCAGGGGACGCCGCCGCGGATGGGAGATGTTGTACTGGTAAGTCTGATGGAAGTCTGTTACAGATGTGAAGCAGCAAGCCAGGTCAGCAGCAGAAAAAGCAAAGCCACAACTGGTCTGATTGTCTTGGAATTCCTGCATGATGATCGGCGCCCACAACTGGGACCCCTAAGGGAGTCACCTACGGTCTAGAATCCCTGTCCATAATACTTGCATCAGGTGATAGCGAATTTGAGCGTGTCCATATGATTTTGGACATCAGTGAAAACTTTTTCTTTTTCTTTTTCTTTTTCTTTTTCTTTTTCTTCTGCGAGCGATCAGAAGGTCTCTATCTGATTCTTACAGAGAGCTCGATTGCCACGGGCCCCTCTTGCCAACGGAGTCCTGCCGAGCAACGTCGGTGTTGTCGTTGTCGGTCTATTTACATTCGATCTGCTATCTCCAAATTTAGCAGATCGTCTTCTAGACTTAGAATCCCCATCGCCCAATTAGACCGAACGGGTTCCGGGAGCGTGACAAATCGCCTCTCCGGGTTGTCGTTTGCTTGCTCGTGCGTCCAGATTGGGGAAGGCTCGTAGGAGCTCTGGTCTCGGCGCTGGTACGGGGGACCTCGTCCCTGTTTCGCGGCCATCGTCCATGCGTGTTCACATCCGTTGGCCACGGCGTCGGACGACTTCCACCCGGTTAGACGGGAAACCTTGTGGAGCGTAGTGACGATCCACTGCCGATGGGCGGCCTCCATGTATTGTACGCCGGCGAAGAAGAGAGGCACGGTCATCTCGATCAGGCAGGAACCGAGAGTAGGACTCAGACGACCTACTTCGCTATTGAGAATCTGTGGATAGTAAATGCCGGCCGCGACCTGTCCGACGATCTGCGCGTACTTGGCAGTTGCAGGCGCCGCTACGCCCGCTGCAACCATCATTGCAGGCGGCATGCATGGGTGCAGTCGATACAGAAGCATGAGGCCCGTATAGTAGAATCCCCACACTACCGCAATCGTTTGCGTGCGGTACTGAAGGGCTGGACCGAACGGGGTGGAGATCGGTGGAGCACTGTCGGACGGTAGCGGCATGAAATGGGGGCCTATCGCTTTCGCAAAGGTGTCGAACGCGGCCAGAATGCTCTCCCACTCGGATTCGGCCTCGCCATACGACCCAGACTCGTCATCCTCCACCCCTTGAGTGGGGTGGTCAGGTCGAGCTGCCGTGTCGGCGAAAGCAGCAGGAATGTGTCTCGGCCCGCTAGATGGGACCATGCCGTACATGGGAGGACCTCCGCTTTCCGGGCTTCCTCCACGGTGCTGGCCAGGCCGGGCGGTGGTGATGTTGGCGGGTTGGGCACGAGATTCACACGAACCGGGAGGAGCACGAGGAGGAGCACCAGCGGCAGGAGTGCCCGATGGAGCATTTGGGGGAGGTCCCCTTTGCATACCAGGGGGTGCCGCAGCAAATCTAGCCATGAAGTTGAAGAGCCCGGCATCAGGTTTCCAGTCAGTCCCAGTAGCCCTAGTGGCTTTCAACTTTCTCTTCCTATCGCGACGCCCGAAGTCGGTCAATCGACCCAGCAGAAGCCACAAGTGATCTGCCGAGCCATAAACAGCATCCAAGCGACCGATACCTGCACGAGGTGGACATTGATTCCATTGAGAAAACGGCAGACTAGCTTGCTGTCAGTCGATGAACCCTCATAGAGGGACCACCACGTATGTGTGCAACACTTACAACAGTCCACTGCCACTGATAAGGCTCTGCAGCATATCTTGCTTACAATACCACCAATAGAGATCACATTGAATCCGAAAGGCTTCGATATCTTTCCGAGTGAAGTGTTTCTGACGAGATTTTCCTGGGCCCTCTTCGACTTGCCCGAATTCATCGTAATTGACAGCTCGACCGACAAACGATCCTATTAGGTCCTCATTGATGCTACTCTCTTTCTCGCAGAATGGGTCGTCGTCGTTTGCGGCGCTTCCGAACAAATACGCTTGCTGAAACGATAACCCCGGGCCCCTTAGCTTTCGTTGTGCCTTTACCCTGCGTCGATGCGCACGAAGGTCCCGTGTTAGGCCGGCGAAATCAATCTCGCGTATCAACTGGGCGGAGCCAGCGATGTGGCTATTCCACCGGTAATGTTCCGCATTCATGACCTCATAGTATGCTAGGAGCAGTGCGGCGGCCAGAGTTCCAACTTGCTTACGACGCGTGGGTAATCCCACGGCCACACCAACCCTTTTGAGTGCAAAATGATAGTGTCTTAAAGAGAGCGTCGGCGGAGCTTGTTGTAGGTACGCGATGTGCAAGCTACTGACGGCAAGGATGGTTTGCAGCAAGGCTTGATGCTCCAATGCTTTGAAAGGTAAAGTGTATGTCCACAAACCTTGCTGCGCCGGCGACACGGGTGCGCCAAACATAGTGGAAGGATCGACCGGGTGCCTCTCAAAGACTGACAAAGTAGGCCCCGTAGAGTGGATAAAATGCAGAAATATTCGCGCGGTTTTGGGGTTATTCAAAGGCGAAGAGCCAAGAGTGGGATGATACGAAGCGAGGAGATTGGGCTCGTTCAAATAGGTCGTAAACGAACGGAGCTGTCTTTGATCCCGGTTCGCAGAGGCCATGATCAGGCTAAGCTGGTTGAAGTTTTCAGCAGTAGTTGGATCTTCCAGTTCTTCATCAGACCCGACGTCGTAGTAATCATCACCTTCGTCATCATACTGGGACGGTGAAAGTGGTGTAGATGCTGATTGGTAACTATGTGGTTGTTGTTGGGGTCGACTTGTCCCCGAGTGTGGAAAGCCTAGTTGTGATGCGACACCTGGGATCTACGATTTAATTAGCATTTCCATGAGAGCAAGAACTTCCTGAAAGGGTGGTTTTCCCTGTACCTGTGAAAACTCAGGAGCACTTGGTGCCGCGACATGGTTTCTGAGATACTCATCATACGGGTTATTAGTACCATAGGAAGCAACCCAGCCACTGGTGCTTTGACTTCCCCTAAGGTGATGCTGTGCAGAATGATTCTGTATATTAGCCCCCGTTGGGTGCTGTTGGTAAGTTCCATCGAAGGTGGTTGTTAACTCTTGCGGTGGTTTGTGATAATCTGCCGCAGGGATCGGTGCTCGTTGCACAGTCGAAGAGTCAGATACGGATGGACCCTGGCCATGAATAGGATGATAATACAAGGGCAGAGCGTCAGCCTCCTGGTATTCTCCGTATTGCGATGGAGTAGCTGCAGGTAAATGCGCCTGCTCTAATGTAGGGAGTGGAATTGGCCTCGGAGCCAATACAGGACGGTGTGAGCCGGCTGGTCTCTGTTGAGAGAATACGGGAGCATCGTAGCCGCTCGGGAGTGGTAGGTTGGCAGGTGCTGGCGGCAGTTGGGTGTGTGCCACCTGTGTGTTCGAGGGATTGGAAACTCCAAGTGGGTTCATAAAGACCAAGCGCTGAGCATATCCCTTACATTCTCGCTTAGATTTAACACAGTTGTTACATATAGGCTTCTCCTCCCCGCACTTGATGCGTCGCTGCCGACAGGCTGTAGTTTGATTAACGGATGATTTGGTTCGGCGAAATCCAATTCAAAACTATCAGTAAACGTACTTAGACATCCCGTTTTGGTGCGTTTCTTAGGAATTCTCTGCGCCTCGGCACTCTTTGCTGCCGGGTCTGTAGTGGTCTCCTCTTGTTGACGGTCCGGGGCCGAGACATCAGCGTCGGGACCCAGATCCTCCCCAGGGCCCCTGATAAGATTTGGGTTTCCCATCACAGCAGATCAGGAACCAGGCGAGACAAGAATTTCATCGTTTGAACCAAATCAACCGAGCATGGCGTGGCAATGATGGAGACTTTAATAAAAAAGCCTTCATTGCGCGGCTTAGCAGGCGGGGGCAGATTGGGAACGATGGTGTGTTCGTCGCACCAAAAATACATTGATTTTAGGCCCAGACTCACCCGGGGATGATCCTTGATTGGCCTACAGTCGGCAGCCAGAAGTCCCCATTTTTCCCCACGGTTCTTGTCCTTTGTCAATCGGCTCCGACTCGACAGTCCGTCCTACACCGGTGTAGGTCTTTGGGACGAGGTAAGTTTGCCATCTGAGTTTGCTGGCCTAGACTCTCTTTTTTGTTTCAAGAACTTTAGAGTTCGACGTCGATAGAAGATGAAGCCGTCTTCTGACCATGCGACTCCATCTTGGGGGCCAAGGATTGGAATACTTTAGCTCCTCCGTCAGTCTGACGTTTGCCACATTTTCTTCAGGGAAGGGGATCTGCACCCATTTTTCTTGTTTTCCCCTTTATGGTGTTCATGGATCACAGACCTAAGGAGTAAAATAGACGATCTGTTTCATCAAACGAGCTAGTGTAGCCACTGCAATAAGCTAATGTAAATCGCAGCCATCGACCGACGAGCAGAAGTCGGTAAGCAACTCCCAACCAACGAGGAAGACCCGCCATAAGCACCGCCTGACCGCCCATGGAAAAGTCCGGCAGAAAGCCACCACGGGCTGAAATTTCCCATGGAAACCCGCCTTTGCCTGATTTTTTCTCGCTGGCGCCAACCCGAGATTTTCGACCTGGTGGGAGTGCCTTGCAAAATTTATTCCTTTTAAGCTTTTCCTGTTTCTACCAGTTATCTTCTAGACCGCTTAAAAATAGCATCGCAAGCCGCGCGTCGAACTTCTTAGCAATTCGGCATCATGTTCGCCGTTCCAGGTTGGTCGGTTTCCAGCTCCGGCCTCGCGCAGCAATCCGAACAACCCAGTCAGAAGGCTCAGCAGGCCAATGGATCGAACAAACCTAATGATAAATCCAACAAACGCAAGAGAGAGGACCATGTGACTAAGGGAAATGTCGATCAGATGTACCGTCGGCACATCGAAGGCCAGAAACCTACACCATGGGCCGCTAAGGCCGAGAAGAAGAAGCAGCAGCAGCAGCAGAAGGACCAGAGATCGCAGGGAGAAAAGCCACAGAGCCCAGTGAAGCAGCAAGATAAGAAGGAACCCAAGCAAGACCCGGAGAACGAGGCTGGCGCGAACGAAGGAAAGAGAGCAAACAAGAAGCAGAAGAAGAACAAGAACAAGGACGAGCGGAAGGCCAATGGAGAAGAGGATCAGACCGTCTCCAAGGATGCCTCTGCACCCACGAACTCTCTTCCTGTGGCTCCTCCCAAGACCGAAGCTATCCTCACGCCTCTGCAGCAAGCCATGCGCCAGAAACTGATCTCGTCTCGTTTCCGTCACCTGAACGAAACCCTCTATACCACCCCCTCCACGCAAGCTCTGGAACTCTTTACCTCCAACCCCGAACTCTTTGACGAATACCACGCGGGCTTCTCGCGCCAGGTGAAGGAATCCTGGCCCTCCAACCCGGTCGACGGTTACATTGCGGCTATTCGCAGCAGAGGGAAAGGATCCCCTCCCAAGAGGGGAAACAAGCCAGACAACAAGAGCAGAGGACCCCAGCCTTTGCCTCGGCGACCCAATGGAGCTTGCACGATCGCTGATCTTGGCTGCGGTGACGCTCAGCTCGCGCGCGCCTTGATTCCTTCGGCAAAGAAGTTGAACTTGAAGCTTTCTAGCTACGATCTCCACGCTCCCGAGGGATCGCCCATCACGAAGGCTGATATCTCCAACCTACCCGTTGATGATGGCTCCGTCGACGTGGCCATCTTCTGTCTCAGTCTGATGGGAACCAACTGGGTTTCGTTCGTGGAAGAAGCCTGGCGGGTGCTGCGCAGTGACGGCAAGGGTGAGTGCTGGGTCAGTGAGGTGAAGAGTCGATTCGGCAAAGTGACGCGGAAGAAGGCGCAAATCGGCGCCCGGAAGCCGCTCAGCAAGTCGGAGAAGAAGAAGCTGAAGAAGAAGCAAGATGGCGACGACGACGGATCGGATGTGGATGACGCCGACGTCTTTGCCGAGGACGCTCAGCCCAAGCAAGACGACGAGACCGACATTTCGACGTTTGTCGAGGTATTCCGGAGTCGCGGCTTCATTCTCAAGTCCGAGACCGTGGACAAGTCGAATAAGATGTTTGTGAAGATGGAATTCATCAAGCAGGGCGGTGCGCCTACCAAGGGCAAGTATGCCTCTATCGGTGGAACCAAACCCGGTCCGGGCAAGAAGAGGTTCATCGAGAAACCTTCGCAAACTGCCAGCATGTCGCCTGAGGAAGAGGCCGCGGCTCTTAAGCCCTGCGTGTACAAGATCCGGTAGACCACCGGAGTTGTTTAATCACATATAACCTGTTGTATATAGAAGCCATATTAGCTGTATCTCGCCCGCAGGAAAATTTGTTAGTTCCTCAGCACCAAAAGTTCAATCATGAATATCAGATCATTAAATGAGGCCATTGTAATTTTCTATTCGATTCCAAAACAGATACACGACCTTGAAAACAGGACAAACGAGTCCTAAACATCCCACATCAGCCCGTCAGAAGTCTTGCGCATTAATTCCAGCGCTCGTTTATTGGTTTTCGCCCAACCGCGCAACAGCGCTGCCCATTTCTTCGTCGTTGTAGATGCGGAAGCCCTTCTCCTTGGTCACACTGGCCAGCTGCACATTCTTCGCATCGAGCTTCTCCTCCATGACCTGCTTCAGCGTCTTCAGGACCAGGGTTTCCGCCTCGTTGAGCGTCAAAGAGCGGTGGTATTCATTCTGCAACTCGGCCTGCGCACCCTCGCTTCCAGATCCAATGGCCTTCGCATCGTATCGGTAGAACGTACCGGACGGCTCGGCGTGATATCTACGGGTAGAGATAAGTTAGTAAATGATACAATGTGTGCATGTGCGGGGCGAGGGGGTGTGGATGAGCGCAAAGATAGAAAATGGCAGTCCAAATGACTAAAGGGAACATACAGTTGAGGGCCATCCTCGTCAAAGCCCGCAATTAACAAGGCAACACCGAAAGGTCGACTCATGACACTTTCCTCGTCATCACCGGTCTCTCCGAATCGCAGGGCCAGGTCACAGATGGCCTGGGTGCAGCTCTCGACTCTCAGCGGCTCGGCGTAGTGGAAGGCGTGGTTCTGGCATTCGACACGGGCGTGCTCGACAAGGTTGCGGGCATCGGCCTGCAGGCCAGACATGGCACAGCCGATGTGCTGGTCGATCTCGACAATCTTTTCGACAGAAGAAGCCTCGAGGAGGGTGGATGTGACACGCTTCTCAACACCTAGGATGACACCTTCTGATGTTGCGACCTATTCTTGGGGATTAGAAGAAGATCTGGCGGGAAGTCCGGGAAAATATCCAAAAGAAGCATGTTGGGAGGACCACAGGCTCAACCCTGGATGCTGGAACGGATGGATGCACATACACCGATCGCTGTTGAGCCCAGTTTGATAGCTTCCAGAGAGTATTCGACTTGGAACAAACGCCCCTCCGGGGAGAAGGTGCTGCAAGAAATTCATTGTCAGGGAACCGAGGAGCGAAGAGTATTGCGGTAATTATAAGGGGGAGTCCAGGGTTCGTACTTGATTCCACGGTCTGTTGAGCATCGTTGTTAGATAGGATAGACCGCATTAGAGGGGAGAGGTCGTCATGGAGCTTACCATATTCCGATCGCGCGATGAACATGTTGGCGGGCTATGGGATACGATGACAATTCACAGGTAATTCTGAAAGAAAGAAGAGGGGGTCCGGGTGACAGCGAGGGGGGATAGAAGCGACTTGAATTGGAGAGGACGAAGGAGGTGTGAGCTTGTTCTTGGTGCAGCTCGGGCGAAGCTCCCGTCGTCAGTCTACGCAAGTCCGCTGAGTGCCTGGCGGAGACGCCGCCTCAGGCCGTCAGGCATCAACGTGCCTTACCCGCCGACCTTCGCTACTCCGCGACGTGACGCCCGCAGTCGATTGTATACTTTACCTTCCCAGATTCCTCTTTCTCCCTCGACCCTCGTTACCCAACTCCGCCAATTTCGGTCCATGTTGCATGATCGGACTTCTCCTCTTTACCTCGCGGGACCATGTCCGTCAATGACCGTCGCGCCAGCCACATGAACGCTCCACGACCCCGCGTTGCGTCCAATCGCGTCGGCGATGCCGAGCGACACGCTCTGCGCAGCGGCGCCTCCCCATTGCAGTCGGATAATGCAGGCCACCGGGGCAGCACGTCCAGCCAGAAGAATAGAATGCCTCGCGAACAACAGAACATGGCCAGCGAGAAACGCTCCGAACGAATGACGATCCACTCGAAGGAACGGTCGCAGACTCGGACTCGAAATCCGGTTAAGGAGTCTTCTAGTGCTGGGAACAGGGGGGAATGGGAGAGATCACGGTCAAAACGAGGCGTGCAGGGGGATATTGCGGCTTCTCAAGCTAGAAATCAGGAGAAGGAACCGGAGGAAGGTCCGTAATCCTCCCTCTACTACTAACAATACCACCAGATTCGCAAACACTGACTGACTGTGCTATCGTATAGTACCCTGGAACCCTCATGCCTCCCTGATGCCTCATTCAACCGCGCCTTTGGCGACACGAGTATCGGTTGCGCCGTTAGCCTCCACGCTGCCTCAATCACTTCAACCCACGCCGCTCCGAGAACTTTCCGTGGATACGCAAGAGAAGGCCTTACTAGACGATCTGTTATTCGTGTTTATGGGATTTGAGGGCCAGTACATCCACTATCACAGCAACTACGACCCTGCTGTTGAAAAGGACCGGTTAACTGGGCCCGTTTTTCAGCTACCTTCGGGATTGGATCCAACCTTGAGAGACCTGACCTTATCGATGTTGAAGATGGCGACGCATTATAGTGCGCTGGAAGCATTTGTGGAGGTCCAAAGTCGTGCAGAATTTGGAGCAGTCAGCCATGCTTTGTGTGCCACGATTCGCAAGATCCTGAAGGATTACCTGATTCTCATTGCGCAGCTCGAAAGCCAGCTTCTTAACAATCCCAGTTTCACTCTGCAGCTCCTTCACCTACACACCATGCCAACTAGCCAATGCCTCGCTCAACTCCATTCCATGGGCCAGGAGTTGCTCCGCCGGAATGGACTTTTAGACCAAGACCTTGACGAGTCGATCGATGACTTTGACGACGTGGATAATATCCTGGAGCAGCTGAAAGAAGGTGGAGACTTGGTTCCCGGTGCCATGTCTAGCAAGAAGATATGCAAGGGTGGTAATGTGCTACGGCTCCTTACGGAGCGATTGGCTACGTATTCTGGGGACCCAACCAGCAAGGCTCTTTTAGAGCGGCTGCTTCGTGATGCGAGTCGGCCATATATGACGATGCTCAACGAGTGGTTACATCATGGTGGGATCAAAGACCCTCACGCCGAGTTCCTTGTCAAGGAGCAGAAGTGGATCAAGCGAGAGAAGCTCGAGGAAGATTACACGGACGAATACTGGGAAAAGCGGTACACGATTCGCGATAATGAGGTTCCTCCTCAACTGGACAGTGTGCGGGACAAAGTCCTCCTGGCTGGTAAATACCTGAATGTCGTCCGAGAATGCGGTGGTGTCGACGTGAGCAAAGAGGTCAAGGATGTACCCCAAACACTCGACGATCCCAGATTCCTGGACAACGTTAACGCCGCCTATACCTACGCCAACGCATCGTTGTTAAACCTCCTTCTCACCAAAAACTCGCTCACTACCCGCTTCCGCTCTCTCAAGCACTATTTCTTCCTCGACCGCTCCGACTACTTTTCCTTCTTCCTCGAGATTGGCGGGCCCGAATTACGCCGGCCCGCCCAAGCGGTCAACGTATCTAAACTGCAATCCCTTCTCGACCTGGTGCTTCGGCAACCGGGCAGTATCGCGGCCCAGGACCCGTTCAAAGAAGATGTCAAAGTTCGGATGAATAAAGTCGGACTTACGAAATGGCTGATGCAAGTAGTGAGCGTCTCAGGTATTGATCAGGACAACCCCGAAGCAGGGATGCAGGTTGCCCAGTCGCATGTCGAAGATGACAAGAACATCAACGGGTTTGAGGCTCTTGAACTGGACTACTCGGTGCCCTTCCCTCTATCTCTTGTTATCAGTCGCAAGACCGTGCTCCGATACCAACTCGTTTTCCGACATCTCCTATCTCTCCGCCACCATGAAAATCTACTTGTTGGTTGCTGGCTCGACCAGAGCAAGTCCACTTGCTGGCGGCATAAATCCTCAGACCGAAGGGTTGAGGTGTGGAAGCGCCGGGCGTGGAGTCTGCGCTCAAAAATGCTTATCTTTGTGCAACAGCTGCTGTACTTCTGCACGGCAGAGGTGATCGAACCCAACTGGCAGAATCTGATGGACCGAGTGAACGGGGCCGATGCGCAGGGGTCAGAAGTGACCGTGAACGGTATCAAACAAGCTAACCGGACCGTGGATGAGCTGATGCAGGACCACGTCGACTTTCTAGATACCTGTCTGAAAGAATGCATGCTCACACAGGCGAAGTTATTGAAGGTATGTCACGCAGACTTCGAAGAGATTCCGCAGGCCCCTGACCATGTGTTATAGATCCACTCCAAAATCCTAATGTGCTGCAACATGTATACAAGCTGGGCTGCGTCGGCAGTCGGACGAGGACTATACTTGGCTGACCCCGATCTCGCCGGTAAGGCCCCCAGCTCTGATCCGCGCGGATATGATCCAACACGTATAGCAAAACTTGAAGAAAGTCTTAAGCGATACGAGGATCATTTCACCCGCCACCTGCGGATCTTGATGGACAGGTAATTTGCCCCCATTTTCACCACACCAGAGCCATGCTAAATAGCGATTTTATCTAGTCTCAACTACTATGCGGCGACAGAAAGTGTCGTCCTGCTCAAGCTGGCACACGTCTTGAACTCAATCACCAAAGAAGACGGTCCTGTCTGAAAGCCCCTGCGTGTCGACTAGTGAAATCGGCCATCCCCTTATTGCCGAGTTTCGATTTCGTCCTATGGAATCGGAACTAGGACACCACTCACACTATTTCCCCCTCACATAAACCGTCAATATATCCATCTGGCCCTTCCCTATCTTAACAATTTCATTTTCTACCCTCGGAGTCTCGGACAGCGCACGGAGCATGGCAGGCAGGCAGGCAGGTTCTTGTATTTCTTCATCCCATTATAGCATGGCATTATCGAAAAAACCGGAGGTTGATTGATTGATTGATTGAATGCTTGCTTTTGAATTTGTTATGCGATAGTTATCCGGTATAGGCACAGGCACAGGCAGAGTTATAAGGTATAGGATAATACCCTGGCGTGGAATATGGAATGGAAATTCACATTCAAAATCAATGCACTACGAGGTAGAGATCGTACTGTACCTATAGGTGCAAGGATTCTCGGAAGAACAATGAGTCATGTCGTACGATAAAATCCCAAAGTACATTCGGAATCGACCAACAGCGTTGGAGTTGTTCTATTTGTCCTTGCTTATTCCCGATTGCCCCGGTCGGTGATTATTTTCTTACTTAACGGTGTTCGCGTTAATATTTAAGGCTGGCTCTACCTTGCTTACGTCGTTTTATCGTTCCATCTGACGATCTTTCTCACCTCCCTACCCCTCAGCCTTCTTATGCGTTCTTACAGTACCTACCTTCTCTGATATATTCTTGCCATACGATCAAAATGCCCTCTCTCCCTCAATCCCTCTCGTCAATAGCCTCACATCTTCCTTCTCTGCCCGCTACGTCCAATCTAACAACCACATCCGCCCCGAAGATTCTCCTCTCCGCCCTCTCGGCCACCCTGATCGTCCTGGCCTATCGCGACTACCGAACTTACATGTCCTATGGCCCCGGTGGCAGCCCACACAATGCGATCGGATGGTTTGGCGTGCGCGTGGTGTTGCGCCCCTTCAAACGAGAGATGTTTTCGACGGATGTCTATACACGGAAAATCAAAGACGGGGAGAGCACGAGTTATCTGCCCGGAGAGAAGGAACTAAGCCACAGAGAGGGCGGAAGACCAAAGGTTGGACCGCATATGGTGCCGCAGAGACAACTGGATGAGTTTGCGTCCAAGGAAATGCAGAAGGTATATATATATCATGTCTGTTGCTCGGCCTGAGGAGAAACGCACGAGTCCAAGACATTCTGTAAACGGCCACAAAAGAGATCTTGATCAGGCATACTAACGCAAAAAATGGTCAGAAACTCGTTGAGGAGTTCGAGTCTTTCGCGGTTCGAAACTCGCATCTCGTGAAACTGGCACCGTCAGGGCTGGAACTCCACGCAGATGCATTATTCGTTGCCGATGGACTTGCGAGTACTCTGCCGGCGGAGAAGACCAAGCGTGAGATTGCTCATATTCACCGTTTGAAGGATGGTTCGCTTCATGTGACACTAGCACCAGCAGATTGTAAGTTTGCTCCCTCATTTGCTAGGAGGGTGTTCTAGGAACACCTGTCGCCACAGCCTAACCCAGCTGATCCCTCTTTCTCTTTTCTTTCCGTTATCAGGCAAAAAAATCTTTGACGCTGGCTGGGGTCAGCGTCATTCCTTGTCTGGGGCCTCGGTTCCCAAGGCTATAACAGGCCGGACTTTCGAGCTACCATCGGAGTATGTTCTGATTTATGCACCTCGCACCGAGGCTGAGGTGTCTATCGTCATGGAGGTTGTCAAGGCCAGTGTGGAGTACATGACGGGATCGGAGGACCTACGGTGAGTTTGGTCCTAACGATGGAAACAAATGAAAGACAACGTAGAGAAAAATCGACAGGAGACCATGAGGCCAACCTGCGAGTTTGTATAGTATGAATACAATCACCCCTCAACGAGCCGCATGCGGTTGGCAGAGACATCAGCAGTAGCGACGACGTAGATAAAGAGTCTCTCAATTTTGACTGAACGAGAAAAACTCTCGACATCGTCAAGCGTACCTCGTGTTTGCTGCAGGTGGGTTCGGGCTATAGCCACACTAGCGGGCCTAACCGCCGTAGTCTCCGGCGTCAACTCTCTTGCCGAAGGTGAACCATGGCTCTGGGTTCGCTGCCAATCTGCCCCGTGTCCATGCTTTGCTTTCCACCTGAGACCCGGTAGTTTGGATGCTGATAATCAGGTCCGGCGTCTGACGTGGTAGACATGCATGACTTCCCTGTCAGCATGCATGCGTGATGTTCGAGGGCAAGACGCCGCGAAAATCTCGCTTATGCTCCTTAGCGCATGGATGCGAAACAAGGATGCATCTCCACTCTCGAGGGGGCTGGATGAATGCGGCGAGGTACATTAGATAGCCCGCTCTTCATCCCTTTCAGCTTGGCTTGCTGTACTCCGTGGTCACCTGCGACTACAGTCTTCGTCTTCTCGCGACTGTTTGCCGGTCTGATGACGTCGAGCGGTTGACAGGATCCGCTCGCACAAATTCGGGCTCCATCCAAGGCTCCACGATTGTTCAGGCTTCCCGAGCGTCACTCGTGCATATTGCCTGGATCAAATGAGCCCGCCATGATAGCATGAGATTATTGGTCGGCCGCTAATAACAGTCATATACCAAACGCGTCTGCTATTCTTGATTGGGACCATGACCCATTCCAGGGGCTCTTAGCTTACTCCGTAGAGCGACGAACGACAATGAAAGGAGCGGTGAGAAGGGAGGTGGGCGCAAGCTGATAGGCAGAGAGAAGCCCATTAAGAAGGAACAAAAAATGATGAAAAAGGGAAAAGGAAAAGGGAAAAGGAATGAAAATCGAGGACCAAGCACGCCGCAATTTTGAAGGAGCCACTAGAAATTTAGCCAGGCCGATATACTCCGTATTGCCCTGTTGATCCCTTTCTTACCTCTTTGCAATCCAAGCCACCGGCCATCAGCGCCCCCACCGGCCATTCAATGCCGTCATTGACTGCAGTATCTGAGGGGTCCGTTCTTGCGATCGAGAGAGAATCGGAGAACTCGACGGTAACTATTCTCACTCAAACAACGGCGGTGGGACCAGGTTAGTATAGACTGACGATGTCATTCAAGTCCGTTCTAAGGGCAACAGAGGTTGCACAGTGTACACTGTATGACGGCGGGGAACGCATTGGCTCTAATTTCGACCGACTCCTTAGTTGGTCGAGATTTTCCGCCTCTTGATGAGGGATTGAATTTTGCGCCAACGCCCAACTTTGTAGGCCCTTTCTTCCCCGTTCCCTAGGCCTTTCGCTCGTGTGGGCGTGCACATCCAAGAGTACCGTTGCATCAGCGCAAGCCAACCAGAAATCCAATAGGAGGCTTGCACATCCTCGTTCTAGATATGCAATATGGTTATGCATACGCCTAGGGCTTAGGAGAATTCCGGGTTGCTGCAGTTCTCGGGCTTGGTTTGTGAGACGCAGGGATCCAGAAATTTCTGTAGACACGAGCTGAGTCTAGTGCTAACACCAAAGCCTTCCCTCTCGGTCCACACAAATGAGCCAGCCAACAAGCATACATTTGGCGTCCCAAGGAGCCGACTCAGGCTGAGAGGGAAAAGGAGAGGGGAAGAAGGGCGTGTCGTCCAATTCTTGACACCGTCTCGTCCTGACAGACTTAGCGGGCGAAGCCCAGTCCCCCTGGTAAAGGCTAGTTCTATGTCGAAATCCGTCGGTATCGGGGCCCCTCCGGAAGGCACCACCAAGTGACCCCTCCTCCCCTGCAAACTGCTTCGATGTAATCATGGGATTTCCAGAGGGTGAACGCGTATTTCCTTTTGGTCAGTGGACATGACCATTGCCCTAGTGGCCCGTGGGACGCAGCGTAGTGCAGAAGACAGACTTTCCTCGCTCCAGTTTGGCCATTCTTGTTGCTGCTTGGGTTTCTGGAGGGGTGTTTCAGAGCCCTTTCTCTGCCAATGATTTGTTTGCTCCCTTCAGAAGCCAGACAAAACCTGGGCTGAGCGGATTTTTCTACCGTCCGCACATTTTAGTACGAACGTTGAGGCCCGCATAGAAATTACTCCAGTCTTCTATGGAGGGCATTGTATTCGCACCCTGCTCGTGCCCGGCGGTACTTTTACCGTCGCCAAAATTCCTGTGCCGCATCGATCGATCGCTTCGAAGAAACCGATCTCCGTGCCCACATTATAATTAATCCCCTGTCCATTGTCAACCATACAAAGAAACACTCGGCGATGAGTCCTCTATGTGGCCTCTGAACGTTGTTATTGATTCGTACCGACATCACATTTGTCAAAGACACACGTCCGACTCAGAAATAAAATGACGTACCAAGCCTGGCATTCAACCATAGGCAGATGATACAAACTGACTGCTTTTCTTTGATGTCAAGGAGCCCTGATTCGCAAACGGAGGAATTAGACGACATATACCGCGATACGGTGACCATCCATCGACGTGAATATCAAAAATACTCCATCGACCACCAGATATCCTTTCAGCCGGTGGATGAAGTAAGTTCAGACGGGCAACCCAGCCAGCCCCTAACTGATGACTGTGTCCACCAGGAGGAAGCGGAACGCCTCGATCTTCAACACCGGATTTTCAACCGGGTTTTTGACAACCGCTTGATTTTTCCGCCGATCCCTCAGCCTCAACAGATTCTCGACTGTGGTTACGGCACCGGATCATGGGCCATCGAAGTTGCGGAGCAGTACCCAGACTGCGATGTAAAAAAACCCAAACTGTGACAATATGAAGAGACGCAGATTTGCTCATCGGCACAACCCAACAGGTCATCGGTCTGGACATATTCCCTCATGCCAACTCAGACGATATCCCGGAGAACCTGTGGTTACAGGTAAGTCGAGACAATTTTCACTTGTGCCTTCGGGGGTGTGGCGGCCACATGGTTTGCCAATAAGCATGTCTTCTTGCTTATGATATGCCTCATTTGTCCCTGAAAGAGCGATGGGAAAGACAGATGTAAGATGATATCGCTAACTTATCATCACATAGGTCGATGACTTGAACCGCCCGTTTACCTTCCCCTCTAACCATTTCGACCTTGTGCAATCGAGAATGCTTGCGACAGGAATCAACAAAGATCGGTGGCCATCTTATATTAGGGATATTAAAAGGTCTAGTGTTCGATTGGGTTCGTGTCTCGCCATCGTGGACTGACCTCAGACTCGTACAGAGTCCTTAAACCGGGAGGCTGGGTACAGTTAATCGAGATATATTTCAACGTCCAATCCGATAACGGCTCGATCACAGAGCGGAACGCGTTGAGGCAGTGGAGTTCTCAGCTCATGGGGTCTCTCGAAGAGACAAAAGACCTTCGCGTAGGTACACGGCTGAGAACCCTTCTGGCTGCCGAGGGGTTACAGGAGGTCGATGCGAGGATGATCCCACTTCCTTTATGTGCATGGTCCACTGGTAAGCCTCAATGGCAAGGATACAACCTCGTAATATGATCCATTGACAGCCGAACAGATCCACGGATGCAGAATATCGGCGAAATGAATCGTGGAAATACCCAGAGACTGCTCTCGACATTGGCACTTTACCCCTTTACTCAGAAGCTGGATATGTCTTTGGACCAATTCGAGGATTTCATCGCACGGGCACGAGGAGAGGCTGATACCGTTGGTCTGAAAGCGTACTTTCCATTGTGAGTGTCCCAAACGCAACGCTCCTCGCAACATGCTCATGTCCTAGGTATGTTTGCATCGGACGAAAGGCCCGCTGAGAGAATAGCTGAAGTGAGCGAGCGGGTTGAAATGCCGGCATTTTGTTCGATGTCCGGGGTCTAGGCGATCATTGATCTGACTAGGCTAGTTGAGCCACGATGTTTCCCATTCTCAGTTTAGATAACACGGATTTGGAAACCTGAGTTCCCCAACCAGTTCAATTATCGTCAGTTGCAAAGAAATTTCTTTTGGCTTCCAGCATGAGTCTTATGATCCACGGGCCTTCTATGCTTGCAGATAAGTCATCCCGATGATGGTGTCACAGGCCGGGTCACAATGACTATTGTGGGCGGAGGGTGTCCTTCATCGGAGACTAATCGAGCACAAAAACCTGAGCCGAACTGCTTATACTCCTTCCAGTAGATCCACAAACTTGTGAGTCACTGTTGTGTTCCGGGACTCGCATACTGGTGTCCCAAATGCACGATGGAATCGAAGGCAGGGCAGTCGGATCTGTTTAGACCGGCAGCACGTGGAGTCGCGCTAATGCATGGATCGTCTTTCGATTATAGTTCACACGGACATTCGCAGACTCGCGGTTCAACATCGGTTCAAGCTGTAATGGCACCGGCGCCAGGAACAATCAAGGGTATGGAGGGTCACTGCGACAGGCTAGTACTATTCTTTCAATAAGTGCGAGAAGTGGGTGGATGGATTGTGAAACAAGACATCTAGCTCGTGGACCGTTCTGCTAACGAGCCTGCCAGGTCCAGAAGAATACCCGTACGAGATGACAGCCCGCCGAAGTTGACGACCTAGTCAAGAGGGGCAGACGAAGGGGAAAGGGCGAGGCAAGTGAGGGAGAAGAAAGAGGAGTGAAGGGGTAGCGAGAAGGGAAACGTTTCTCGGGACGGACCCAAACTCACGGGACATGACTGACTCGAGCAATAAACAACCCAAACTCCCCCCGTCGTCCGGACCAACTCCCACCAACAACCTCCTCCCACGACTGGGGACCGGCCCCAACGCAGTATATAAGCCTATATTGGGGGACTACCAGGTACTTTTCCATCGTTCATCTTCACAAATGTCTGTCAGCAAAATTATCGACACCCATCTCACCACGACAGACAATTGACCGTCTACAGAGTCTTGGATCGAAATGAGATACATCGATTTCGGTCAAGCAAATGTTGGGTTAATTTGCATGCTGCAGTGGCCACCAATTGACCCCAATCGATCCTCCTAATTTCCTTGGGTTACGCCATCATCTACACTGGGGCCGTGCGAATGGGGGAACGTCCATGATATAACCTAACCGTCCAGTGGGTCTAGTGAGCCGCTGGCCTCGCCAAACCCCTGCTAGGGGAAGCGTCCAGGCGACAAGCTGGCCCAGGGTCACAATTCATTTCTCCGATCAACAGCGGTCTAAAGCGTTAATCAATGGTCTAGATCCATCGATCGTCCTCTCTCCCTCTGAAGCTCGTTTACCTCGAGACAGAATTGGACGGTCCCCGAGTAATGCCGAATTCGGCGACGAGGCTGGGATAGCAAGTTGATTAGATAGTAAAGATTGCGTTTACATTTACAATCCGTATTAGGCTATCATTCTACGGAGAGGTAAGGTAGTTGCGATTGTCCAAATTAAGATCAGTCATAGATGCCATTTCTGTACGGTGTAGAGCATGGCTACCGACTGTGGAGATTCCAACTGAGGTTACTACAATCTCCCAAACATTTTGCCGCTTGCTGGACATGACATACAACTCGTGGAGATCATTTCCTCCAACTATGAATGTCTTCATTGTAACTGATCCGTGAGTTAATTAACCATCACGATAGCCAGAACTAGACCAATCCACCGAGAGAGAAGATGGTCTTTACTCTCTGCCAGAGGAACTAACCTATATGATATGTCTCTCAAAGGGAGGATGGAGGAAAAGCAAAAAGAAAAAGAGGAACTGCCGTGGATCGAACACGGGACCTATTGATCATCGCAAATTTGCACTGTAGAAAAGGTTAGTTATTTCAGCCAATCAACGAGCCAGGGACGGGTCACGTGCATCAACCGCTCTACCCCTGAGCCACAGCTCCATTCAAACGCCTTCTTCATCTTTCTTTTATCCCAGGGGTACCCTGCAGTGTAGGTCCCGTCAGCTCCTTTTTTCCATTTCATCCTTCATCCTACAGAAGATGACGGTTGTAGATGGAGAAGATGGGCTCTTCTTTATTCCGGTGTGGGTGTTGCAAATTCTTGGCAGAGTTCTTGCCTTAGGCAGTCAAACAGGAGCCCACTGACTTACTATACAGCTCCTACAGATGTCTGAAGTTCCCGCCTATACTCCCAATGCGGTTCTCGGTTTATAGATTTAAGCTCAAGCTCACCTGCAGAGACCCGTCAACTAAAGTGCGTTCGGTATGAACCATGGAGTTCTCCTACCTAGGCACTTCCCGTGGTTGGCAAGGGAAAGATACGGTTTTATTTAAACTAATGTAGACGACACCAAACCGCTCTAGACTGGCCTTGGTGGACTCTACTGCACATATCAACACAGCCATGATCTGAGGAAAGGATAAGTACCATGGCATCTTTTGTAGTTCAGCGGTACTATCTATCAGCGTACCTAGCCCTAAGTCGCCGAGCAGGAGACCTGAGTGAATTTATCATTACAAGTCTAGAAGAGCATTCCCTAGGAACCATTCCCTTGCAAAAAAGAACGGGCTAGTATGAATTTCCACAGGGATCTCTTTGCCAATTCACTCTCTCAACTCTTGATGTTTCTTTAAATATCTTTCACTCAAGCAAAAGCAAGCTGCCGTAGGTAGACTTCTTCACCCGGTATCTTAGTCTCTTCATTTCCTCCTCCTACATACATCTTCAACATGGCCTTCTTGATTATAGAGGTTTTACAGGCTGTCCTGTTTGTAACCTCTAATGACTCCTCATTCTCACGGGATACGCTTATCTCTTGGTTAGAGATCGAAACTATCGCTTCGCCTCGACCTTCTATGGCACAAATTACAAACAAGATGAAAGAAAGAAAAGTTTCCAATGGCTCTTTTACCGAAGGAAATCAAACATACAAATTGTGAGTAGCGTCAAGGACAATACACATGTTACTGCCTGCCCGTGGCTTTTGCAGCATTTTCTTACGCTTTATCATGTTGAAAGGCAAAACTTGAGAAGCGCCGATTCTCCACAAGCTCTTTTCACCATGTACGTATACATTCCTTTTCATCAGCTTCCATCTATCGTTTGGATCATCTTCGATTATTCAATGCTTTTTTATCACTATTCCCATCAGATTCTCTTGTTACAATTGATTTTGTGGTCGTAGTCCCGCTGGCAAGTGAGTCGGCGTAGGACTGGGTCGACTTGTCCCAGTCTCGTGCTTCATTTGTTTTCCATTCCTTGTCCTCCTTTATATAGTCTTTCATTGTTACGAACGTTACCTTCATATTAATATCAGTCTTAGCGAGAATCACAAGATCATTCCCGTCAGCAAGACCACCACCGTCGACTTCCTCAAGAAGGCCACCGCTGTGGCCAAGCTTCGTGCTTCTCAGTCTATCATCATGGTATGTCTGCTTCCTTCTCCTGATTCAAGTCAATTCTTCCAAACTATAAACGTTTAAATCCGGGGTACTATGTATATGAAGATACTAATAGCTCGATTTAGTGCAAATCGTGTACTAATATATCGAACCTCCTCCACCCCTCCCCCAACGCCGAGGCTGTCCCTGCTGCCGTTACTGCGGCCCTTGGAGCCATTCTCTCCGCGCTCGACTCTGCCCCCGGCCCCGCTGCTGCCACCGCTGCTGGCAATGAAGTCTCCAAGAAGACCCTGAAGAACCGCGAGCGCCGTGCTAAGAAGGTACTTTTCATGAAGTTCAATGATGTATACATGGCTAATGTATAGTATGATAGGCCGAGAAGCGTAGGGAGGCCAAGGTCAAGGAGGAGAATGATTACGATTTGATCGATTAGTTAGAAGAGTGTACCTAACCAAAATCAACATGATTGAGCAGGGCTAATCATAATAGTGTAAAATTCTAGTCAGTATTGGCGTTGTCACAGTTAGATGATAGGCACTTCCCTTTATACGTAAATATAGAGCCATTCAGCCACTCAAACATTCAGTCAGCTCACTGTCTAGGCGCATCCCTCCCTCTCGCTCATCACGGAATCGAGTGGTTTTACCAAGCTGTACCGTTGAGGTAAATCCTACCACTTCCACCTAGGAGGAGGAATGCCGCTCGAACTCGAATGACTGGAAGGCATCCCGAGGCAGAACAAGCGATTACTCGCAACGTAAAGAATTTGAAAACACCGATATCCCTACCAGCGATCAGATTCTTAACGTCGAGGAACAGCAAGGCGGGGTCCTCTACAGATGTAGAACTTCAGATTAAGCTGAGCTGGGTAAGTGAAATCGTGGAGCGTAAAGATTCAGACCAGCAAAGCCTGCCATTAAAGGATATATTCCCAGCGAAGTTGTAAAGGATCTGTATGCCTGAGACAATCCGCTGAACCTTTCGCAAGGCCCGGGGAGCTTTATACCCAAAACAAGGTATTTAATTAACCCGAACGCAAAACTCCCTGAATTTGATCCTTTCAGCAAATCACATCTCGCAGTACTGGGACTTGTCCCTATCCTCATTGTCCCCATGCTTATGGTGTACGTGGACTTTGAGGTGTCTGATTAATCTCTCAACTCTTGAAGGCCAAGAGCTATATCCGACTCGAGAAGAGATATCTCCCGCACTTTGTAGATAAACTCACTAGTGAGGAATGACAGGGGATCTTTCTCTTCACACATCTCTCCATTGAAGTCTCTGACAATGTCACCGAGACCTAATAGGATCTTCGTAGAAAGCCCACAAAGATCCTGATCACAATCTCTATGTTCTCTACTACGTTCTCAAAGAGTGGGGCCAATGCCACCTTGTTGGTGAAAAGCCCATCCCACCCATTGACAGCGAGTACCAGAGGACATCTAAATTTCCACGCGCGCTCAAAGGCGCCTGTCAGAGCCCATCAGGGATCGGCATCAAGTTTCTGATTTGACCCCCGAGTGAAGGGCAGGAAGAGGAGGTCCAGAGAGTCTTCAGAAAGAGTCCCATATGTATCGACGTATCTTCTACGCGTCCATAGTAGGCTCCTCTGTAGACGCTCTTTTGTACCCTTCACCCGAGTAACCGACACCCGAGCAACGAACGATTTTGTTGCGCTCACTTCCATGATCGAAGGCAGTCATCGAGAAGTAGCCTTTCGATCAAAAAGAGTGCAATTGATCAAAGCCTTGCATCTCGACGACTTTGTTCGATGGGGATGTAAAGGAAAGAGGGGAAGAAAAGAGAGACTGGGGGCGGTCTCTCGACCGTTCCCTGCTCTGTCATGTGCTCTCCATCCCCCCTTCCACTTTTGGACTAGTCCGGTTGCCTCTTTGATTTCAAAAACCAAATGGTTGGCGACCTGAGGTATCAATGACAAGAAGAGTTGTTTTTGCTTGCTTTGACTCCAACTGACCAGTGGTCTTCCGTGTGTTTTCAAGAAACGGCGTCTCTCTGTCTATAAATCGTGCCCACGCGCTGTACGGTTTGTTCTGCTCATATGAAATGAACCTATAGAAAAAAAAAAGGACCATGCTCGTTGCTCGATTTGTGACGACAATTGTAGGGGATGACATTTCTTTAGTTGAGTTGAACTTTCAAGCTGGCTAAGGCTCAATGGATGCTCGAACCTTTCCCTCAATGGAAGTCTTTAGCAACTAACACCGTATGGCTCCAGCAGAAACAGCTCCGCCTTCACCTGTCTAAATGGTGGGCCTTGTACCTACTGAGCCCGCCTACATTCTCTGTAACTTGGATAGCCATACGAATTGCCTTCTCAGGGTAGACACAGTCTCCTACTCATCTCCAATAGGTTACCACGCAATCCCGACTAGAACACCTCGAGCCATCTCGTAAACCTCCTCCCAAACACAAGTCAACACTACCGTATTGCAAGGCAGAAACCACAGCAATTGCTACACTAATTTGCAATCGAAGCGTATATTCCCTCGGACGAATTGCAGCTACAGCAGAATTATTGGGTTAGGTTGTTCCCTCTGCCACGAACGAACTATAACTGTTCGAACCATGGCGCGAACATGGATAAACCCCACAGATAATCTATCAAAGTATGACCCCAAACGCTAAATCACCTCCTCTGAGCACTACCAAAACATAATTTAGCGTGACGGAGTCCGGGAGATAGCCCTAGCGCAATGAATTCTGCGAAAACCTCCAAATCATAATGGACCCTGTAAGTTGGGTAGTATAGAAGGACCGGGTAGAAGACCTTTTGGGCTTGTGTCCTCTTAGCAGATATCATTTCGAATGACAACACTCTAGGATCGGAGAAGTCGGGGGTGGTGGAGAGTAATTCGTACGACTTCTTTATCGCATTGTCGTTGCATAGCCAACAGTGACCACCTCGACTCCATCAAGTTGAATAGAGTTTCGGTTAGTTGATTAAACATGCGGCAGTGGCTAGCCGAACCCGTTCCGGCGCACAGCGGAAGAGAAGTACCGAGAAGGTTCTGCCGCGACCAAAATACTCCGTAGATGGCCAGGTGTCGCGAGACCGGAAAGTAGTCCGCAGAGAAAATAGTGGAATTAAAGACGAAAGAAAGTAAAGTACAGTCCATTAGGTAGGAAAGATAATTGATGGTTACTACAACAGTAGTAAACCTCTATATGCTTTTGCGATAATCCAGTCAAGTATAAATAGTTGGGTACGTTAAAAGCGATTGATACGAACAACAATCATTCATAGACCGACCAAGCGAGGGGATTTATGATATTTGAAGATAGCTGAGGGGAAGAGGGAAAGAAGAAGTGAGGCAGAGAGAGATGATCAGGGAAGGCATATAAGTTTAGACTTGACGGCATGATGATACAACTATATTATTCGATAAAATTGCTCATTAACAGCGGTACAATCTGCCAAGCATTACCGCTTGCCTCCTGTCTCTCCCCCGTGGCTGGGGTGGACCGATTTGAAATTTTATACATAGACTACCAACTTTTTTCCCTCAGCAACCACTCACAAATATGGTCATTCCAGACAGCTAAATCTATTCATTAGTGACGGTATTCGTCCAGACACACTCTCCCTTCTCTCTAATAGCTCTAGAAGGGTCAAAAAGACCAAAAATAGGAGTTGGCGAGGATCGAACTCGCGGCCTACAGATAAACTGCTATAACTCTTTTGATATTACTATTTAATTAATAGTAATATTATTTTAAGTTATTAAACGTTGCAATCTGCCGCTCTACCACTGAGCTACAGCTCCTAATTGATATAAAAATCAGGAAAAAGTTTGGTGAAGTTGTCGAGATATTGAAGCTGAGAATGAACTATGAACTTGATATAAAATTTTTTTTCATGACCTTTGTGGTATATTAACGCTACTAAATGACACTGCCCAAGGTATTGCTAGTGTACAAACATCAAATCTCTTAGTAGACTATGCTGTGAATGACAAAAAAACATGATTTCTCTAACTATATCAATTGGGAGTTGTAGCTCAGATGTAGAGCGGCAGATTGCAACGTTTAATAACTTAAAATAATATTACTATTAATTAAATAGTAATATCAAAAGAGTTATAGCAGTTTTATAGGCTATAGAAATTGGCAGCATCCATCTTGGGGTTTTATAGAAATTTTACTACGGATTTCTGCGTCGATGTATTTGACTCTAGATCAACGAAGTTTTGCCAAATTCCTCATGGCTAAACGTCTATATTAGGTTCTCTAAGCCCGCTATATACTATGGTCTGCGACAGGCCAAGCGCTTTTCCCCTCATGATCTTTAAGGGCACGTTGTTGCCAAAAAGTAATTATCTGAAGTGGATAACGTATCTGCTATTCTGAATGGAACGATAAGCTTTGGGGTCTTTCCCTCTTTAATCTTTATGCCAGGCTTCATAAACCTCTAAGGGGAGGTAGATTTCGTATATTATCAAAGTTGTTTGATACTGACACTGGTCAGATGTTTGTTGTTGCTGTTGCTGTAAAAGGTCTTATACCGTATCTCCTGACATTCCGAATTTCCATCCGTGGAAGAGCGCGATAGTCAGCCGCAGTCGAGCACCGAGCATCTTTGTATTCTATCCAGGAATTAAAATCACCGTCCGGTGATCCCTCTAGTTGACGTCTAAATCTCTGGCGAATGGCTGGAGGAAGGAAGATTCTCGGAAACAAGGGCTGTGCGACTTTGAGCCCTAATCCAACATGTGCTCCGCAATTAAACCAATCCTTTCGGATTATTGATCAAGTCATCTAAATCTCTTGGATGTTGCTGAAGACTGACTGTCTTGACGGCATGGCCAACCTTAACGGCATCAGCGGGAGAATCGAGCCTTACAAGATTGTATCCCTGCCCTTCCCACGAACTAATAAAATAAAATGGCACCATTGCCTCCTTTCAAGCTTTTCTTCGTGTATTGCGAAATGCATTTCCTGGGATGGATGAGCAGGACTGATTACTTAACAGCGGAAATATTCAGGGTTCCAGTCGTTTGTTATGCCCAGATATCACTGGACCATTTTGGAGTTTGGGAGTAAACCAACTGCTTCAGTTTTCTGAGATTGGCGCTGATGCCTTGCATACCGGGGAAAATGGCAACATTGCTTGCATGATTACGATTGCCGGGTTGATGGACTTGAGAATAACCCCTCCAACAGATCGTATCCCTCCCAGAATTGAATCTCCCCCTGTATGTTATGCGGAGTATTCATGGCAATAGCATGGAAACGCCTCTAAACATGATGATACAGCTCCCAAATAATTAAAAAAGTGAGATTATGTGCCGACTCAAATGCGACAAGGTTTCATCCTTCAGAGAGCCAAGAAAGAGCGTTGATTGTGTCCCCGTCATTGCAGCTGCTGCACTTTGGAAAGCTCGGGCATCGACGAAGGATGTGTGTGATTCAGCCTGCTGCGAGGTGTATATGGAAGGGCCCAATAGTATGACCGGTAATGATGAGGGCTTGATAGCCAATTAAGTCAATAGTAATGGGTTATGACTCTTCACTATGACAGCCGGTAAAAAAGATATATATCTCAGAGATTACTAACATCAAATCATCACTATTGGGACCAGCTATCGATATGAAGATGACTGAAGTCCCCTCTACGCAGCGATGCCAGTGGAGTGTGAGAATGGGGAAGAAGCGGCTTGTAGTGGGTAAGTTGATATACAAGACTCAAGAAATATTGTGAACTAGGCTAAGACACCAGAAGGTTCTAATAGTAGTTGTATGATCGGGTGACTGGATTGCCAGAATATCCCATGAGTAAATGAGGCGAGACCTTCCTGTATGTAGACTCACAGACTCACACATCGACCAGAATCCTGCACAGAAGAAAAGAGTTTTCCATTATCGTCGATTTGATCCATCATGATGTATATATAGATCGAGGATAGACTTATGCCTTATTGCCTTATTGCCTTGGTGCCTGACTCATGCCTGATAAAACGGGCTGCGACGCTACCCGAAGCAGTAAGTGCCCGCGGTTCTCAAAGAAAAAAAGTTGGCGCCCGTTCGGACTTTGGCAAACATCGCATCTCAGCGAGACAGCAGTCAATATGCCGTCCACCTACAAGAGAGAGAAACCGTGGGATACGGATGATATCGATAAATGGGCGGTATGTCTTTGATGACAGGCAAAGCCAAAAAAAAAAAAAAACCTGCACTAACCTGCGATTAGATCGAACCCTTCAAACCCGATGATAACGTTGCCGGCAACTTCGCTGAAGAATCCTCATTCGCGACCCTTTTCCCCAAATACCGAGAACAGTACCTGAAGGAGGCATGGCCTGTTATTACGAGAGCGCTGGAGAAACAAGGAATCGCTTGCACGCTGGATTTGGTGGAGGGTAGCATGACCGTCAAGACGACGAGGAAAACTTTTGATCCGGCCTCCATCCTGAAGGCCCGCGATTTGATCAAGTTGCTGTCCCGAAGTGTGCCTGTGCAGCAGGTGAGTCTACTGCAAACGATCCCAACCATCAAGATATCCACAGGAAAAGAACACTCGCTGATAATTGTTTCTATTACTAGGCCCTCAAAATCCTCCAAGATGACATGGCATGCGATGTCATCAAGATCCGAAACCAAGTGCGCAACAAGGAACGATTCGTTAAGCGTCGTCAACGTATTCTCGGCCCCCAAGGTTCCACGTTGAAGGCTCTGGAGCTCTTGACCGGCACCTACATTCTGGTACAAGGAAACACCGTCGCGGCGATGGGTCCCTTCAAGGGCTTGAAGGAGGTTCGCAAGGTTGTGAACGACTGCATGGCCAACATCCATCCGATCTACCACATCAAAGAGCTTATGATCAAGCGCGAGCTGGCCAAGGACCCGACGCTGGCCAACGAATCCTGGGACCGATTCCTGCCCAACTTCAAGAAGCGCACCCTGTCCAAGCGTCACACCCCGTTCAAGGTCACCGACAAGACCAAGAAGGTGTATACTCCTTTCCCTCCGGCGCCGGAGAAGAGCAAGGTGGATCTGCAGATCGAGTCGGGCGAGTACTTCTTGTCCAAGGAGGCCAAGGACCGCAAGCAGAAGGAGGAGGTTATGGAGAAGCAGCGCGAGAAGCGCGAGGCGAAGATGAAGGAGCGGGAGAAGGCGTTCGTGCCGCCCGAGGAACTCGAGGCTGCCGAAAAGAAGAAGGAGAAGAAAGAGAAGAAGAAGCGCAAGCGCGAGGCGGAGGCAGAGGCGGACTCCGCCGAGGCATCCGAGAAGAAGGAAAAGAAGAAGAAGAAGAGCAAGTCGAAAGAGAGCGCCTCGGACGGAGAAGCCTAATCTCAGCGATTGGCCCTCTTGCCCATCTTTTCTTCTGTTATTCTTCGGTTACTTCCCCCTTCTGTTCTTCTCTGTTTCGAATTCCGTTTCTGTGTTTTATATCTTCAGGTCTTTTCAAGATCAGGCGCTTAGGCATAGCATGGGCTGGAGTTTTCTAGTGCCCCTTTCTTAACTTTTTGACGACGTGGAAAGGGTAAAAGCAAAAACTTGCGTTGAAACGAACCTCAACCCAATCAATGATTGTATTATTTATCACCAAGAAAAAAGCCAGCAAAACAGAATAAACTAAAATTTCCATATTAAATCCGGCGGGACTCGCACATTCCAGCGATTTGTTCCCAGCGGCCACCTGCCGAACATGGCTGCTTTCGTTTCTGCCGCTCCGACGAATTGCAACGCCGGTACAATCGCGTCAGCATCTCGATCGACAAGCTTGGTTGGACGCCAGAGAATCGGGCCTATTGCATGCATCTGCGATCAACTAGTCGCATAACCCCCCGCCGTTATCTTATTATCCGAATTTGCCATGGGTTAGCCTCTCAGGCCGGTGTGCGCGGGGTTATTTATTCGCTGGTCCCCCCAGCGTGAGGGTTACCGGTTAGGTGTGCAGTCGCAATTGGGCTCGTTTTGCGAATTGTCGGGTTGTTGTAAGCTCATATCGATCGGTAATGTCTCGAGAATCCAGAATGTCTCCAGAGAGCTCCGAGAATGCGAAACCTCGGGGTCAAAGCACGGAAGAAGTCATCCAGCACAAGGATATCGAGCCACGAATAGCCCCCGACCAATTTGACCAGGAATATCGCACCACCAGATGGGAGATATGGGCATATTATGCGTGCGTCCATTACCGAGTCGCCTGAATGTCTACTAAACACTCCATTCAGCTATTATATTGGAAACAATGGGCTATCGCTGTTTAGTATGGTTGAATGTCCTGACTACCTGGGAAAATTTCACTGATGATTGTTTCTTCAGACTTTGGCCCAACAGCTTTCCAGAACCTCCTCTATCAAGCTGCCGGAGAGGAAGAAACTCTACTTTTCGCCGGCCGGCAACGCTCCATCAACAGTATAGTCCTCCTCAGCAACGGCATTTCATTTGCAATCCAAGTCGTTGTCTTCCTCGTCATCGGAAGTTTCGCAGATTTCGGCAAATGGCGACCGAATATCCTCATCGGGTTGTCAATCGTCGCCTACGGAATCGGATTTGGCTGGCTGGGCGTTCACACGGCGGATAAATGGCACATTGGGGTGGGTCTGTACATTGTCGGATTGATCGCCTACCAAACGACCCTCACGTTCTGGATGGCCGCGTTTCCCGGATTGGCGCGCAATACTCCGGCGATGTATGCCAAATCTGAGGAGTACGTTGCCGGACACATCTCGCGCGACGAATACGACTACGCCGATAGCTTGGAGCGCAGTCGGTTGGCCAACATTTCCTTCTACATCCAGTCGGTCGCGGAGATATTCATTCTTGCGATCATTGTTGGCATCATGTTCGGTTTGCGGGTGGATGACAGCGAGCAGAATAATAATTGGGGGTTGAGTGTTCTTGTTGCCTTTGCTACAGGGGTGTGGCTGTTGGTGTCTCTACCTTGGTTCTTCCTCGAGAAACGTCGGCCAGGACAGGATCCGGGCGATGATAACATCCTGATGGCGGGATTGAAGCAGCTCCGTCATGCTTTGACGCAGGTGTGGAAGCTGAAGCAAAGCTTACTGTATCTTCTAGGTGAGATGCCTCAATTGATTTCCTACTTCAGAAATCAGGCAAGCTAACATTTCCAAAGGATACTTCCTTCTTGGCGACTCCCTCAACACTACGGTGACCGTGATATCGACCTTACAAAACAGTGTGTCGTCTTACAACACACTGAATCTGACCTATCTGCTCATCGTCGGCATAGCAGCCCAGGTAAGTACCATGCTTTCAAACCTACTTCTTCCACACCCAATAACCGATCCAGGCCGTCGGCATCTATTCCTTCTGGTACTGCCAAAAGCGCTTCCAACTCAGCACAAAAACAATGTTCAACGCCATCGCCATGGCAATAATCCTCCTAGACGGCTGGGGCATGATTGGTATATGGACGCAACGATTCGGATTCCACCACGTCTGGGAATTCTGGGTAAGCCTCAAACCATCTTTCCCCAAGTAACTCACTAACAGTCTCAAAAAAACAGCTCTACCAAGTCTTCTACGGCCTCTTCGTCTGCCCCTGGTACAGCTACTCTCAAGTGATGATCTCCGAAGTGACACCCCGCGGCCACGACTTCCTCTTCTTCAGCCTATTCAGCATCATCGGGAAGACATCGTCATTTATCGGCCCGCTTGTCTCCAGCGCGATTATCGATGCGTCGCCGTCGAGGAATAATTCGACGCCGTTTTACTTTTTGTTTGGGTTGAGTGTTACCAGTTTTGCGGTTTTGGTTGTTTGGTTGGATTTGGAGGAAAGTCGGAAGGAACAGGAGAGGTTTTTGAGGGACCAGAAGAATCGGGAGGTGGTGGGTGATGATTGATATTGGGTCATGAGTGTGCATATTGGATGGTGGTGGGGGGTGTTAAGTGGAGTGAGGTACATACTTCAGATGGAGGAGCTTCAGATACCGTAGTGTTTATACCATGCACAGGGCAACAAATTCATTTTATATCCACATTCTTCTCTATAGAATCTACTTACTAATCTAGTAACTATATCATCTATCTCCAACACACATATGTATGTGCAAAACTCCTCAAGCCTGCCTATATACCAACCACCCAACCGATAAATCACAGCTTCGCCCGCCCCGACTCTATCGACAACCAACTCGACGGATCCAGTCCCTCATAGTGCGACCCATTCAACCAATACAGCTTATCGCCGTTCCAGTCCTTGCTCGGATCCCATCCCTTCTTCGCAAGATCGCCTTTGGCTTGTTTGAAGGTGACGCCGGTGGCGACTCTATGTCATGTTAGATCGAAACATGGTGACTGGAGGCCCTTGGTGGAAAGAGCAGGCCTGATTAGGGTAGAACGTGGAGGGAGACTCACTTCTCGGTAATGCGAACCAGTCGCGGAAGCGCATACGATGGAACGCCCTTCTTCTTGAGCTCGCGGTAGAGGTTCGTCATGAATTTGCCCTCGGAGGAGGCGTCCTCAAGTGTGATGCCTGCTGCACCGGCTTGGCCGTCATAGCTAATACACATACACATACACACCACGGTTAGGGTTGAAACAAACACAAGAGGGGGAAGTAAAGGGAGAGCTGCATACCCGTTAAGCTTCACACCATAGACCACAGCATCATGCACCCCGGGAATCCGACAGATATGATCTCTCACCTCCCCCGCACTCACATTCTCGCCCTTCCAGCGAAACGTATCCCCCACGCGATCCTGGAACTTAACCCAGCCGGACGAATCCCGAACGACGAGATCCCCCGTGCGCTGGAAGAGATCGCCTTTCCGGAACACGTCACGCAGGAGCTTCCCCTCCGTCGCGTCCTGATTATGCAGATACTCGGTGAGGAGGCCACGGTTCCGCACACGACCAATCGCCTCGCCTTCCTCGCCCAGCGCAGCGCGGACACAGAACCCCGTGCCTGGATCCCGGTAGGGCAGCTCTGTATCGGGATCGTATTTAACGATGAAGACGTCGTCGTCGAGGAAGCGGCGCAGGGGGCCCGAGAACCCGATCTTCCCGACACCCCAGGCGCCGTCGCCGAAGTTGTCGAACTTGGCCACCCCCTCCGTGGAGCGGTAGAATTCACGGATCTCAGGCACGTTGAAGCGCTGGCGGAATCGGTCCCAGATCTCTTCGCGGAGACCGTTGCCGTTGGCGACGATGCAGGCGTGGTTGCGGTCGTAGGGGGACGGGGGCGTCGAGAGGAGGTAGCGGCAGAGTTCGCCGATGTAGAGGATACGTGTGGCGCGCGAGTCGTGGACGTCTTTCCAGAATTGGGACGCGGAGAATTTGCGGCGCAGGCATAGTGTGCCGGCGTTGCCGACGGCGTAGCAGATGCCGGTGAAGTAGGCGGTGCCGTGGAAGAGGGGGAGAGAGGAGTAGGTGCGCAGGGGGTAGTATTTCGAGGGGTTGTTGATGTCGACGGTGAGAGGGTTGGATGTTACGATGGCTTGCATGTTGCGGATGGCGCAGGCTTTGGGCTTGCCTGTCGTGCCGGATGTGTAGATCAGCACGTTGAGATCGCTGGGGGATCTCCGTGCAGCAGCAAGACCGACGGGCGAGAACTGCTGTAGGTCTGCGGCAGTTACAAGTTCTGTCGTGCCTGGAGAAACGTCGTCGAAGGACGATATGTTCATGGTGATATGAGGTAGATCGGTAGACACGAACTGCGACAAGTCTGGAGTTGAGATGATGAATTTAGAGCCCGACACATTAAGACAGTGGACGAAAGTGTCGTCTGCGAACTATTAGTATACTCTCAGACATTCCAAGTTTGGGCCGTACCGCGCAGATTGGTATTGATGAGGGCAGCCACGGCCCCAAGCTTCGAGAGCGCATAGATCGTGACGACCATCTCGGGGGAATTGGTGGTGAAGACCCCGACAAAATCCCCGGGTTTGATATCTCGTCCATGAAGAAGCGCAGCAAATCGATCCACAACTGAACACAGTTAGCACATACGAAAATGGTGGGTTTAATTGACTTCGAGGTCACAAGTGAGTACACACGCTCTTTCAATTGACTGTAGGTCCAGGTCTTGTGCTCGAACCAGAGCGCCTCCGACGAGCCCTGCCCGTCCACGTCCACCACCCGTTCCAGCATCTTGTATACGGTAGCCGTGTCGCCGAGCTGGGCGATGCGCTGACCCAATCGCTTGCCAAAGGAGCGATCATGTTGAATTGCGGACAGGTCGGTCGAAATGGACCATTTGGCATTCAGATAAGCGCCCGCAGCAACGGAGAGGGCGGATGCGACGGCCACGGACGAGCCACTGATCTGCGATAGAATATCCATTGTGCGACTGTACAGCGTAGGAAAAACGAGGACAAGCTACGCAGGCAAAGGTTTTAAAAACCATACGGAGTGACTCCTATTGTATGCGGAGGAATTGGTTTAATAAGACTCCGCAATCCTCAGGATCCGCTAATTGCCAATAGTGCCCTTAGCAGGGCAGATCTGAAGAATGAAGTCGATACGGGGACGTCAGCCAGGTCGAGGGAATCGGGACCTGAAAACGGGAGCTGACAAGGCCACGATCTGCCGGCCATGACGCAGACCGATTGAATCCCTAAGGAATCGACAGGCGCAACGGTTACGATGCCGGGGGAGGATCCGACGGGGGGTTTGCCAGACCGGGGGGAACGGCGCTAAGCATGGCCATTCTATTCTCCGCGTGGCGGTCCGAGCTCCCTGCCGTAAGACATGATCTTGAGGCATTAAGGTATTGTAATACATTCACCTCGATTTGTATGACATTCCCAGCTCCTCAAGATCCACTGCTCTGTCGTACAATCTTGACTCCCCATTCAGGCACCGCAGTGATGACGAAGAGAAGTGGCGAGCCATGGGCCACAGTGGGTAGTAGTGACCGGAATTGGAACGTTGATGCGAGACGGAGTAGACTAGCCTACCACTGTATTGTTAGTAGCTGTGCCTCGGAAGAAACCAGCCATGCAGCGTGTCAAACTGCATCCATCGAGAGAGCGTGGGCATGAGCATACTGAGCATACTCTTCTAATGGTGGGTCCCCCACAAAGTCTAAGCAGCCACCCGGACGAGTATTCCGTTACCGTACCATACATCGTTTCACCGAGTTTGAGGAGGTCCGACAGCCGAGGCCGAGCAGTATGACGGTATCTTACCGCAGGATACAGCGGCGACCGGCTCTGAGCGATGCCGAATCTCCCTGAATCTGAATGAATCTAAGGAATCCTCAGACGGCCGCAAGTCCCACTGATGTGCATCCGATCGGGGCCTCGCCGGGTCCCTCATTGGTTTAAGGGGGTTCGATTCTTCGGCTCAGTCTCCTCAGCCCGTGACCTTCTCTCGGTTGTTCTTTTTTTCCTGTCTATTATTTTTTTGGTTCTCCTTCACCCTGAGAAAAACTTACCGCGGCATCTTCGTGTCTTTGTTTGCCCTTCGAGCTTCCTGCATATATATCTCACAACCGGTGCTTCAGTGCGGGGAGAGCTACCTGACTATATATATCAGAAAGGAAAGCTCTACTACGAGTCGACGAATAAACTTGTATCTCGGTACAATCCATAGGTCCTACACAAACATCCCGACACCATGTCTTCAGCACAGCAACGTTTGTCTTCTATTGCCAGCCAGCTCTCCGCTCCCGGAGCAGCAAAGCAGAAGATCCTGGCCAAGAACCCCGATGATGTGGTATGTATTGATCCACTGGCGTTTACACTCCACACGCAATGGTCGCTGATTGAAGCTCGGACAACAGGTCATCACGCTGGCCGTTCGCACTCCCCTGACGAAAGCCCGGAAAGGTGGCTTGAAAGATACCAACTTGGATGATCTGCTCGTGTCGCTACTGACGGTACGTATACCCTCTGCTGGGGATTTCACTGTGAGCATTTCTAACCCCGATTAGTCTGTCCGCGAACGATCGAACCTGGACCCCAACCTTGTCGAGGATGTCTGCGTCGGAAACGTGCTGTGCCCCGGCAACGCCTACGTCGCTCGCTCTGCCGTGCTGGCGGCCGGGTTCCCCGCGACAGCCGCCGCGTCCATCGCCAACCGATTCTGCTCGTCCGGCTTGCTGGCCATCCAGAACATTGCCAACCAGATCATCTCCGGCTCAATTAACGTCGGTATCGCCGTGGGAGCCGAAAGCATGAGCACCAATGCCGACGGTGGCGCCCCGGATATGTCCGAGAAGATCATGTCGCACCCCTTGGCGTCCCAGAACAAGCAGCCCATGGGTCAAACCTCTGAGAATGTTGCGGGCCAGTTCAACATCTCTCGGGAGCAGCACGATCGATTCGCTGCGAACAGCTACCAAAAGGCGGAGCGCGCCCAGAAGGCCGGCTGGTTGGACGACGAGATCGTTCCCGTCCACACCCAGATCAAGGACCCCAAGACTGGTGAAGTGAAGAATGTGGTCGTGGACCGGGACGACGGCATTCGCTACGGCACCACTGCCGAGTCGCTCGGCAAGATTCGCTCGGCCTTCCCCCAGTGGAAGCCCAGTGCCACTACTGGTGGAAACGCCAGTCAGATCACCGACGGCGCTGCGGGTCTCATTCTCATGAAGAGATCGCGTGCTCAGGAGCTGGGACAACCCATTCTGGCCAAGTTCTGCGGAGCTACCGTTGCCGGTCTGGAGCCCAGAATCATGGGTATCGGCCCGTCCATCGCTATCCCCAAGATCCTCGGCAAGTTTGGCTTGTCCAAGGACGATATCGATATCTTTGAGATTAACGAGGCGTTTGCCTCTATGGTACGCCCTCATCTTCCCTCGTGTGTGTGTGTGTGTGTGTACACAACTTTCTAACACATCGTCTAGGGCACATACTGCGTGCAAAAGCTTGGTCTTGACGAGGCCAAAGTGAACCCCCGAGGTGGTGCCATGTAAGTTGCGATTGACATTGAACTCCTGCGCATGTATGTGCTGACTCCCGCAGTGCCATCGGTCATCCGCTGGGATGTACTGGAGCTCGCCAGGCGGTTACTGCTCTTTCCGAGTTGCGACGACAGAACAAGAGAGTGGCCGTCACCTCCATGTGCGTTGGAACGGTAAAGTTGCTCCTTATCGATGACCCTGTTTTGTCCACGTACTGACATTTTTCTCAGGGAATGGGTATGGCCGGAATCTTTGTTTCGGAGCACTAAGTATATATGATTCGACGAGTATCTCATGTGTAAATATTTTCTAGCACTATTCCAGCTGAATACTACCAGTAATCACCACTTTGCCATGGCAAGCGTAGGGTAATTCCTTATTCCACAGACGGAGGGTGGGTCTCATCTCCACGCTGATGGAGTGCAACCCCATAACTCTAATTTCAACATTAGCATTGTACTATACAAGGTGTACAATTGTTCTGGAGGACACGAGCGTACCTGGCAGTCATGGACAGGGGAAAGTGCATACCCCCTGTGTGCAGGGGACATGGATCGATCAGCGGTCACGTGCGCCCAGCCCCGTTCGTCATCGCCGCCAAAGCAAAGAAAGCGTCCCATGACTCGCTGGACCCGACCGCCTCTCCTCCACTTGCCTTTCTCTCCATTCAACGCAACGTTGGTTATCGCTCTTCCATCATCATTAACCTCTCTCATTCACGACCCGTTCCTGCAGGGCGTGTTTATCCAGTCTCTGTACTCTCCTGTCTTACAATATCCTTAGTACTTCGACCCTAGTCATTCTCATCATGAAGCTCTTATCAACCGCCGCTACCTTGCTGGTCTGCTTCGCTCCTCTCACCGTATCGGGTCGGTCGATCGCCCTCTTCGGATCATCGCAGGCTCCTATCCAGGTCGACTCGGCTCTCTCTGTGCCAGGCGAAAACCCTCTTGAGTTCTGCAACGATCCGTCTGATTACCTCGCACAGATTGAGTCTGTCGATTTGGCTCCCAACCCTCCTCTTCCGTATGAAACCATATGCGATCTGATAAGAAGTTTGGTGACTGACGGCTGGCAGTGGCAAGACCCTTACCATCAAGGCCAGGGGCACTTTCCGCCAGAAGATTGAAGAGGGCGCCTACGTCCTTTTGCAGGTCAAATATGGCCTGATCACTCTCATCAAGCAGCAGGCTGATCTTTGCGAACAAATCGTCAATGTGGACCTCAAGTGCCCACTGGAGGAAGGCGAGATGTCTTTCACCAAAGATGTTGACCTGCCTGCGCATATTCCTCCTGTATGTTACGCCCTTCTCACTTCATTTTTGCTGCTATCAGTATCGACAACTAACACAGCCGCCAATAGGGAAAATACTCCGTGCACGCCGATGTGTTTACCAAGGACGACAAGCGCATCACCTGCCTCGACGCCAATAACATCGAATTCAAGATTGGAAACTAGGCACTTCGACTGGCGCGTCAAGCTATACCTACATGAAGCCGACCGATGGCCAAGTTCCAATAGAACTCCTAGTTCGAAATGCCGTGGGCTTTGTCCACATTACGACCTCTTCATGTCAAATTTATACGAGATCTTCTGTTCTTTTTTCCCAGCGAATATTCTTTGTTGAATTGTGATCTGTTCTACATACGCCCACCAACTTGCATGCTTCCGTAATGGTTTCCTGCGATGACTGACTATGCTTTCTTCTGGACGGCGTTTACGGCATCTGTCCAAGACACTGCTACCTTATTATGCTCCCTGTACTCATTACATACTTTCACATTAGTACCCCGTTGCATTGGTGTATTATCCATAAACCACGAGCCCTAATTTACTCATTCTTCTCATGGCCAGGATGTAATGCAGCTTATAGTAGCTACTGGAGTGTTCAGTTTCAGGTTGCCACTGGAATAGGCTCGTAGTTGGGCAAAGTATAGGAGTTCTATAGCGTATACTTCGCTAAACTGGGTATCTTCCCTTGATCTCCAACGGGTACACCAACTACGTTTGACAGCAACTTGCAACAGGGTGACAGTTGTCCCTCAACGTACACCGTACCCGACTGGACACGCTAATGCCTTCATGTAAAATCGACAACGCAAAATACAATACAACGCTTATCATTTATTCTCCAAACAACCGGCGCACCCGCTTCAGCACACTGTCTTTCTCGGGGTCGTACGGGTGGTCTTTGCTGGGGATTTCGAGAACGGCGGGGAAAGGCTCGGCGAAGGTATCGACGCTGTGTCGGATGCGCTCTGCGACCTGGATTGAAGTGTCAGTAAATGTCCCGAGAGTATAGTGTGAGAGTCGCTTGTTAGGGGTATAATCTTGCGATCAACCCCGGAAATGTATCAAGACGTACATGTTGGTTGATGAGGACAACGGCAATGTCCTTCCTCTCCTGAGTAAAGTTCTGGAACGCCTTTTCGATCGCAGAGGTTTCAGTCTTAGCGTCGACCACCAGAAAATTCCGTTCGGCATCCGGACCATCTGTGACGTGCTGCGTAGTCTGTTAGCATCTGCAGAGGGAAGATCTGTCCCCCGCTGCACCGGGGATGGGACTTACACCGATGCCGGCGAGAAGAAGACCGGTTACCGAGCTGGAGGAAGTATTAGTATAGACTGGTCCCGGGGTGAAGTAGTATAGACCCTTACTCTTCATCTCCAATAACAGCAAGGAACTGTCGCTCCTATATCGTCGTAATAAACACAATCAGCTACTGCGTCGTGGACCGCTCCGCGGAGAGCGCCTGAGGATAGAGCGTCGATGTGTAGGTACCTTGAATGACACGGCGGAAGCCGCCATAATGACAGGAAGTAATAGGGAAGGTCCAGAAAGGGTCCTCCACAGACACGCAGGAAGTCCAGAGGATTCACTCGAAGCACCTGCGACGATACGTTGATCGGGAGTCGTCATAACTGACGGGGGGGCCCGATCGGCTTAGATAAGCGGGTCTTCGAACTGGCTGTCTTTTGTTTACAAGCGGGACCAAAAACTTTCGCCTCTGTCATTGACGATAGCAACTTGAGGTAAGTCGAAGTCTCACTCTCGCCTCTTCCCTCGCAGATCGAGCATGACTGACCATTCATTCATTTGCAGAATTCAACAGTACACCCCTCACCTCTCCCCGTCTTCATCATGCCCCGGCTTGTACGCCGCCGACCGTTGGCGGAGCGTATCAAATCTTATCTGAATCCGCTGGACTTTTTGCTGTGGCTGTCGGAAGAAATCGATGCGAACGATTGGGACCAGTTTGAGAAGAACTGGTCGATCACCCTGGGTGTGACATTGAACATTGTGTTCCTGATCGCTAGAGCCAACAGTCAATCGAGTGGCAGTCGCACTGTCGACGATGTCTTTGGTGATGACGAGGGTGCGCCTTGGATGAGCTGGCTGGTATGTTTCATTTGACATCCCATGCATAGAGATCAAAGTTTTGACGGTGTTGCTAACGAACCATTCAATCGCAGGCTTCCTTCGTTGTTCATTTGCTCGTTTGCTTCGTCGGCTTCAACACTTTCTACACTTTCTACCGCAAGCGACACTATCGCATGTTCGAAGCCTCAATCGACCAAGCTCCTGCGACACCGTCCGCTCATCGTGTGCGCGTCGATTCCACACCCGTGTCCGCTTCGCCGCTACGATTCTTTGCCCAGGCCATAACCGGTTCCGCGCAGTCGAGAGCGCACCCGAATGCGCAGCGCGATGTCTGGGAACTTGCGGTCTGGGACCCCCTACCGATCTGTGTGCGCCTGTTTTGTTTCTTCAGCCCAGCGCACGTCCTGGTATACTGGCTTTTCCTACCTACCCAACTATCCGATCCTCGACCGAGCGTGACTATCGTGACGACCATCCTCCTCACCACCTTGCTCTCGCTGCAAATGAGCTTCCTGTCATCTTCGTTCACCCAACAAGCGAAGGACTCCGCGCTGGTACACAAGGAGGTGCTTAAAGAGTATGATGTTAAATACGTGCACCCTCGAACTCAACCTTTGATGCGAGATGTCGCCACGCAGTTCTCGGAGGCAGATGCGACCAAGTCCGGCTCGGACGCCAAAAGCAACAAAGTCGATACATTTACCCCAACCTTCATCATCCAGCGGGGATTCAAAACCAGTCCCAACCCCAACTATGTCAGCCATGTCGACCCCGAAGGACGGTCCTCGGGGCGTCAGTCGATGGCCGCCACACCCTCCGCATCTTCAAATTACCAAGCCTCGTTCCAAACCCCCAGTCACCTACGAGACGCCTCCCCGGTTGTCCGAAAGCCTATATCCGCAATTCGCCAACCACAGTTTCGCAAAACTCCCTCGGCGACCGGGGATGGTGGTAGCCTTGGTATCTATTCACATGCCAATTCGCCTCTAAGGAAATCCACTTCCACATCAACGAGTTTCGATCGTCGACCTCCAAAAACCGGCGATTTCTTCTACAAGGACCGAGGTGCTAGTCCGATTAAGCGGCAATCCAGTCCGCTCAAGAGGAGCAACGTGCCGGGTGGGAGCCCACTTGCGCCAACACCGAGACGGAGTCAGCTTGATTCTCGTCGCGACACAGGATATTTCTAGTCCTCAATTAGACCAATTGCCAATCTTTGATTCACTCTGCCAGGATTGCCCTCGGGCGCAAAAGCAGTATCACTTTTTCCCAAGCGCATATATGACTTGAGACTATGGCTCGTCTTAGCATCGGCGCACGGCGTTTTTACTTCTTTTTCCTTTTTTTTCCCCCTACCCCAACCTTTTACTATGAGCTCGGGTTGTCCCGAAGACTTGGACCTGGATTCCGGTTTTGGTGAATAATTGACCCCTCCATGAGCTCGGGAATGCATGGAAGCATGACCAGCCACTGTACTATATGTTTGAAATTCTACTGCGACCGTTCGGCTGGAACATTGGCTCTCTTGAGTTTAGTTTTCCTGGCATTTTCTTGTGTCTTCTGGACCGAAATCTTCATCGTATAACAGCTTGTGAAAGAGCGGCTCAAATGGCAGCTGCGAACTCTACTCATACCTCCCTTGCTGGCGAAGTAACGGCAAAAGCCTGGTCAAAACCTGTTGCGGGCAGCTGCCATACCAAGCAACTTTGAACGGGGTCATACATTCCAGATCGGGCACTCCGTTTGTTGATCCATACATTCCTCCGCGAGCACGATAACATTCCAATCATATCATTATTCCGTTATCCCTTTCTCGCTGCAACAGTCGCTGGAAGAGAAAATAACACTCCTTCGTGCCCCCTTTCTCAAGCAAAGTACCATGTCTTGACCACCTGAGCTTCGTCATATGGAAGTCAACTCCGAGTGCAAACCACGCGCGCAACAGGACATACAACAAGGGACCGAGCTGTCCTCCTAGGAGGTAATGGGTCGATTCAACTGCGAATTCGGCCCGAGTGTTCTATGTGCTAGCAGCCGCTCGTTATCATTAATATGGAGGAACGCATCTCTTTGCCAAATGGACATTTACTCAACCTGAAGCCCCGGGCTCGAAACCCCAAGCACGTGAAATCCGGTGCTGAGGAGGAGCCAGCATGCGAGCGACGCAAAGAACCCGTGGCACGGTACACTGCTTATAAACCCCTTCCAGATAAACCCCCGCCGGAGGTCAAGGATTCCAAGTCCAGCCCCGAGCCATCAGCGCGGAAGGTTACTCCTACCAGGCTCCCGATGCCCAAGAAGTTCTCGGACAAAACCAAGGATGATTCGCCAGATCACTCCCCCGTGGCCGATCGTAAAGAACATCGACACCATACGTTAGGCCGGCGAGCTCAGCCCAAGGTCTCCCCTATATCATTAGGGCGTCGACCTGCCAAGTCAACGGATAAAGATCGGGAACAGTACTGGCGAAAGGTTAAAGAGAAATTTGAAAAGGAGTCGCCTACTTCGTCACGGACTCGAGACAAGCACAAGGAGTATTATCACGAGGCGTACCAGAAGATCAAGTCGTTCGCCAGTCCCCCGAAACAAGATCCCAAACAACACATGCCGAAGTCTGGTGCAAAGACGAGCGATGATGACAAAACACCAAGGCAAAGTGCCATCCCTAGAACCACCGCTGGAAGCCCTAGATCCAAAGACGGACACTCTTCTGAGCCAGCTGTATCTCCCGAAGCGAAGAAATCGGGATCTAAGCAACGCCCATCTAACGTGATTGATACCCGCGACACCATCAATCGGCAAACTTCGGACAAGCAAAATAGCACGACCGACTCGTCAATCATCTCCCGTCCTTCGATCTCACCTCTGTCGGGCCCCAGCAGCTCAATGACCGATTGGGAGGACCGGTTTGTGGTAAACATGCCGTCTGCCAAGGAGCCTAATCCACCCGTCATGACTGCGCGACAAATCACCGAATTTCAGAAAAGTATCGATAAAGTTCACAATCAGGGAGGAACAATGCTGGATCCAGACACTCTACCGAGCCCGCGCACTAGAACTCCGGAAGATTCGTCTGAAGCTACGGAAACGCAGGGAAAACAACCGGGTAACCTTGATGGTCAAGACTCGGGAACAGCAGCTCGCACAGGGTCAGAGGAAGATACGTCAGAACCACAGCCCAGCCATGGTCGATACTACTCGCCAGATGAAATTGGAAAGCAGCGGTTCAGCACCATCTGGGAAGAAGGAGCATCGCGACACAAAGCTAAGACTGCGGTCAACATCGACGGGTCTTTTTTAGGATGCAAGGAGATAAATGGCCCAAACGACAAGAATCCGGACGAGATATTACTTTTCTCGACGACAGACGAGCGTCCGAGGGTTGTGGATGTGTCAACCCCGGTGTCCAAGAATTCCAGAGAACGGAACGCAGTCGCTCCTCAAGCGACTGTAGCCTTGGAAGAAAAGACCGTGGTTCAAGAAGAGTGGAAACCAATTTCTCAGAATTTGAAGAATGCCCAATGCTCGAAGCAGTTCCAACGTACGATGTGCCGCGAGATGCCCTGCCGACCGTCGGAAGAGGCCCCGATGCCTGTCCCCCAAGCATCAGGAAAAGAAAACTCAACCCAGATAGGGATCCCGCCCAAGAACCCGGAGCGAGGGAAACGCCCCCAAGGAGACGACGATGTGTTCATTATCACACCCACTATCACGCGCACTATGATGACCATGGCGGACATGAGAGGCGTCGCCCAGAAATCTTCTCGCACGAAAGAGCCCGCCTCTCGCGCAGCCGGCGAAATCATCACCGACATCAGGGCAAAGCCTCCCACGCACTCTACACCGTCGGGCTTACGTCGGGCGACGCAAAACTCGTGGGAAAAGTCAAACATGCCATCCACAGCATCGTCAAAACCTGGACTCGCTCCCACCGGGCCCCCGGTGAAAGAACAAGAGGATTTATCTCAGACCAAAGTGGAGAGGCCGCGCGCTATCCGTGGGTACATCCATATCACAGGCATGAAGTCCTCCGCCGGAAACGCCAATCCTCGCGCGCGCATTAAGCGGCACTCTCATGCGTACGAGACGCCGCGTAGTAGCGAAAACGCGCCCCCTGTGAGGAGCGCCACTGATCCAGCTCAGTTTCCCAAGTCCGTCTCGGCTCAGAAGCCAATGCCGCCGCCAGAGTTAAACACCAACGTTCACTCAGAACCTCGCTTCCCATTGCCCAGTGCGCGGATCTTCGCGGTAGCCGAGTTGGATGGACATCAGGTTGATGATCATGCAAAAGAGGAGCATAAAGACCGGGATGCAGCTCCTAAAACACCTACTACCACGGATGATCTCGGTTTTAACATGAGCAGCAACAAGTCTCCACAGGAGGACGATAACGACAAGGACCTTATGAGTTCCGTAACTTTCGGCCTCATCATCGACATTTTTTTCCTGTCCATCGCCCAAGCGCAAGACCTCTACAAGGACATCATGGCCAACTGGAACTCCCGAGCGGTTCTGGCGAAAATTGCTCTCAACTGCATCCTCAACATGATCGGCCACTGTCTCTACGTACTCCGAAATTTTCTCACGGCCTGTTCCGTCTACAACTCCACAGGGTCCTGGCCAAAATCAAACGACAAAGACATTGCCCGTTCGCTGACCGAACTCGGCCAAGCTGTCATCTATCTCGTCGCCTTGGGTTTCATAATGATGGTCGTCGGTCGAGCGGCCGGGTACATCGTGCTCATTGGAAGCTGGATTGTCTGGGTGACGAAACCCTTTGGATGGGTTCTGGGAACGTTGGGAAGAGCTCTGCTAACGTGATGTGGCCTGACCTGGCCTGGCGTGTTGTGAATGATGACTAGGTAGATACCCTTGGGCGATTATGCTGCGTGATTCTCTCTTTGCCTCCTTCCCTCAGTAAATGGAATAGGGATTACTTCTTGGCAAGGAAACTTTTTTTTTCTGTGGTTTACTTATCTTTATGACCCTTCCTATGTTTGTCTAGCGTGGTGTACCGTCTCGGAATTGGTTTAATTATTTTTGGCTCCCAACTGTCCAATCGATGTATATCCTTAGTCGTTCCACTTGCTTGAATCGGTCGAGATAGTAAGTTGAGTTTATGCTAGTAATGGACAACTTATCAACCTAAGAACAAGTCTCAGTCGAACATTAGGAAACGGCACGTGAGAACACCAGACTACAAGTATAAGACAAGACTTATTTTGAATTTTTCTAGGTATGAATGACAATGACACTCTATTTTGCCTCTCAATCTGAAGGGGCAGGCATGTATGTCATGGACAATTTCTATCGTACTCTGAACATGAAAGTCAAGTAGATGCCTGCGGTGCCATGATCCCAATGCAAAGAGAAAAGAGTGGCTTGGAGGCCACGACAGAAACACAAAAGAAGTATTGAGATTGGATGGATATCCAAAATTGAATGCATCAAAGGAAAAAGAAAATCCAAGAAGAAGACTCCATATCCCGGTTGTTGAAGAGGATCACTTTTTTTTTTTTTTTGAACTTATTCTCATGAAACCAACTCCGTCATCATCCGTAGTGTTGAATTATCGTAAGAGGCATGATAGCCCCGTTCTTGAATCTTGTTGTGTTCCGAAGAAAAAGGAAAAGAGCGAACGGAATGAAAAAGAAAAGGTTCTCTTTTTCCCTGGTTCTATCGGATATATTACCATGTTGAATTTTGGATTCTCCTCCATCCTTGACAGAGGAGAATAATGAGAGGAAAGGAAAAGACATAAAAGAAAAAAATTCCAGGGGTATAATGGTTGAATGTTAAAAGTCATGTTGAAGATAGATAACGCTCAAAGAAGAAATCGTTGAGAGGTCTTCGTTTCGTGTCGCCATAAAACATTTCAATGCCTAGGGGAAGGTGTGGATCCCCAGGCAGGTATCGTTGAGAGAGATGTTGAATTAATAAGTATAATAGTCGTTGAAGAGGCACAGTAGAATTTTAAGGTAGGCCGAGTTTGTTGATGCGGGCCTGAAAATGGGTATGTTGATTAGTTTTTCACGGCAACTTCTGGAGCTGCTTCCTTGACAGGGGGTTGATTAGACTCTGTGCTGTCTGCAGAAACCTCCGTATCAAGATCCTTCAGGTCCAAGCCATCGAATAGCTCAAAGAGACTGAAAGTGTTGTGGAAGTCGTTGTTGACTAGGAAGACAATCGTTAGTTAACAGTATAGGAAGGGAGATTTTTTTCTATTCGAAACTTACCAATGTTGACCAGGTACCATTCATCCACAACACCCTGGATCAACTTCCTGCTCGGGCTAGTGGCCTCGTGGCATTTGGCCCAGTCCTCACCCAGACGGTAGGCTTCGTCCTTCCAGGCCAAGAAACTGATTGTTTCCACAATTGTAGGCTGGACAACCTCTCTTCCGGCGAAGATACCCCAAGTCAGAGCATTGGGGCTATCCTGAGTGTTGGTTCGCAGCTCGCCAGTCTTCGAGACGGCGTGGTACGTGAGGTCTCCGTTCTTTTCAATGCGCGAAATGAGTTCGTCGAGCAAGTAGGGAGGCACCAGGAGTTCGAGGTATGCCTTCTGGTACACAAATCCGTTCTTAGGACCCCATCCGTAGACAGGGTGGGACGACCTGGCACCATTGACAGCGGGCTGTGAGTTGATGGTGAGAAGACCCCGGTTGTTGAGTTCAATCAGTTTATCCTTGATAACGTTGGCCTCAGAACTGAGCTGTGTGTCGCTCCAGGGAAGTCGTTCCAGCTTCCCTTCCAAGTAACGAACAAAGATGTGAGCGAGATCGCGAACAGACTTGGGCTCTCCCCAAAGCTTGATGTTCTGTTCGTTGGTGCCCTTGAGACCGATGCCGTAAGAGTCAAGTTCACCAAAGGCAGGAGAGCGGGAGTCGGTCCATCGGCCGTTGGGGAACTCATCCCATGTCTGTGTACGTGCGATGTAAGAGGAGTTTCGGTTTCGCCAGAAGATAGGTCGTACGTCCTCGGCTCTGCGGTTGAGACCCAAAGATGGCCGCCAGGGCAAAGGTCTCTGGATGGGAGTCTCCTCAGATGGCATAAGATTCAATTCCTCAAGCACCAGCTGCACAGCTTGAGCAAGGTTCATAGTGTAGCTAAAATTGACCATCAGTTTCAGGGCCTATGGGTTTGGGCAATCGAAAGAAGAGGTAAGACTCACAAGTGCAGATGGTTGATGCCGGATGCGATAAGCCTTCTGCACATATCTGCCACCAGGCCCTTTCCAATGTCTTTCACAGCAGCATCATCATTCTTGACAGGCTCGAGGATTTCGAGCCACTCGGGTGGGATTCGGGATTTCGTCCAATTGGCACGTCGAATAAATGCCGCATAGGTTTGGATGGGCATGATACCGGGGATGATCGGTACGTTAACGCCCTTTGCCCGACACTTTTTTACCCACTCGATGAAGTTGTCCGTGTCGTAAAACATCTGCGTGATCACGAATGAAGCTCCGGCATCGACCTTCTCTTTCAAGTGGTCGATCAAAAGATCAACATCTGAGTTGTCATCTGCTCCCTCTGGATAACCTCCCACGCCAATGTCGAAATGGTTCCCGTACTTGTCCCGAATATACTTGACTAGATGCTTGGCGTAACGGAATCCTCCCTCTGTGGCTTCCCACGTCTCCTTCTCACGAGGTGGGTCACCACGGAGAGCCAGAATGTTTGTGCAGCCGGCCTTGTAGGCGGCCTGGAGAGCAGAATCCACCTTCTCGGTCGGCATGTCCGTGCAAGTCAAATGCATGCAAGTTTCAAGACCATATACCGACTGCGCTACGTTCACCATCTCGCAGGTAAGATCAGACAATCGACCACCGGCACCCCAGGTAATGTCAATGAAGGAGGGACCAAGGGCGTGCATACGATCCATTCTGTCGTAAAGGTTCTGCACACCTTGAGCAGTCTTCGGGGGGAAGAACTCGAAGGAAATACCGGTCCTCCCCGCGGCTTCATTTTGGGCGAGCTTATCTTTGACGTGCATCGTGGTACGTTAGGCTATAGGCGAGGCGATAAATCAGTAAGCATGCATGGGCGGATTTAAACACCAGGCCACTGAAAGTGAAGTGACTTACAAAGATTGTCAGGGAGCTTTAAAAAGGGAGACAACCAGTCACTCGAGCCTACTCCTTGCCTAGCGTTTCTGCTGGAGGGGTACGTTACTCAGCTCACCGGTCCCGCCAGCGACTGTGAAGCCCGCAAACAAAAGGAATATGGGAGATAAGAGAAAGAAAGCACTCCACAAAAAAAGAGTGATTAGGTTAAGGGGAGGGCCACCGAGAGATTGACTTGATTCGAGGCACCGCGGATGAAAGAAGAAAGTGGTTGTCATCTCTTAGGGCGAAAAGAATGAGGGAGGAGAGAGAGAGGAGGACCGGCTTTCGGAGGCCGAGTGGCACGTGCACGCTGCGTACCTTCTGGATTAGGAACAGGGCCCTCCGGCGGGGCCCACGCCGCTTTACCGTCACGTGCCTTCGCGGGGCGGCATCGGGCTATCGACACGTGACTTTGCCGGTCCTCTTCCACAAAGCGTGGGATGACGAATACAATCTTCTAACTATCAGCTTATCATCACGCTAGTCTAGCTTCCTCTACACGACACCATCTGGTGGAAGGAGTAGTCAATTTATATCACAAGCATTGCATTTCTATGAACAAACGAATAGAAAAGACACACAATTAGTCTAACCAGCAAACTTGCCTCGTGCTGTCTTCCTGAAGCCACTACCCACCAATTGGTAGCGGAGGCGGAAGTTCGTTCTTTTGACACAACTTGTACCGCAGCTCATACAATGACAACCATGGATTCAAGGTTGACCGGCGTGAATTCATCATCTGCCAACATCTCTGGAAATCCGGCTGAACAGACTTTGAGATCTGATATTCAGGATCCAGTTTATCACCCGGATTATCCAGTAAACAGTCCATCCAACGTTTCCATTGTTGAAAGTAGTTATTAGACTGGTCAATATCCCGACACATGAGCAGAATCACAGCTTCAACGAGCGAACTTGGGTGCAAGATCTTGATGGGATATAGGGTTTTCCAGGGGCCGGAGCTTCTTGGGAAGCAAGGTGGCAATCGATGGTCGTTCGATAGTGTAAGATGGAAATCATTCTGAGCCGGTGCTTCTAACTTGAAATCGGGGAGCCACCAGACAGTTTTCGACTTTTTGAACAAAGACAATGATGTCCAATCTTTGTTCACTCCTTCAAGGTGAAAGTGTACATCTGCATTAGGCCGATGCTGACGCAGCTGCTGTTCCGAGCAGTTAGAGTTATTGCACGGAGGAAATCCTGATTCCTTTAGGGCTCTGGTGGCTGACAGAATCAGGCTATCTGGTACGATAAACTCAATTTCCTAAACATTGGCAAAGCTTGTGAGAAATGAAAACCAAAAGAATTGGGACTACACACTTACACTTGTCCCCAAATTGTCGCCAACCAACCCTACTGCTAGTTCCCCCCAGAGAAGACTAGGAATTCGCGACTGGTCCAAAATACAAGCCACAGAAGCTGCCAAAGGACAGCCATTAATTTCGTTCATAGTTCTAGGCTGGGCTATAGCACACAATGCCCCTGTGTCGGTATGGAGAAGGTGGTATGCTTCGTGATTAATATACTTGTGTATTCCAACCTGCCCTTGTATTGCCTGATTTTAATATCTTCATTATATGACTTTTTAGTTGGAATGGAAATTCCTGTTCATACAATAATACTTTTCTCTATGAGCTTGTTCAAACAATGCTGCAAACTTTCTTTGTTCTTTGTTTGGGTCAAAGTAGGAGATTAGGAAGCATTTCCTAAAT